TGCCAATATTTTATTTATTTATTCATTTATTAAATGAACAAAAAAAAAAAAAAAAAAAAAAACAAAAAAAAAAAAAACGATAACACCATTCAATGATCTTTTATTTTATTATTTTATTTTTCTAGCCGACGAAGGGGCATTATTTCTACACTCGGTGCGACTATATCGATATTGCTGATGTCGTTATTTTTAATTGTTCATTTACCCCATTTTTTTTTTAACAATATAAAAGGATGTCAAAATCCTTACCTATTTTATTTTTATTTTTATTTTTGTTTTCCTTCTCACCAATTCTCCATCAACCTTTTAACATAAATATCCTTCTATACTTATAATGAAACCCACATCTCCTTCTGGTCTTTTGAGTGCTGCAGGACTTCTGCTCACTGCTCAACAAGTCGCTGCTTGGGGCTACCTCCAAGGTCTTACTGCCAATGGTGAATACAACACAGCTTCTCTACCTTACTTTGATCCCTACCAAAACCCTGTCCCTAAACGCATCACTTGGCCTTACTGGAACAATGGCGGCAACCCCATCAAGGACTTGACTTCGACCTCTCTCACATGTAACCAACTTACTGGTACTGGCAAACTTACTGCCACCGTTGCTGCTGGTTCAGCCGTGACACTCTACTGGAATACTTGGCAATCAAGCGAAAACGGTGCTATCAATACTTACCTTGCCAACTGTAACGGACCATGCACTGCAGTTTCAGATCCTTCTTCGCTCTCCTATTTTAAAATTGATGAAAGCGGATACTCGGACAATTCCTGGGCTACTCAGAAACTCATTGCCAATAACAACTCGTGGACTGTCACAATCCCTAGCGATATTGAGGCTGGCTATTACATCATCCGCCACGAAATTATTGCCCTTCATGAAGCCTCCTGGGTCGGTGGTGCACAGTTTTTCCCCAGTTGCAGCAACTTGCAAGTCACTGGCGGTGGCTCTGCTAACCCTGAAGGTGTCAGTTTCCCTGGTGCTTATAAGAGCACTGACTCAGGTATTGTGTTTAACATTTACTATGGTACTGATTTGAACTCTTATGTTCCTCCTGGCCCCAGGCCATATGTTTCTGGTTCTAGCAGCAGCAGCAGTTCTTCTTCATCTTCAACTACCGAGGAAACCAGTTCTAGCACTGAAGTGACTTCGTCTTCTTCAACTACCCAGGAGATTACTTCTAGCTCTGAATTGACTTTGACTTCCTCAATTACTGAAGAAACAACTTCCAGCATTGAATTAACTTCTATTGCAGAGTCTTCTTCTGTTGCCGAGTCTTCTTCTGCTGTTGTCGAATCTTCTTCTGTTGAGGTTTCTTCCGCTGTTGCCGAATCTTCTTCTGTTATTGTTGAATCTTCTTCTGTTGAGGTTTCTTCTGCTGTTGCCGAATCTTCTTCTGTTATTGTTGAATCTTCTTCTGTTATTGTCGAATCTTCTTCTGTTGAGGTTTCTTCTGCTGTTGCCGAGTCTTCTTCTGCTGTTTCCGAATCTTCTGTCGATGTTTCTTCAGCTGTTTTTGAGACTTCTTCTGTAGGAGCTTCTTCAACTTTTATTGAGTCTTCTTCTGTTGACTCTTCTTCAGCTGTTGGCGAGCCTTCTTCAGCTGTTGGCGAGCCTTCTTCTGCAGTTGTTGAGACTTCTTCTGTTGAAGTTTCTTCCGCTGTTGGCGAGTCTTCTTCTATTGATGTTTCTTCCGCAGTTGTTGAGTCTTCTTCTGTTGCTGTTTCCTCTTCTGTTGCTGTTTCCTCTTCTGTTGTTGAGACTTCCTCTCCCATTATTGAGTCCTCCTCAACTTTTGCTGTCGATACTTCTACTGTTGAGTCCTTCACTTTTGCTTCTTCTGAGGCCACCACAACCTCTTTCGAATTTGACACTTCTTCAACCGAAGTCTCTGTTACCCCCTCTGAATTTTCAATTGAGTCTTCTGCTCCTGAAACCGTCACTTTTACCGAAGAAGTGTACTCTTCTTCTCTTCCATCGGCTACCAATTCTGCTTTCCCTGAGGTTGACTATGAAGACGAAGTCTTGACCTTGACCCTTACTGTCAATGGTGAGCCCATTGTCACTGCCGTTACCGTCCCTGCTAAAGTTAAGACTGTGACTGTCATTGATGCAGGTGCCACTACAACAGTCTACTCTGGGACCAAGACTACTACCAAGACCAAGACTACTACCAAGACCAAGACTACTACTGTGAAAACAACAACCACTAAGACTAAGACTACTACTGCAAAGACTACTACCACAAAGACTGTCACTGCCAATTAGTTATGAAATTTATGATGTAATGATGTGTATTTTGTTTAAATTTTAATGAATTTTTGTTTTGAAAAAAAAAAAAAAAAAAAAAAAAAAAAAAAACTTAAAATTGAGTTGTAATGATGCCCCTTAAAATACCATTTAACAACCCAAAATTCATTCAAATGATGATTCAAATACTATGAAATGATTTCAAAAGATGAGAAGAATTGAATGAAAATAGTTTCATTTTGTTTATGTTGCATTTAAGGACTTTTTTTTTGGGTTTTAATGTAATATTTAATTTTTATACAATACCTTGTTTTAAATCACTTGAAAAGCATTACTTATAAAAACTAAGCAGTTAAAATATAAATAAAACAAATAATAAATGTTATAAATTATATTATACTTAAGTTTCCAAATTTTAAAATAAGAATTAAATACTTTATTTGATGTTAAAAACTAGTAATGCCAAAACAAGTGTTAAATAGTTGTAAAGTGGTTATTGTCACATTTAATCGTAATTTAAATCAAGTGAGATCACTTTTTTTTAATGCAATATTTTCATTTAAACTTGACTCTAGGCTTAAGATAGCTTTAAAGGCCTTTTGGAATTTGTAAAGAGCTTATATGTACTTGACACATTTTCCATATTGACACCACTAATCCAAGTTTATAATGCATTATCTGCTCCAATTCTACTTCAATTCTACTTCAATTAAACATTACTAATTTTAAAACTAAATTAATGCTTTTTAATATTTTAATTATTATGTTGTTATAGCAATAAAACTCCATTATTCTAAAAAAAATATTGAGTTGAATTATCTATCAATTGAGTCTCACAAACTTTCAGTCAAACTTAAGTATGAACACAACAAGACTGTAATATACGCTTACCATATATCTCAGCACGCTCGGGATCTAGGTCGGTTCCCTGAATAACTCGAAAACTGAGTATTGGATCACAAAAGTGCACTACTGAACATCACTCTATCGTTATTCTCTATCGATTAATTCTATTTTTAAGCAGATTAAAGTAACTTTCAAATCTCAACTTTTGCTCAATGTCGGCGATTTCCCCGTACTATTTTCAATCCCTCTAGGGCTAGGGTACCACCCTGGGTTTTATATTTTTCAAATTTCAGACCAGACCCAGATATACATATCAGAATATTTGAGCACGGTTTAAAAACCGAAGAAAACTAAAACATCGAATATCTCGACAACTTGAAATTGAATCACAAAAAGAACCATACCATACTGAGTTATTTTTGATTATCTACAAATTGATACTATTTCCAATCAGTTTAGAAAGATTTTATTTTTTCAACTTTTGAAAAAAATCGGAATTTTTGACCTTAAAATTTCGATTCCGCAAGGGTTAGGGTAAATGTTAATATTTCCTAATTGAGAACTGAAACCATTCAATTTTCGGATCAGACCTAGATATACTTATCGGGAATATTTGAGAACAAGTAATTAGCAGAAAATTAAAACGTTGAATATCTCCAAAACCCGACATTGAATTACAAAAGAAATCTGATAATTATATGTTATTTTTAACTCTCTATCGATTGATTTTATTTTCAAGGTATTTGGAAAAGGTCAAAATTTTTTCAATTTAGAAAAATCAGCAATTTTGCAAACAAAATTTCGATTCCACAAGGGCTAGGGGAACCTTTAGAATTTCCCATTTTGGCTAATGAAAAATTCAAAATTCATCCAATGCTCAAATTTACTTAAGAAACATATTTAAGAACGAATGTAGAATACTCTATATAAATACTTGTAAAATATTTAGGAAAACAAGCAATAAGCCTCTTTAGCTTAGGGGTAGAGCATTGCACTTGTATCAATACAAAACATGCAAAGGTCAGCGGTTCAATTCCGCTAGGAGGCAATAACTTTTTAATTTTTGATTATTCATAACCTTTTTTTTTTTATTATGCTTTAATTGTTTTTTTTTTAATGTCAAACAAAGTATTCAACTAATAAATATTTTAATGCTTATAAAAAAAATTCCACATTTTACTTTTCTATTCCACATTCTCATCTTTAATTGTGTTCAATTTTAACACGCTTACGTGATTGCTTAAACTCCTCAATACGCTTCTTCAAATCAGTATTGGGCGTTACTTGATCGATAGTCAATGGCGAACGATTGAACGGGTCAGTAGAGTCACTTAGCAAATGAGATTTGATAGTTGCCAAGTCTACAGTTATTTTTGAAGTCGGCAGAACAACAGGTTCCTTCATGAGGGTAAACATAATAGGGTCCATAAACTCATCAGGAATTTCTCCAAGCTCCTCTTCATCGGCCTCAGTTTCATTCTTGAGGCGGAGAGCATCAGCTGCAAACTTCTTAAGCTGGTCAATTTCTGCTGGAGACTTGAGCAGACGCTTGCTCAGCAAATCAACAGCACGATCAAACAGTTCTGGTCGGAAAGATCTACCGTCATTGGCCACCGCCTTGATAAATTCCTCTTGTTTTGAAAGATTGAGGTAAACATCCACCATATAACTCAACAACTCCCGAGGCTTAAACCCATACTCTTCAGAGTTTTTAACCTTAAGCTCACGGCATTTGGGCCCAACAAGAGCCTCTAAATTGTAGTCAAGCATAGCTGCCAAACGGTCAACAAGTTCGGGCGTGACAAATGCTCTGGGGACAGCCTGGGTGAAAAGCTTGAGCAAGACCACTGATTGTTGAGCAAGCTGGACATAAGATTTTGCCATGCGCTCCACCGAGGCAAGTTGTCGCTGTTGATCAGTCTGCTCAGCAGAAATATTAGCAGGATCACTGCTTTCAAGCTCTTTTTGAAGACGGTGGATTTCAGAAAGTTTGGAGAGAGACTCGTCGAGAAGATATGTTGCATCATTAAGCAACAAAGCCACAAACCGAACAAAAAACTCAGTATCTGTCTTGCTCTCTGCCTCTAACCGGTCTCGGTAAACTCGATTGTTCCAGAGTGTTTTAATGATTTGGGAAATGTAATAACGCGCGTTAAACTTATCTTCAAACTGGGAGCTAGCGCCAGTTCGTTCAATGTCAATGTAAAACTGTAATAAAGTGTGGAAAAGATTGTCCAAGCACATATGATCAGTATTGAAGGCATCCACAAAAAATCCCCTTGTATTAACAAACAACTCAATAGAACCTGTAAAGATGACCTCGACAAAGCGCGTCTTGACATATGGATTCTTGACGTAATGAGTCATTCTCAGAAATGTAACAAGAAATGTGAGCAGTGGCGACAAGTTTTGATGAATTAAGAGATCTGGAAGGTTTCGTGAGAAGAATAAAAAGTAAGTGGGAATAATATCCAAAAAGTATTCCGGCCAAAATTTGAAAAAGTCTGGTGGTTGGTCCGAGGGGAAGGGCAGCGATATCTTTTGTGATGGGTACTTCTTCTCCGGGTCGACTGCTCGAACAAGGAAAAGAGAAAGAAAAAGGTTAAACTTCATAATCTGTGATTGTAAATGGTGGTCAAAAAGAACTGCCTTAATGAGATGGAAGTAAGCATTAATAATATTCTTCTCGCCTTCCAGCTTGACAAGTGCCATTTTAAGTGCTCGTTCGTTGGGTGTCCCCTTGTACTGTTCCAGCTGTTTCTTTAAATATTGCTCATGATTCTGCATATCTTCCAAATGTTTGCGAGTGCGTTCGTGGTAATGCATACACCCGCCACCACCATAATGAAGGTAGGCAATTGCAAGGTAAAAAACGTCCGAGATGAAGTTTGCTTTTTTCGTCGAGTCCTTAGTTTTTTCGTAAAAGGCCTTGGCCTCTGTTGAGTCACCATTAATCATAGTCTCATCATCAATGGTATAAACTGGTTTAATGCTAAAGTAATCCATTGAGATCTTGTCAATTTTGGTTCCATGCACGTCCACAAAGGGTTCGCAAAAGCGGACCAGAAGAGCAGTCACGTTAATCATTATAGCGTCGGATGAAATAACCTTGTAATCGACCTGCATGGCGACGCGCTTGTGATTGGCGTCAATTAAGCTTCCAAAAAACTCCAAAAGCTTGTTTCTGGTTTCCTCCGAGTTACGGATAATCTTGTCACAAAGATAAAAAAGCTTTTCCTGAATGAATTTAAGCTCAGACCTAATACCTGCATAGGCGTTTTGAATTGCAGCTTTAGTGAGGGATGATGAATTGCCAAAAGTTGCCATTGAGGATTGCGGGTTTACTGGAGAAATGCTCAAAACTGGACCTAAAACTGATTTTTTCTCCAATTCAGGGGCTGATATTCCCTTTGGGTTGAAGCTTTCCAAGCTGACAATGGCATTGAGAATATTTTTATTCGAGACCAGGTGCTCAAAGGTCTCCAAATATGATGCAGAGATGGAGAGATTTTGCGTGGGAGACGACAGAATCTTAGAGTTGATTTGTTGGACAATGGGCTCAATGAGCTCTGTTAAAGTGGCGTTTTCAGCCGCTCGGTTTGCAACCAGGTGGAAAAACGACCAAAAGCGTTCCGAGTCGTCATTTTGTTTAGTGATAAAAGCTGCAAGGTCAAAAGGTTTGTTTCCTTCTTCTGGCTCAAAAACATCTGGCTCTGTAGCAGCCAGAAGGCCATAGTTAATTAAAAAGGATTGAAGTTCACGCAAAGTACTAGACTGGGCTTTTGCATTATCAGAAGAAGACTTTGAGAGAGAACGAAGCATGTCTTCTGAGTGTTTCCAAGAACGATAGAAGTAAAAATAAGCCAGCTTCTGGGTATGGAATTTTTGGTGAATAGCGGCCCAAAGGATAGCATCAATGTCCTCGATTGACAAAAGTAAAGGCTTGTCTTCTTGTTCTAGCTCCGCGGCATAGGCTGTAAGATAGAGCGGCACCTTGGAACCCGTATTTCCTTCAGCAGTGAGCGGAACTAGAGATACATTCAAGGCCTTTGCCAGAGCAGTACCTTGAGGAGTCTGAACAGTGGCCATTGTTGATAAAGTTTAGGTGGATGGTGGCGGTTTTGTGTAGTAGTAGTGGTGGTAGTGGGTAGTATAAGTTGATTGTGGCGGTTTCTTTTTTAAAAAAGATGCGACAAGCCCATCGATATCGTTGTAAAAAAGGTGTTACCCGGCCTCTAAGATTTAAATACTCCACAGAAAATGAAGGCAATGTCATCACCAAGAAAGCCAATTTGAGAGGCCTTTATATAACAACAACAAGGTCTTTAAGCGTCATGGAAAACGATTTGAACTTTCATATATTTAGACTGGTGGAGACTGCAGAGTCTATTTCATCAGTATATTTTCGACCGCCAGGAGTTTTCACCAATGCAATGCTCACTAAGCCAGACATCACATCGTTGATGCGTGATGCTGACCCAAGTGAGGAGGCATTGTATGCAACATCGAATGATCCACGTGCTGTTTTGAATCGTGCTTCATCGGAGCTTAAAGCTGCGTACTCGAAAACTAATTCCAGGCGCAAAAATGACCCAGCAGATGTGGGACTCATTTGTGCGGCCGTTGATTCAGTCACAGAGATTTATCCGTTGCCAGGGATCCGTGAAAAAACAGAACGGTTACGGGCCCGCTATGATTATTTCCAGACCAGCATAGCCAAGCAAGAAGATCGTATTGAACATCAACGGCAGCAACTGACACGCATGACACTGAGCTCCGGAGTAGTCACGGCTTCTAATTTGGAATCTCTCAACCAGCAACAACAGCAAAAGGCTGTAGAGTCACTCACTTCTGTGCAGGCTGCAGAAAAAATTGAGCAATTGCGTGCTGAGATTGCTCAGCTCGAAGCCGACGAGGAAGAAAATCTGGTGTAGCATTAAAAAACTCGAAACGGGCTGGTCCCGAGTCCCGGGGTTGAGTCCGGGTAACTTTGTAGAAACTATTTATTTTTGATATTAAAAAATTTAATCACAGCCACCACCAATTTTTTTGTTTTCCCACTACCACCACTCTCAAATTTTTCTCCTGTCTTCTTCCACTAATACTACTATACTCACATTTAAATAGCCACCGCCACCACAAGTAGCACCAGCACCAGCACCAGCACCATCACCGAACCATGAACTTTGGCAGACAGACACCGACAATTGTCGTTCTGAAAGAGGGAACTGACACTTCCCAGGGAAAAGGCCAGACTATTTCCAACATCAATGCATGCCTGGCTATCCAAGATACGATCCGCCCAACTTTGGGTCCTCTCGGATCAGATATTTTGATTGTTGGCGGAAACGGTGAAACCACCATTTCTAACGATGGTGCCACCATTCTTAAGCTTCTCGATGTTGTTCACCCTGCTGCACGCATTCTTGTCGATATTTCTCGCTCCCAAGATGCTGAGGTCGGTGACGGTACCACTTCCGTTACCGTTTTGGCTGGCGAGCTGCTCAAAGAGATCAAAGGCCTTGTTGAAGAAGGCGTCTCTACAAATACAATCATCAAGGGCTACCGCTATGCTGCCCGTCTCGCTACGGAAAAAATCAAATCAATTGCAGTTAAGGTTGACAAATCCAACCCAGAAGAGCTTCGCGATCTGCTGGAACGATGTGCAGCTACCGCAATGTCCTCCAAAATCATTTACAAAAACTCAGCCTTTTTCACAAAGATGGTTGTTGATGCCGTCCTTACTCTCGACCAAAACGATCTTAATGACAAGCTTATTGGCATGAAGAAGGTCCCTGGTGGCAGCATCGAGGACTCACTTTTTGTGTCTGGTGTTGCTTTCAAAAAGACTTTTGCTTATGCCGGCTTTGAGCAACAGCCCAAATCCTTCAAGTCCCCCAAGATCCTCTGTCTCAATGTTGAGCTCGAATTAAAAGCCGAAAAGGACAATGCCGAAGTCCGGGTAGAAGAGGTTTCCGAGTACCAAGCCGTTGTTGATGCCGAGTGGCAAATCATTCTCTCCAAGCTCGAGGCTTGCAAGGACTCGGGCGCTAGCATTGTGCTTTCCAAGCTCCCCATAGGCGATCTGGCCACTCAGTACTTTGCCGACCGCAACATTTTCTGTGCCGGCAGAGTCTCTTCCGACGACATGAATAGAACCCTGCAGGCCGTTGGTGGCATTCTTCACTCCACAACATCCGACATCAAGCCAGAAAACCTCGGTACATGCGACTTTTTCGAAGAGCGCCAGGTCGGCTCTGAGCGATACAACTTTTTCACTGGCTGCCCCAAGACCAAGACCTGCACTTTGGTTCTGAGAGGTGGCTCTGAGCAGTTTATTGCTGAAGTCGAGCGCTCGTTACACGATGCCATCATGATTGTCAAGCGCGCTGTTAAGAATAATATTGTTGTTGCTGGCGGCGGTGCCTGCGAGATGGAGATTTCCAAGTATCTTCGCGAAGTTTCACGCTCTATTGCCGGCAAGCAGCAACTTCTTGTCGCTGCCTTTGCGCGTGCCCTCGAAGTCATCCCCAGACAACTGTGCGAAAACGCTGGTTTCGACGGTACCGACATCCTTAACAAGCTCCGCATGCAGCACGCCAAGGGTGAGCAGTGGGCTGGTGTCGATTTCATCTCCGAGTCCACAGCAAACAACTTTGACAAGTTTGTCTGGGAGCCGGCTCTCGTCAAACTTAATGCTATCAATTCGGCAACCGAAGCTGCTTGCCTGATTCTGTCTGTCGACGAAACTGTCAAAAATGAAGAATCCGGTGGCGGCCAAGGCCCACCACCTGGTGCCATGCGCGGTGGAATGGGCGTTCCTCGCTAAAAAATCAAAAATAAATAATAATAAAAATTCAATCTTGTGTATTTAATAAAACTTGGTAAAGAGAAAAAAAAACAAAAATCTACGAATTGCTTTTTTGGCGCTCACACTTCCATTTCCAAAGAAGCGTTTTCATCTCATCCACTTTTAAGTTGGTTTCAGGATCACCATTCCCGCTTTGCAAGTACTCTTGATAGGCAAAAATAAGACGCATGTTCCACAAGTCTTCATTTGATCTTGGCGACCGTGCTGCCGACATATTTGCAAACATCAAATCCTGTTTTGAGGTTTCAAAGGCACGATGAAGTAAAGACGTATTGGATTGGGTAAACCGCTCCAAGTCAATATCGGCCAGAATTTTAACCTTGGATAAAACACTGGCTAAGGATGAGCCACCATGCTGCTGCGTGGGAGGTCCTGTTGCGCCCGAACCCAAGGGGTTGTTACTCGTGCTTGACTTGTACTTGTTGCCATTTTGTTGAAAGATATCAGTTGCTTTATTGATGATGGTACTCCGACGACTCACGTAAACTGTTAATGTCTTTAAAAAGGCCTTTGTGAGTGGCGATTCTGGTGCGGAAGCCAGATCCAATTGCACCGGACTATAGGAGTCAGAAACTGTAGAGATTTGTAGCACATTTTCAATATTGGGAATGGCACAAGGTGCTTCTTGAACCACAATTTTACCAGATTTGTACTCAATTTGTAAATTGACCACACATGGGTGTCCTGTTTCAACCTCTCGTACAACGACACAGTTGGGCTTGGCGGCCAAAGCCCAAAAGTATCGCAATGGCTGCAAGTACGATGTATTATCCACAAGAACTCTGGGGAACACAGGATAAACGGAAATAAATAGAGCTGCAAGAGCAAAATTGTCATTGCCAAATCGAAACTGTCCACCTCCAAGAAACAAAATGCCCAAAGCTAAATGCGTCGCAATATTGACGCCACAAGTATCCTTTCGTGTCTTGAGACAAAGACGACGAAATCGTCTTAAAGCTTCCAAATCGCCAGTACCAGACATGACAATAGACAACGAAAGACACAGAGAGTTTTGGATATGAAGGAGTGCTTGTTTGGCAAGTAGCTGGTCATGCTGGGTCACATTATGTTCAGTAAGCTTGCAGACAACATCAAGAAAATGCACAATACAATCTCGGACGCTGGTATTTCCAGTTGATGCATACTTGAATGTCATTGCCATACAAAGACCAGCCTTGATGTAGTAATAAGAAATTGTATCTGTTGAGTAATTGGAATTGGTTTCAGAAGTTGTAAGAAGCACAGCCTTAGGGATATTTTCTTGTATCCACTCTGCATTGCTACCTATCTGGTCCCACATAATGACATGATAAGCCAACGTGCGAATTAAAAGAAGATCTGGGCGAATGTAGTCATAAGCTTCTTGGTTCTCCGGAGGAGCCAATTTTTTTGCAATCTCAAAGTTGTTTGTGCGAAGAAATATAAGCAATAAAGCGGCAATAGTGCCAGGCATGGAAATCTCCAACTGCGAAGTTTGGACATCTCGAGGAGCAATGGCTTTTTGCATAAGACGTTCAACAATCTTAACGTCGTTCAAACCTTTGAGATCGTTACCCTTGCCAAGATTAATCAACCCTAGTGCAATACCCGTTGCCAACTTATAACTCTCATTGGTATGTATCCGGATGCTTTCTTCAGTATGAACACGAGTGCGCCCTTCAAGTTCTCCCAAAAACGTTTCCGTCATTCGCCGGTGCGATGATTCCAGGTAAAGTAAACCCATGCCTACAACGCCTGCAGTTTGAACCTCAACAGAAACATTTAAATCACTGGAACCAGGAGGTAGTAAAGCAAAGATGTGAACACTTAAAACCTTGGTAAGTTTGGTATCCATAGAGCGTAAATTACTTGCAGCCATGCCAATTAAAAGCGCAATGCTTGTATGAGAGTGCTTGGGACCGAGATAGTTATAAATGTGCCATTCTTCCAAGTTTTTAAGATGCCCATTTAAACCAATACCCAAAAGGAAGCCTGCGTGTTGAGAGTTTAAATGAGTAGGTTTGTTAAAAGCAATCCAGTTGCCATTAACAGTGATGGTATCCTTAACCAAACTCAATCCCGAAGCAATACCATTGTGGAAATACCCCCAAGAAAGATTTTCTTCAGAAACCAAAGATTTGTTAAGAGTCATCGTAATGTCCCGGGGCTTGACAATGGCTGAAAAATTGAGCTTGGGAATTGGAAACTTTTCAGTAACTAGAGGTTTGCGGGCAGAATAGTAAAATGCAGCACGTCCAATAGGAACAGTGCAGGTCTTCAAAACTGACAAAATGTATGTTTCTTCTTGCTTGTTAAGAAGATCAAGCTCACTCATATTTGGGGTTTGAATGACAATGATGGGTTTTGGTTTCGAAGATTGTAATATGCGTGATACTTCATAAAATCTGCGGTCAGTGGAAAAAATAAGCCGAGAAATTTTAGTTCTATCAGATTCAGTTTGTTCATCCCAGGCGCTGAGAAACTCCAAGTCTCCAACCGTGCTAATTAAAGCTGATGTGTACTTTGGCATGGCATCTTTATTAGTACCAAGCTGAGACATTTCCGGAGTTAATGTGGAAAAAAGTAGGTCATCGCGTCCAAGAATATCCCATAGCTCAGTATCATCGAGCTTTACAAGTTCTTGGGAATTCTCAGAAAGGTATTCAAAAATAACATGCTGTATTCCACCAGAGAGATCATTTAGGATTTTCTTTGAAAGTTTAACTGACAAAAAGTTTTCAACTGAATCTTGGGTTAAAAGATTAAAAAACCTTAAGGTGACAACAGATAATGGAGTTAAATCGTCAAGAGAAGGATCAGAGTATATCTCAGACAGACGGGGAAAGTATGCAGTAGAAGGTTCCGAAGCTAGACATTTTAAAATATTTGGGGGTTCAGAAAAAGGATGACTGTACTCTTCAATAGTTAATTGAGGGGCTGTTGGCGCAAACCCATAGTATGATTTCCAAGAGTCGTTCCAGCCAGACCAATGAGCGAGATACATTAAAAACTTATCAATTTGTGAGAGGCTTCCTGAAGATGTGTACCCTAATCGAAGTTCTTCACGAATGTAATGCAAAAGGTTAATGACATGGGGGCAAAGTTCCGGGCTAATTTTGTCATCAAAAGATTCGGCAATTTTTAAAGCGGTCGGTAAAATTTCATCTAGTGTCATTGTGTCAATTTGATAGTTTTTGAACTGTTCTGTAAACTCCTTTAGGCGGGATGCTGGGTATAATTGGCAAACCAAGGATGCGACCAGCGCTTCCCAGTTTGAAAGAGTAATTGCATTTAATAGCACAGTCCATGCAAAACTCAAGGTGCGGAAAACTCTAAGATCAACTAATTTATAAAGACCTTGGAAAATCTTTACTGAAAGGTCATCGCTTGGTACAATTGGAAGATTGATGTTATAAAATTTGTCGGAGAATGCGTAAATCAAGTTAGATGAAGTGTAACTGTAGAACCCAATTTGAGTGATATTTCCCCAGTGAGATGGAAGTTGAATCGGGATTGACTTTATCGATAAAAATGGATCAAAAAGATAGATGTTGTTGGGTTGATTTAACACTGCAAGAATTCTCGTTTTATTACTGATATCAGTCAATAGTAGAGGTGACGATCCGGGGATTTCAAAAGACTTTGACAATGCTGGAATGGCAAAAGAGGGATTTTCTAAAGTACTGAATAACATAATGTTGATGGTATTTGACAAACTGTTGGAAACAATGATTGCTGTTTCTTGATTTAAAGTACATGCTTCGACATAAAGGTGATCCAAAGACGTATATAAAGAAAAACTGCTAACTGAAGTAAGCATTAGATGCGATGATGCTGATGAAGTCGATTTGTTAAGTTTAGAATGATTTCGAATACTTTCATCAAAAGTATGGGGAGTGGGGGGAGAATTGTGATGATACCGTAGGTAGTAGATGTTGACTTGACGACGAACAGGATCAAAAGTGACTACAAAGGGGATCTCAGAAACACCTCCAAAATAAACAGGCTCTTCGGAAAGACAAATTGTAGTAAGGGAAGATGTATAAATGGGTTCTAGTTCAAGCAATGGGTTTGACATAAGATGAAGTTTAGGTGAATGTCCATCATCTTCAGCAAGAGTCCCTGGGGCATCAAAGTTACGTGATAGGACAAGCCCATGTGGAGATGCTGTTATAGACGCCACAACAAATGGTATACTAACAATATGGAAATCTCCTCTGAGGTAGTATGCATGAAGGTAATTTGCGGCGAGAATGGCTATTGCATCAACTGATTCTGGTTGAGCATTGGCACCGCCACGAACCGGGTGTTGTTGGAACGCAACAAAAACAGCTCTAATTGATTCTTGAGGGGTATCTGGGAAAGAGAATTTGCGCATGAGCACACCATTCCGAGACCAAAGCACCGTAGAGTTTGGTCCCATAGTGAGCTGATTGCCCGGGATGGAATCCTGCTGGGAATTGGCTCTGAGCATTTAGTGGTGGTGGTGGTAGTGGTGCTAAAAGACTGATTGTTGATTTGATTTTTGATTTCAGTTAAGAGATCTTCACAAGTATTTTTAGCGCAACAACACAAATTTTATTGATAGTTACCCGGCCGCGGGGAATATTTTTGCGGCAAAAAAACTTTTTGTGCCTCTCCACCCATTTTTTACAACACATTTCTGTCCTATCCAAAGCGGTTCTTTGCTATATATTTATATATCTTTCCTTCTCCCCCCCTCGACACAAGGACTCACCACATCCCCCTTCTTCTGAATCCTTTTGCCAGAAAGTGCTCTGCTTATGGCAATTGCGCTCTCTGTCCGACGATTCTCCCTTAGAAATGTCTACCCGATCTTCGCGTGCTAACGGTTCTCGCGCAGACCTCGTAACCACAGGAGCCCAAGACCGCGATAAACCGCCCAATAGCAACAATGCTAACTCTACCCTGACAGCGACAACCAAGGTGGCGTCCGATGCTCTAGCTGTCATGGCTTCGGCAAATAACAATCTCTCACGCTTTAGCCGTACAGTAACTACGACGGCGTCAACGCTGGTGGCATCTCAGTATTCGTCTGATCTATCTGGCACGTATTACCATGAAACAATGCGAGATTTAGCGCGCAAGCCCGCCTTTCAAAAGCGCTTCTTTTCCTTTTCCCGAAAGGCCCCATCAGAGGTCATGCGAAGTACTCTTTCTTCAAAAGATGATATTAGATTTAATGCGCTCACAGCAATTCCAGATGAGCTCTTTTCACAAATCCCAATGGGTGCAAGCAGTCAGTTTTCTCTTTTTCAAGGGTTTCAGGCCACTACAGCAACGCTCCCTGAAATCTCTGGCTCCGAAAAGGCCATCACTGATGGATCTTCGGATTCATCACTAACATCACGCTCTGCCCTTGTGAAGCAGCGTGATAATATCTACAACACGCTGGATCTCCTTGAAATCAGAAAGGATTTAGCAGCCAATGAAATCAACGAAATTGACAAAAAAATTGCGTATCTTCAAGAAAACAGACGACTGGTATTTGAGCGCATCGCATCACTTGAACAAGAAGAGTTTCAGCTGGAGAATAAGGTCCGGCACCTTAGCAAGCAGATTGATGAAATGCCTGAAGAAGAGGAGGAAGAAGAGGTCAAGCCTACCCCAGAACCTCCCAAAAATGTGAAAAACGCCAAAAAAACAAAGAAAATAGAAAAGGAGGACAGTGATGACTCGCCTCTTTTATCCCAGAGCATCTTTGGCAAGCTACAAAAGCACAGTCAATCTGAAAGTGAACCAGCAACTACCGAAAAGCCTCCGAAGACCCACAGGGCGTCTACTTCACGTAAGACACATCCTACTCTTCAGCAATACTACAAAACAGGAGACTCGATCCGACTGATCCCAGCACATGAAGACTTTGTGACGTCGCTAGACTTTGATATTCCCTTTGGCACAATGGTGTCAGCTTCCGTGGATGATTCTTGCAAAGTGTGGGATCTTGGTCGTGGCGTGTGCAAAGGTCAGCTGCGCGGACACAATGCATATGTGACATGCCTTCATATGGATGGCGATATGGCTGTTACTGGATCCATGGATGCATCTGTGCGGTTGTGGAACCTGAGCGGGTTTGAGGTTGACGAGGAGGAGCCTGAAGATGCGTGCTTACAGGTATTTGAGGCGCACCTCGGTGAGATTACTGCTCTTCATTCATATCAAGATACACTGGTGACTGGATCCGCCGATAAAACGATCCGCCAGTGGGATCTGCGCAGTGGCAGATGCCTGCAAACCCTTGATGTTCTGTGGGCTGCTGCACAATCTTCTACTCCCTTTGCAGAGTCTGGTAACTGGCGCTCGTTCCAAGGAATTAACAACACCGGCAAGGATAGCTCGTCACCGGCGCCGTTTGTAGGTGCGTTACAAGTGTTTGACGCTGCTTTGGCAAGCGGAACTGCAGATGGAGCTGTTCGCCTGTGGGATCTCCGCAGTGGCCAAGTACAGAGGTCACTGGTTGGCCACACAGGCCCCGTGACTTGTCTTCAGTTTGATGACGTTTATCTGACGACAGGTAGCTGGGACCGAAGCATTCGAGTGTGGGACTTGCGAACAGGCTCTATTGTAGATGCATTTGCATATGAAAACCCCATCACAGCACTGCATTTTGATGCACGCAAGATTGTTTCTGCAAACCGTGAAAATACCGTCAAAATTTACGACCGGGAAACGTCGCAGCACTGGACCTGTGGACCTGGTGTCAAGGACGAAGAATCTCTAGTGTCGATCCACCTGGCCACTTTTAAAGAGGGGTACCTAGTAGAAGGCCGGACCAATGGTTCTATTGGTGTTTGGGCGTGTTGATAGGAAATAGAAATGACAGTTGCATAGTGTACATATTTTTTTTTTTTTTCTTTCTTTCTTTCTTTCTTTCTTTCTTTCTCTTTTTTTTTTTTTTTACTTTTTCTCAGAGTCTGAGGAAGATGACGATCCATACGTAGGAAGAGCATCCTTAAGTGACATTTGGGCAGAGCCACGAGCAAGCGGCTTTTGCTGGGTCGGCGCGGGTTTCCAGCCAATGAGATAGATGACGCGGAACGTGGCTGGGATGGACCCGTCTTCGTTCCCGTGAAGAGCTCGGTAGATAGGATCAGCAGCAACCAAAATGTCGCGCGGGATATACGACTGGCGGGCCAACACAGCATTAGACTCGCCCATGGCCTGTAGGTCTTCAATGAGTGAATAAGTGTCAGGGTACGAAACAATAATATCGTCCACATCGACTGTAAGAAGATTGAACTTTGCACGTTGCATTAAACTGCCCATGTCACGGACATCAGCCAAAGGACTCATGCGCGGGGAAACACCGCCGGCACGTTCACTCTCAGCAAGTTGAAGAGTAGTACGGAGTTCATAAAGAGAATCTCCACCAAGCATGGCCGCCATGAACATGCCATCAGGAACGAGAACATCTTGAACACGAGACAAAATGCCAGGCAAGTCATTGATCCAGTGCAGCGACATGGACGAGAGTACCGCGTCAAAAGATTCTGGGGGGAAAAGAGGAGCGCCATCGGGACCCGTAAGGAACTCTTCATCGCCAACGACTCGTGACAGGTTCATTTTGGTATTGAATGAGAACTGGTTGAGATCTGAATCACGGTACAGTAGTTTTTCTGAGGATTCCAGCATGGTAACGTGCTTAAGGCGACTCTGCACCAGCTCACTGTCTGGGGTGTCTTCGCGACACAAAACGTTTTCCAACGTGCCGGCGCCGGCGCCGAGATCAAGGACCCGAGGAAACTCGCGGGAAATAAAAGCAAGACGCTCAATCATACGGGAAGCCACTTCTTCACGCAGGTACGAGACCTCGCGCGACACGGAGGCATTGCTGGCAGCCCGATCTTTTTGAATCCGCTTGGTGCGCTTATCGAAAACCTCGTAGGCCGGACTAGGGGTATTAGGAGCAGCCGAAAACTTTGCCGGGAACGTACTAAAGCACTGGGCCCGGGAGACGGCAGGGTATTGACGGAACAAGGGTCGTAGAGTTCGGATCATTGAGATGGGATTTGAATTGAAAGTGGTTTAGAGGAGGTGAAGCAGAATTTTAACTTAGTTGCCTTTTTGTTTTATTATTTTTTTTTTTAATTTTTAATTTTTAATTTTTAATTTTTTAGGTTACCCGGAAATTTTTTTTCTATTCATACATTTTTATTTACTCAAATCTTCAAACCCCCAATGAGCATCTCGGCACATGCATTCAGACGGGCCCCGAAAACAACCGGGTCCATTATTTGTCGACGGTTCTTATCGACTGTCGACTCAGTCAATAAATCTTCAGAAACTGCAGCGGTTCCTTTGACTCCTCTACATTCAGTTCCGCTTCCCAAAGATGTCATTTTGGTCTCTGCAGACCCCGTCACCAGCACCGATAAGTCTGACTGGCCACAGATTGAAAGAATCATGCGCAAGTACAATGATACACATCGTTACTCGGACACGTTGCAGCTAGCTACGCGTATTGAGCAACTCAAGCTGAAACCACCCGTGACGATTGCTGCAGTGATTCTGAGCGCATTGACTAGAGGCCATGACATGTCTGTAAGTGTGCCTGCTGTGCTGGCCATTGTTGACACTGTTCTTGAAGTTGGTGGTCGGTTAGGGGACTACGCTGAGCGTGGGCTTTATTTTGCACTTCGACGGTGCACGGATCCGCTGCTACGGTATGCATTGCACAAGCAATGTCTGCGGTACTTTAAAGAAGCAGTAGAACCTGTGGACCCCCCAGAGGTTGCAAAGGAAACTTATGCCATTATTCAAGGCAACTATGTTCACGGGCTTTTGGCTGGTGGCGAAATTGAGCAAGCGTTTGGGATTTTCCAAAAATTTTCTAAAGAAGGAATGGACATGCGGAAGTTCCCCGTGGAAAGCTTGGTAGACCGGCTTATAGGCAAGGAGCGCCCAGGGTCTTTGCATGTTTATCAGGATTATCTCAAGAATAATAACAATACTCCAGGAATATTGACCAAGGCTCTAGACTTTAGTGCAGAAGGGACAAACGATGGCACAGAAACTATGGAGCTATGGGCCGATGCTGTTGTATCAGGCAAAGTGGAGCCATCGAACTCTACGCTCCAACGTATTCTCGAGAATCAAACAGTTGGCCAGGTAGGATCTGTATATGGCAGTGCATTCCGACGCTTGTCGCTACAAGCAGATCACTCACAACTATCCACAGGAGATGTTGCTGCGATACTAACGAGTCTGGCAACAAGCCGGACCATCCGTTCAAGCGCAGACTTTTTACCTGTGCTTGAGCTGTGCGCCGAGTTTTGGCCCGATTTAAACTATAAGCTTCTGGACGCTGCAATGGAAGCGCTTTGGTGCAAGGCCTCCCCTGGGGATCACTCTCAGTTCTATGTTCCCTTTATCGAATACTTTCCAACTATTAGTGAATCTGATTCACCCAAGTTCCGAACTTTCCTGCTTAATCTAGTTGTTCGGTCGCATCGCCAGTTGTGGTCGCCATCTGCATCACTTTACGCGTTCCGTGCGTTTTTACATGCCGGAGTGGCAACCCCAGATGCATCGACGTTTGAGGAACTGGCCGCTTCTGCCATGGTCATGAAGCATTCCAAGCTGCTTTCTTTGCGTATTTACGAAGACTGCGAGTTGTTTGGTATTACACCAACTCCACGCATGTACGAGTTATTGATCCGTGCAAATGCCCGTGGCCGTAACTTAACGTCTTTACTCTACTTTTTGTCCCGTGTCCCAGACCCAGAACAAACTCTGCCGACGTACCTAAAGTCATTCTTGTACCACCAGTTTGAACGCACCCATGACAAGCGGTACAAGGAACTGATGGATACACCTCTGGGACTTCGCGCACAGTACAGCGAGTTCCCGTCATATTCTGATCTCAAGGCATCGAATAGTCGTCCCCGACCAGGTATCATCTCTGACTATAGCTTCTTGCAAGATCTGGCGTATTCCAAAAACTATCTAGCTGGATGGCCGTTTGAAGAGCTACCGCCTCCCAAGGTTTGAAGTTATTATCAGTAACCCCCTTTTTTTTGTATATAATGTAGTTAGTTACCTTGAAGTAACTGTTAAAAAAAATTTTCTTTTTTGTTCCAGAAGAAAAAAGGTTAAACCCTTTGCCTCTATCATTAAAAAAAAAATCGACTTACCCTTAATCCTTTCCTCCATATGCTTCGTTCTTTAACCCGAAAATTATCTACAATGTCAAAAGAAATCACCCGTCAAGCTGAGCTTTTCCAGCATCTTGCTGCTGTCGAAGAGTCCATAGTTAAGGAATGCGTCGCGGTCGGTCGTCCGCGTACAGCCGTCAACTTGGTTGCAGTATCAAAGTACATGCCCGAGTCCGATATCCAGATTCTGTATGACGCTGGGCACCGCGATTTTGGCGAGAACTATGTTCAGGAGTTGGTGCGCAAGGCCGGCACGCTTCCTGGCGATATTCGTTGGCACTTTATTGGTGCTTTACAATCTAACAAGTGCAAAGTGCTTGCTAAAATTCCCAATCTAAGCGCCGTGGAAACGGTCGACAGTGCAAGTAAGGCTCAGAAACTGAATGATAATCGAACAGATAACGACTCCATACTTGGTATTTTCTTACAAATCAACACCTCTGGAGAGGATCAAAAGAGTGGTCTGGCGTGGGATGCCACCGAAGAGGTTCTGGAGGTGGCTCGCGCTGTTACAAAGTTCCCCCGGCTGCAGCTGCGAGGACTTATGACCATTGGGTCTTTTTCTGAGTCCCATGCAGAAGGTGTCAACTCTGATTTTGATCGACTTAGCAAGCTGGCTACTACATTGCAGACCGAGCTGGGCGTTCCGATTGGACTGAGCATGGGCATGAGTTCAGACTTTCTCGAAGCCATTCGTCAAGGGTCCACTAATGTGCGAGTGGGGCGCACTATTTTTGGCAATAGACCTGTCAAGACATAAACACTAGAGATAACGGTTAATGTTATTTATTATTATACTCTTTTTCGTTTTTTTTTAAAAAAACTACAACAATTGGTACATTAAAGAAATGTTCTTAGCTAAAATTGCCGGGATACGGGCATCTGTCGCACGCACAGTCACCCGGTACATGCTTTGATCTTCATTGGGCTCCAGGCGCACCAGGCACCCGAACGACCCACCGTTGGACGTATGGATAATACCCGCGCCCACAATATTGCGTGGGTTGCGGTCTGCGTTGTCGATCCGGGACCATTGCAACGCCGCCATTATGCGGCCATCGTTAATGCCGGCACCAAATGCTCTGTTTTTAAATACAAGCTGTGACTCAAGTCCAGTCCCACCTGTAGCAGCAATCTGTGCCCAGCGTTTAAAGTAATCATCTGTGGAAAGTTCTGTCGGCAGCATAAACTTTTCAAGTACTACAGGAAGCTTAAGCGTCAGAACTTGTAATGTACCAGCCAAGTAAGTAATCTTAACTGTGGGGGATTCTAAGAAAGGCTCATGGGCTTCAAGCATAATGACCTGCTGGGTGGTTTTGTTGGCAGCAATGCTAGAGTCTGGGAAGTTCTTTGTAGAAACAGCGAGCTTGGGGTTTTCATGGTTGGTAATTTCAACAGAAAGTGACTGTAGTGTTGACCCAGAGTTGTTGCGAAAGTACAAAATGACACAGCCCAGGTGCCGTCGGTAGTCGGATCGTAGACCAATCTGCAGCATGGAGTCCTCGTAAAAAATGCCCTCTGGGTTGAGAATGAGTTTTTTGTAATTTTGTTCCCAACCTGATGTGAGGAGCTCCTCAGCAGGAGTTGGAGTGGGCTTTGTAGGGGTAGAAACTAAGGGTGTAAGCACGGGAATGGAAGAAGTGGTTGGCGTATTCGAGGCCTCTTCGAATAACAGGTTTTGGGTGTTTGTGCTGGCGACAGCGGCAGTGGCCGTGGCAGACGTAGCGGCAGCAGCTTGCAGTTCCTTTTGCCGGCGGCTTCCAGGAGCCCATAAGCGTTTCCCCTCTGTATTAGTGATGCGTTTTGTTTTTAGACGGGTTAGCATGGTAGAGCTGCGCTCTGGGAATGGAGGCATTTCGTCCCAGATGATGGGCAAAAGCTTCATGTGCTCGGCGCTTGACATTTTCAAGTACTCATACGAACGCTGTTGGAGTTCCGAGTCGACTGACTTTGCATTGTATTCAAATACTTGCACTAGCTGGGGCTTGATTTCAGGGAAAAGGTTAACAAACTTGATGTAGGTGGTGAGCAAAAGGCCCTTGGTAAATGCTGAACATGAGGGGAACTTGTCGTGTAAAGCAAGAAACTGGTCAAGTGGCCCAGAGTTTTGCTGAGTAGAAATGAGGTTTCCATACTCGCCAAGCAAGTATCCGCCGACTTTGATAAGGTTTTCATTACAGTTTGCTGACTTGAGGTACTGAAAGATGGTTTTAACAGAATATTCCTGAAGGTTTTCATTATTGACGACGATTTGGACGACGCGCTGCCAAACTTCATCATTTACATGGGGCCCGGCAATCGACAGCAAGCGTAGTGAAATGTCGACATACCATTGGTATTCAGTTGCGTACTTTTCCACAAGCACGGCGATGCGGATGACCATTTCACCACGAATAGAAAAGTCAGCTGCTTGGAGGTACTTTAATAGTTCATTGACAATTGTGCGGACATTGGATGCGTTACAGATGGAATACAGGAGATCAATGGCTTTCCTGCGGACAGAAATATCACGGTCACGAAGAGATTGGGTAATGGTAATCAAATGAGAAGAAATAGGGACCTGTTCGTAGCGAGATGCCATATTGGCCAAAGCACCAATGGCCAGATAACGTGTGTTTGTTTCCTTTGAAGTTAAAAACTGCCCCAGGATCTGAACAATTTGCTCCATGAGGTTGTGGTCCATGTCGAGATGAATAGCCAAGTCGATTGCCTCAAAGAGAACTGCATTTTGGGCATTGCTTTGTTGAATATTTTTTGATGGAATGGAGTTTGCAGAGATGATTTGTGTAATGACTTTGCGGATAGAAAGTTTAATGGTTTCATCGGTTGAGGGTGGGAAAAACTGGAGCAACCGTAACAGTTTAACAAAAAACCAAGGGGCTGGGACAGTGTAATAGTAGTACTCTTCAGGGCAACCATTTTCAAAGACGAGATGCTGGAGCCGGCGAACAACCTTAGAATAGGCCAGTTTGTAAGCGTCAGGATTTTCCTGAACCATTTCAGAAACAAGAGAAGCCACAGAGGTAGCAACGCCCAAGTTATCGGAGTCAATCTGCGCAATGATGCGGTCTGCGCGGGAAGGTGGGATAATTTTGCGGTCTCTACGATAGAGGCGGAGAATGGTGAGTGCAGCTTTCTTGCGTACAAAGTCCTGGGATGTGGGAGAAATGAGAAGCTTAAATATGTCGTCTGCTAGCGCGTCTGAGATGGTACTTCCACCAACAGTGGCAATGCAGTTAAGAGCAAGACATGTGAAATACTCATTCATGGAGCTGAGATCCTTTTTAATGGAGTTAATGACAAGGTGAAGCATGTCTGAGTTTTCATTGAGCAGCACCGATACAGCCAGGTAGCCAATCTGCTTCTCGGAGTAAGTATTGGAGGAGATGAGCGAGATGGATTCAAGATGGCCAAAGTTGACCTCGTAGCCCAGAATATAGATGTAGATGAGCTTGCAAATGTATTTTTTCTTTTGGTATCCGCTAAGACCCGTGTCCTTGAATTTGTTGCGAATGTTTGCGAGTTCCTGGTTAATGCGTTTGGCTTCGACTTCGCGCTCGCGGGCGTTTCGCAAATCTGCGATAAACCGCACCAGGCCTTTCATTGGCTGCGACATGGTGGCTATAGAAGAATGGAAGACGACTTTATGCTTGTCTGTATGGATAAAGGATATAAAGTATTGGGAGATGACTTCCTCTTCGACTGGAATGTTGGATTCTAAGAGGTCTTTTTTTTTTAATTTTTTTTTTATTTGTTGTTGAGGGAGTAAAAGAAAATTTCCGGCCGGACTGGTAAAAAAACGGATTTCCCTGTGGTGGGTTTTTTTTTTTGGCGGTTTGAAAAAAAAAAAAACAAAAAAAAAAAGTCGCTCAGGTGTTCATTTAGGGATTTGTTACAAGACATTTTTATGTAACAAATAAACGCGCGTTTTTCGTGACTTAAAGACGCGTTATATTTTATTTTTTTTTATTTTTTTTTTTTTCAAGACATAAATAAATAAAAACTTCCCCATTTTTAAATGTAAACAAAAACAACACCAAACTAGCCAGCCAGCCAGCCAGCCAGCCAACCCATCCATTCATTAAATCCAACTTAAACAAAATGACCTCTGATGCAGAGTTTCTCACAAAAAAGTTTGGCAAACAAGATGAAGAAGTTCTTGCAGAATGGTCTTCAATTAGGCAGACATTTAATCTGACTTCAGAGACTCTTTTAGCAAAGTGGGAAGCCCACGATATGTCCATGGGCAACAACTCAAATACACTTTCTCACGCGTCACTCCAAGACTTGCAAAAATCTCTGCAACGGGCATTGGAACGATCTGTAGGGAACAGTGGATCTGGATCAGCAGCTTCTACTCCGGTACCGAAACAAAGAATAACTCCAAGAGTCACTCCAAGATCACTCCATAGCCCAGCTTCAGGTATTTTGGGATCACTACTACCCATGAAACGAGCAGCACAGGAATCGCCAACAAAACAAGTCAAGACACCAAGAGTATCGTTTGGATCACCTACTAAACTGGAAAGTCCACATGCAAAACCTCCATCCTCAGCTACTCCTCTGAAATCTAGTATTAAACAACCGGCTATATTTTCGCGATCAGGAAAGGGTAAGGTCGTTGAGGTTTTGAACGACCACCTTGATGAGATTACAGAATCTTCAAACCAGCCCGATCTGCGGGTCAATGTAGATGTGAAAAAGTTCAACTACAAAACCATGTACCAAAAGCTTTCTGATATTGCAGAGTACCTCGATGAGCAAATTGAAACCATAACAGCTGCTGTGCAAGAAGCTCATGACATTGAACCATCTGAGTTTGGCAACCCGGCTACTATTTCTCAAACTGAGATTGTAGTTGTGGGTCGTATTCTTCCAGAATCCCCGATTGATGATAAGCTTTCGACAGTGCACTTGCAGGCCGGCCGTCGAGTGGGTGCCGGCTCGCGAGTGCCTTTAAGATTCCCCGAACACCTCGAATGTTTTTTTTATCCTGGTCAGATAGTTGCTGTACGCGGGTCGAATGCAAGTGGATCCTATTTTGCAGTTACTGAAATTCTCGACATTCCGCTGCTACCGCCGGCGGCATCTCCCATGGATGTACTGACAAAATATACACTCAACACTGCATCGAACGGACTTAAAATTATGACCGTGGCAGGACCATACACTTACCAAACAGACTTAGACTTTGCGCCGCTTGAATATCTAATTTCGCTGATTAACGACCACATTAAGCCCTCAGCTGTGATTCTTTTGGGGCCCTTTGTGGATGTGTCTCACCCAATGGTTGTCGAAGGTAACTTTACTGTTCGCAACCCACGCACAGGCCTCGCAGATGAATCAGCCACGCTTGATGGGCTTTTCAAGTATGCCATTTCCGAACGCATCAAGCGAATCCATTCAGACATTTCTGTAATCATGATTCCACATGTTCGCGATGCTGCAGCTAGCCATGCTGCGTTCCCACAACCTCCACTGAGCCGCCGTGACTTGGGGTTGCCCAAAAACGTGCACTGCCTCCCCAACCCTGCCACCTTTTCTCTCAACGAAGTTGTGATATCAGCCTCGTCCCAGGATGTAATTTTCGACATTGCAAGGACTTCAGTGCTTATCAATTCCAAAGAGTCCAAGATTGGTGCATCAATGGGGGCTCTCTTGGGTCAACGGTCGTTGTATCCGCTGTTCCCTGGATGTACAGAAACCTCTAAAGTTGGTAGCAGCTTTGAAATCACCACAGGAAGCATGCTGGATGTGCCATATATGGGACTTGCGGAGTTTAACAAGGCCTTGCCTGACATTGTGATTTCGCCGTCACGTATGAAGAGTATGGCGCAGATTACAAGCAACGTCATCATGGTAAATCCTGGGTTTGCATCTCGCCGTGAGAGTCCTGGCGAATACGCCATTTTTTCAATTCATCCTTATGAGAGTGAGACCCAGCAAGTGGATGAGGACTACGTTACGAATGACGTCTACAAGCGTGCTCGGGTAGAGATTGTAAAAGTATAGTTATAAATTTGGGTTATTTACTTTAATTGTTTTTCTTTGCTTCGGTAGTTTTTGCAATGTAGGACTCAACAGTAGCTTTAATGGCGGCTATGGCCTGGGCCTTGGGATTAGAAATGGCCTTCCAGACAAGCTCATCATCTGTAGGAGTAGACTCGCGTTTTTCAAGAGTAGAAAGCTCTGGAGCGTTGGCGAGTTGCAGGGCCACAAAGTCTTTACGGATGAGATATTGTTCCTTTTGGTCCTCGAGTTCTTCTGGGGTAGGGAACTTGGACAGAACAAGAGCCACAATGCGGTTCAAGATGAAGTAAAAGTGTTCGGCAAAGATAAGAGCAGCAAGCAAGATGCGTGGGTCAACATTGACAAGACCAAAACCACCCTTAGAAAGGTCTGCAAACTTTTGGTAGGTGGGTCCGTACATGATGACCAGAGAGGTGGTCACAACTGTTCCAATCCAAGTCACGTAGCGCAAATCCGAGCCCCAAGAGCCGATAGAGTCGGTACGCTTGGGGATTGGGCGGCGGGTAAAGTAGACGATTTTTGCGGCATCACCACGGAGTTCAAACCAGTTGTTCAAAAGACCAGCAAAAGGGGCCAAAGACCAGGCAACACCAAAGATATTGACAAAGGAGAACTGGAGGACCATTTCCTGGTATTCAGCATCAACGCTAAACTCAGGGAGTTTTGAGCTAGCACGGACTTGTTCAAGGTACTTGGATTCTTCAGGTGTGTCTTCAAAAGTGGGGGTTCCTTTGGAAAGAAACTGGTCAACCTTGTCCAAAGCCTTTACTTGGAAATAAGGCAAGACATTTTCAGTAAAAGTACTAATGATCTGGGCAGTGACCATCATGTAAAGGACCTGGGCTTCAAGACGATTACCATTGACTTGATAATTGGCACCGCTGGCAATGTCTCTGCCGATAAAAGTATTAACAGAGGTCGAGACAAAGTCAAGGTGAGGAATAATCAAATGGCCAAAGGGAAGGTAGACGAAAGCAGTCAAGAACATGGACCCAGTAGATGTGATGAAAGAAACTGAAAAGAGCTTTTGGTTAAAGGAATAATCAAAGGAATCATCAGTCTCGTGGTTTTCCCAACCAATGATTTTGAGAATAATCAAGCGGTAAATAGCAACGACTGTGGGGACAATTGCAGCAAGAACAACGGTAGGGATAAGTTTAAGGACGGGTTTAAGAGGTCCATGGTAGACCTGAACAATAAAGATTTCAATGACGAGAGCAAGAGATTGAAGCAAGAAGATGACGGCAACTGCACCGAGAATGAGGGGGACCGAGACAAGCTGTTTTGCAACTCTACGCCAGTATGAATAAGTGGGGGTGATAACACCTGTGATTTTGTCCATTTCAAATGCATTGGGTTTGAAAGCAGAGCGAGGCGTAGTATGCGCAGAGGAGCCCTTGACACCCCAGCGAAGAGCCAGGAGGTTTTCCTTGCGTTTCCAAAGATGAATGAAGAGAACCCCCCAGACGATGTTGAAGAGCCCAAAGAAGACGGTATAGCAGCCGATAAAGAAGTGCATGAAGAAGCCTAAAATGGCAGGAACAAAAAGAAAGCTAGTATAAAAGTGGAGATAGGCAAAGTAGAAGGCCACCTTTTCGCCAAAATGAGAACGCAAGAAATCAATTTCCTGGTCGTCAATGTATGGGCGGGCCTTCCAACGCTTGAACCATTCGGCATTGAGGTCATGATCGGTAAGAGGGAAGATGGAAGTGACAAAGGACCATTCACCAAGGGCTGGAGTGATTCCAAGACCCTTTTCGTACTTAGGGGAAGTCAAAAACTCGTAAACCAAGCGAAGCTTTTCAGCTGGAGAAATTTTAGAATCAAGACTTTCAATGGACAAGTCATCTCCTTTTGGGATAAGTCGTTGAACACCGACTTGGTAATCTTGAATACCAGCATTGATGTGGAGGGTTCTGAGAAGGTCAAAGGTAGTTTTGATGAAGACAAACACAGAGCCCGGGTTTCCCTGACGGATCTGAACATAAAATCCAGAAGTAATAAGAAGAGATACAAGTTTTTCAAGAGTAGACTCGTTAAGTTGGTTATCTTTAGGGTCGGTTGAGACTTTGACTTCAATGACATAGTCTGGGTTGAGTTCAGGCAAGGAAGTTGCGGTTGATGTTTTTTTTTCAGCCGCAGGCTTTTTTGTTGACTCAATGGGCTTAGAGTCGGTAGGTTTAGTTTCAAGAAGAATAGGGTCTGGTAAAGAAGAACCGGTTTCCTTAGGAGGAACCGGTCGGTCTGCGGGACTTGCGGACATTTGTAGAAATGGGTGGTGAAGAAGTTTGCTGTGGTGGTGGCAGAAATGAAAGTTTCTATGAATGTCAAGGCGGGTGAACAAACAGACAGGAAGGCAGGCAGAAAAAGAAGGGCGGCTGGCCAAGTGGCTGTGTGGGTGGGGAAGGGAGAGGGAGAGGGAGAGGTAGAAATGGGCGATGTAAATTGGTTTTGTAGCAACTACTGGGAAATTGCATAACCCCTGTTTACCGGAGTTACCCTGTTTTTTAAAATGACAGACAAAATTCATCAATCAATCAGTCAGTCAAACAGTCAGTCAATCAATCAACCAGCACAATTTGGTTGTTCAAAACACCCTGTGGATCATCCAAACAAACAACCAAACAACCAAAACCAAGTTCTATTGGGGAAAATATTCAAAATGACATCGTCTTTAGTATTAGATCCAGATGCGTTGCATGATATTATGCTGCGGCCAAGTATGTTGAAATTATTTGATTTATGTATATTTATTTTTATTTATTTATTTTTTTTTATTTTGCTAACTGTTTTAGACGTCGATGCAAAAATTGCAGCTCTCCAGTCTCTCAAATCATTTGCAAAACGAAATCCCATCAATGTATGAAATTCTCTCATTAAAAATATTTCTAAATCTAACGTTATAGCTCTCATATGCTTTCAGTTACTTTGAAACCCTTCGCTATGTAGTCGAGTCCTCAGATACCCAGCTTCACTCGCTAGCCCATTCATGTAACGGACATCTCATCAAACGCATCATTACTCAGAACCCGTCCTATCTCGCTGAAATTCTGGATGCTGCTGTTCCCATAGTCATTGACGGTCTTGCGGATTCCAAACCTTCGATCCGGACCTCTAGCATGAGTGTATTTAAAGACATTTGGATGGCATGTCCTGAGCGTGTAGACACTTTAATCCGCGACCTGGGACTTTCCAGTAGTAACCCCACAGTACTCTTAGGATGCCTTGACTTGCTCATTTTCAGAATTACAAACACTTCCAACATCTCGTTCAAACCATTTACCCCACCAGTTGTTGCACTGCTAAGAAACCAGAACCAAGATGTTCGTGTAAGTGCCAGTAAAGTTCTGACGACGTTTTTCCGTGTGGCACGAGAAGCAGCCAAGGAAGATTTGGCCAAAGAATTGGCCAACCAAGGTGTTGATACTGGACTGGCTGAAAATATTCTAAGTTCAGTCAATTATACTCGGCGGTCAGTTTCTCCAGCTCCTTCTTCACCAACCCAGTCAAAGGCCCTTAACATTGATTTCTTTTTACAAGACCCTCGCTACGAAATTGAAGAATTCCCAGCAGAGTATTGTCACTCGTTGGACAATTTTCGACGTGAAATCACACTCATGGCTCCATGTTTTGAGGGGAAAGAAACCGAAGCCAACTGGACCAAACGTGAAGCCGGTGTAAACAAGCTGAGAGGGTTGTTACGGGGGAACATTGCTCAAGAGACCCCGGATCAATACTGTTTAGCATTGAAGGAGTTGTCTCAGGGGATTATTAAAGCAGCTTCATCTCTACGTACAGTTTTGTCTACCTCTGCATGTCAATTAATTAAGGAGAGTTTCATGATGCTAGGCAGTAATCTGGATAGCATTTCGGATATTTATTTGAGTGCCACCATTAAGTTTGCATCTCTAGCTAAGCGCATCACCAGTAGCAATGGTATGATGGCAGCCAGTGCGATTGTTGCCAAATCTTCATACTCGGTCAAGGCAATTAACTTGATCCAATCGAGTTTGGGCGATAAGAATGCACAACCACGGTTATTTGCAGCAAAGCTAATTCGGCTAGAATTGTTTTGCCATAGGACCATTAAGAGCATTGTAGACTCGACAGGCGGGCGCGAGATTATGGAAAGGTGCATTGTCAAAGGTCTTGCAGATGCAAACACAGGAGTACGAGAGGAAATGCGGCTGGCATTTTGGGCTTACAATGAATTGTGGCCAACACAGGCAGCCTCAGCTGCACATGCTTTTGACTCTTCGATTCGTAAAGGTTTGGAGAGAGTCAATCCTACTGGCAAGCCGTTGCCATCGTCGGGCGCAACTAAACAAAGCAGTAGGCCTCAGAGTGGCGGGCTACGTGAGTTTATAATGCAATCGAGAGAGCGCAATAGTGGGTCACGGACTGAAATGAGACAAGAGTCAATACAGAGTACAAGTGGACCAGGGCCAAGGCCGAGGCTGGGCATGCCTCAGCGGTCTGGTGTACGTAGGGCTGTGGGAAGCAGTGGGAGTAATACGAGTGGAAGCAGCAGCAGCGGTATGTTGCGAAGCGTGTCTCGAGATCGGTCAGTAAGCCAGTCATCGTTAGAAGAGTCAAAGATTAAGTCGCGCAGTTTTAATTCTACAGAGGAGCGCAATTTTAGATCATTGCAACGATCTGTGACACCGGAAATGCCAGTGTCGGAAGTGATTGTGGCCAACTTATCTTCGAACCAACCCTCAAAAACCGAGGCTGGAGCTAAGCTGCTTCTAGAAAACCTTGACAATAAAGCTAATGTGCCATCGCTGGAAGTACTTTCACGGACTTTACACCGGTTATTTATTAATAAACGCAAGGATGCAGTATTTCAGCCTACAATCTATGCATTGGTGTCGGACCCCAAGGGTCTTGAGTACCTATCGCAAGTGTTTTCGCCAACTGAGCTGGCGCTTTCTGTGATTTACTCGTGTCCGAGCTCTACTCAGGGGTATCCAATTGTGGAGCGGGTACTGATGGAAGTTGACCCAGAAAAGCGGTTATCATTAGTGACATATTTAGTTTCGCACCGACGGGATGTTGTTGGTGCCGCTGGAATTGGGAATGACTTATACACGCTCAAATTCTTAGAAGCCGTGGTCAGGGACTGCAAGAGCATTGCGATGAACGATGAAGTAGTTGAGAATATCAAACTTTTGACGCTGTATCTACGGGTTGACAAGGATCTACCTGTGAGCCATGTGTTTGATGAGCTGAAACGGGATATTGGGTACGTTGTACTACCTGAGAATGTACCGATTCCAGACACTCCGACGGAGTCCAGAGATGTTGAGATGTCGGACTTGGAAGTGGAGGTTGAAGATGCAAAAGATTCAAAAGATTCAAAAGATTCAAAAGATGCAAAAGATGCAAAAGATTCAAAAGATTCAAAAGATGCAAAAGTTACGAAAGTTACGAAAGAACCTGAGACGCCAGTCTATGACGAATCGCTTACACGGCTTTCGGGTACTGGGTTTTATGTTGGTGAGAACAAGTGGGAGAGTTTTGAGACTCAAGGTGAGTGAATTTTTGTTTTATTTTTGTTTATTTATTTTTTTTTTTTTTGTTTCCCAAAGTTGTTGCTACATTAATGCAAAACAAAAGGCTTTTGTTAGTAGCAGCAACAACAGCTGTTGGTGATGCCCTTAACGGTGATGAAGTTTTCTAACGGAGGTTTTCAATTTTTTTGTTATTTTTTTTTTTTGTTATTTTTTTTAGTCCATAACGCTACAACTGCATTGCAGCAGCTGACGCCTAGTGAGACCCCTGAAACATATGCAAGTCTACTAATAAAACTGCGGAGCCGTGAGATTAGTGAGCACGAGCTTAACAGCTTGGCGGCATTTGTGCGGAATAGCGGCGGCAGCACCAGCACCAGCACCAGCACCAGCGGTGGTAAGGAAAATATGGATGAATCAATAAGGGTAGATGGTGCAGAGTTAGTACGAGAAATGGTGCGATATGTTGAGGGAGGGTCAATGCCAGTAGTTAAAGCCAAGAAGGTGATGAGTGTACTTGGAAGTATTTTGCCACAGGATTTGGTTGGTCAGGAGGCGGCAGTGTTTCGGATGGTGGTGAAGCTCCAGGGGGTGAATGACGAGGGTATTGGTAGTGATAATAGGGAAGAAGGGGAAGATGATCAGGGGAAGTCTATTATTGTTGCAGAAAATGGAACACTAGCCAAGTACATTTTAATGCATGGAGGTGAGCATCTTTTAGGAGAAATCAATATGATTCTTGATACGGAAGGGGTTGTAAAGATGATTGAAGTTTGTGTGGATGAGATTTTGGAGCATCAGTTGATTCCAGGGAAAGAAGTATATGAGCGGCCGTTGGAAATGTGTTACACGTACCTGAACATGTTGGTGAAGCTGAAGCGGGTTGTAGGGAGTGATGGATTATGGGATATTACTAGTGGATTAGATATTAGTGAGCTTGAGAAATTGGGACAAGCATTGGCGCGTGGACTAAAGTTGGAGCAAGTACCGGCTGTTCGGAAGTTATGTTATATGGTGTTGCAGAGTCTTGCGGGAGCATATCGGGGGGTGAGTGATGCACGGACGCGACAAGATTTTGAGGAGGGAGTTGTTGCACAATTGGATGATAAGTCTGTGAGGTTACTTGAGTATATTGTGGGTAGTGACGCGGGATTTATGTCTTGACTACGAAAGGTAGATGGATATATAGTAGAATTTACAATTTAAAAAAAAAAATAATTATTATTATTATTATTATTATTATTATTATTATTATTATTATTATTATTATTATTATTATTATTATTATTATTATTATTATTATTATTATTATTATTATTATTATTATTATTATTATTATTATTATTATTATTATTATTATTATTATTATTATTATTATTATTATTATTATTATTATTATTATTATTATTATTATTATTATAATAAATATATAGAAATGTGATGAATGAAATATATATTTATTTAATTTATTTTATTTTATTTTAATTTAATTTAATTTAATTTAATTTAATTTTTTATATTTTGGATTATTATATTTATATATATATATATGATATACGTAATTTTGAAATGGAGAAACATTTTTTTTTTCTCTTTGAAGGTAAAATAGAGTATAAATCAGGTAGTTTGACGATGGTTCCCATTAATATTGAAGGATTGGAATGTTTTAGGAAGGGGGTGTGTTGATGTTGTTAGTTATGGGGGGGTATTTTTTTTTTTTTTAAAAAAAAAATGATGATGATGACGATGATACCAAAATTGTTTTTTAAAAAAAATGGAATTCAAATTTAAATTAATTTGAGTTGAATTGAATTGAATTGAATAGATTTGAATAAATTTGAATATATTTGAATATATTTAAAAAAAAAGAAAAAAAAAAAGCCCGTTAGAAGGCTGTGCAATTTTACTTACCAGCGAAAAACAAGAAAATTTGCTGAGGAATGTTGAAAAGTTACAACACACACACACACACACACACACACGCGCAAACCACTTTAGGTAAACAAAGGGGGTATATAGAAAAAAGAAGTCGAAATGGTAAAAGTAAAAGATAAAAAAAAAAAAAAAAAAAAAAAAAAACTACAAATATTTAATAAAAAATTTAAAATAAATGAATGAAAAGATTGTAGAATTAAAAAAAAAAAAAAAAAATTGATAACTATGGAAGGTCACCAGAATAGGGAGAGAATGTTCTTTTTTTTTATTTAAATAAAAAAAAAAAAATAAGGATATATATCCTTGTATATATATATGTGATGATTTTGAAACATTTTAAAAAAAAAAAAAATTAGAAAAAAGTTAATTAAGGATTGTTTTGTTTTTTTTTAATTTAAAATAATTTAAAATATTGAATTGAAATTGAGTTTAAAAAAAAAATTAAATTAAATTAAATTCAAGTTTTGTTTTATTTATTTATTTTTCTCCTGAAATTGTCAACATTAAAAAAAACAAAAAAACAAATTGATGATGATGATGATGATGATGGCGGGATGAGTTTATTTTATTGACAACATCACACACACACATAGTTATATTGAATATATATATTTATGATTTATATACGATTAATTTTTTGACCATATTATGCATATTTCCTAAATAAGTAATTTGTTGATAATAATAAAGTGTACACTTACATGTATGTGTGTGTGTGTGATATACAGCCGTACTTCCCAAAAATGCATTAATTTTTTTTTTTTTTTTTTCAGGCACAGACGCGTTCCCTTATTTTTTTTTAGTTTGTAATAGGGAAAAAAAAAAAAAAAGAAATGTTACATTTAGACGTGTCGCAGAAAATCAACACACACACACACATACAAACTAAAAAAAGGGGGTACAGAAAGAAATTTTGATTGAATACATATATATAGACATAATTAAAAAAAATAATAATAAAAAAATGAATATGAAATATGACGAAATAGAAGAAAAATCTCAAATTTTTTTTAGTCTTTTGCTAAAAGGGGGTGGTGGGGAATATTGGCGGCTTTTTCTTTTTTTAAAAAAATAAAAACTATAGTATTGTATACACTGTTTATATATATATATATATATATATTCAAGAAAATCCACTCTAAATTTAATTTTTTTATTTTTTGAAAAAAATAAAGGAATTATATTTATATTCAAGTTTTGAAAAAAAAAAAAAAAAAATTAAATAAATAAATAAAAATCTTATATACACGTTCTTTTGTCCAGCAAGAGTCTCTTCTCTTTAACTTCCAGCAAATTTACACAGTTTATACTTTTTCTTCTTTTTTTTATTTAACTTTCAGCAGTTAACGGATACTTTTTATCCACCTTCTTTATACACTCGTTTTTTTAAAATATCTAGTCACTCGTTTTTTTTTTCTTTTTTTGTCCTATTATATTTTCAATTTATCTTTTTTTTTTTTAAAAAAAAAAATATATCTATCCATTCGTTTATATTCAATATCGAATTTTATCTCTTATTTTGTTTTTTTTTTATTGTTCAAATTTATAAACTTGATTCAAACTTTGAACGCTGGTCGTTTAACCTCAAATAACTCATCATCATAAACAACACAAATGAAAGCTTCCTCTCTCTTTTTAGGAGCCCTTGCGCTCTCGGCTTCAACTGCCTCTGCAAATCCCCTCAACTTCCTCCAAAATCTCATCAAACGTGCAATTAACCCAAATAACAATATTGCCATCTCACCCTATGAACAAGAAAATCTTCATATGAAGCGTAGTGTTTATTCAAACGATACTGCAGTAGCTCCAACAACAACTTTGACTTCTACTCGCTTTGAAACCGTGTATGCTACCATCACCATCAACCGGCCTTCTGTAACTACTTCGGCCACTGAAATCTCTTCAATCACTACCGTCGTTACCCCTGAAACGAAAACAATCTATGTCGTGGGCTCTGATGGCCAATCCTCTGCTGTTTCAACTGTTGTTGATATCACCTCAACTATCGATGTTACTTATACTCTTTTCAAAACAATTACCACTTCCCAGCCACCAGCTTCAGCTGAAACTTCTGCTGAAGTCCTCACAGTCCCCTACAATGAGGCCGAAGATGCTTTGGCTTCGATTGCTGCTGAAGGTGCAACAGCTCACTTTAATGGTAAATATGTCTTTGATGCTACTCAAACTTTGACTGTGACTGTGGCTCTCCAGGAAACTTCAACTCCGGTCGATACTGTGGTCGAAACTTCAACAGGGTCTGTGACGACGGACCGTGTTACTTATACAATTTACTCGACCTACACGCCGCTCCAGACCCAAACATTGACTGTCACCAAGATTCAAACCCGTTCAGCTTCTTCTGCTTCAAAGGGATTTGTTATCAAAAATGCTTATCTCAATGATACTGCTGCACTTAGTTCCAGTGAGGTTGCAGCAGCTGCTACTATTGCTGCTACTACTACTGAAGAACCTGTGTTTTATTCAACTCAAACTTTGGTAACTGCTAGCACCATAACTGCAACTCAAACTCAAACTTTGACTTCAACCATTATTCGCACCGTGACGTCTACACATTCGGACGGCTCGCCCGCTGCGGTTGAGACTGTGACTAACCCGTATGTTTATGTGACCACGGAGACTGTAACGTCTACGCCGACCTCTACCATTGTTCAGACTTTGACATTGACGCGCACTGCAACTTTAGTTGTAAGCACGTCCGTTACTTCGTCTCCTGAGGTTTATACTGTTACTGTGACACCTACAGGGTCTCTTAGTGAAGCTGTGACCCAGGAACCTGTTACTCTTACCACTACGGTGTATGCACCTGTGTCTGAGACTGTGACAGAAACAAAGTATATCACGCGCACCGTGAGCAAGACCTTAACAGCTTCTTTGGCTACTGGGACTGCTTGGACCAACGGAACTTCGACGCAGATTGTTTATAGACATCGTCATGCCTTGAGACATTAAAAGAAGGGTGGGTATATAAATGTATATATATGTATGTATATATATATATTTACTTGCTTAAGCAGTTGGTATAGAGAATATCTCATGTTTTAGAAAAGTATAGATTTGTTTTGTCTAAATGTTTAAATAAATTAAAAAGTTTTTGTCTATTGTAATATATTGCAAGTAAAATCAAAGAATAAGATTTTGAAAAATGAATGTGAGATCACGTGGTTGGGTAGTTTATTAGTTTTAAAGAAAAAAAAAAATTTAATAATAAAAATTTTGGACCAGTCCCCGACCGGGTATTTTCAATAAGACTTTAACAAAAAAAAAAAAAAAAAAAAATTAACAAGACAAGACAAGAATCAATGGTATTTAGTAAAGTTCTGTACAAAAAGTGTGTGAATCAATAGTAGTAGTAGTAGTAGTAGTAGGAGTAATAATAACAAGCAAAAAAAACAAGCAGGTAATCAAGGATGAAAAAAAAGAGAAATAAAACAAGACTCCCAGAATCTAGTTATATCTTCTTCTAAGCTGAAGCAGCTGCAGACGAACTAGACACCTCAACTGCCTCTGTTGCTACCACTGCTGCTGCTGCTGCTGCTGTCGCTGCTTCTTCTTCTTCTTCTTGCTTCTGACGAAGTGCTTGTTCAGCAAGCTCTCTAACCTTGAGTCTATTTTTCATTCCTTCAAGTTCTCTAGCTTCCAGTTCTTCCTGTGTGGGTGCCACAATACTCATTTGTTGGGCTTCACGTTCTAATCGAGCTCTTTTCTCAGCACGAGCTGCTCTCATACGAGCAAGTTCAGCTTGAAGTTCTTCTGGAGTCTTGGGGATACGATGAAGAGTGCTTGGGTCAGGCCAGAAATTGGGCACATTGAATTTCTCATGGGTATCGTTACCGACCCAAATCATGGTACCAATAGGGAAAGTAACACAGATGGCAAACTTCATGATTTCAAGGTTAGTACCCTGCATGCGGAAGTTCTTGAAGAATCGTGACATTTTTGATTTTTTTTTTTTTTTTTTTTTGGAGTTAATTGGTTATGGTTGTGGTTGTGGTGGCTGTAAAGAAAATTTTAAATTAGTATAGTAAAGGCCTTAAAGGAGGGAGGGAGGGAGGGAAGAAGAAGAAGGGAGAGAATTCCATTCGGGGAACGTAAAAGCCGCATGGGGTTTGCTCTCCGTGACTGTCACGTGATTTAGCATTTTTTTTAAAAAAAAGATGATTTAAATTTATAAGAAATTTAAATATTTTTAAATAATATTTAACTGGGCATTTAGCGTAGTGGCTATCGCGTCTCCTTCGCATGGAGAAGGTCACCGGTTCAACTCCGGTAATGTCCATAATCATTACTTTTTGTTTTATATTTTTTTTATACTTTAAAAAATACTTTATTTTTACTTTTAATTTAAAATAAAAAGTCTTATTTCTATCATTTCTATAATATCTATATTAATATATTAGTCTATTGTATTTTTTTAAAAAATAAAAAAATAAAAAACATCTCAAATAAATAAAAAAAAGTCCTCCTCGTCTTTTTTTTTTTTTTTTTTTTTTTTCCTTCTTCTTCCTCACAAGGAATTTGCTCGCGTGACACCAATCGGCAATCAAGGTACCGTTCAAGTATATATATATATATATATATATATATATATAAACCAACAACCGGTTCCGAGGCCGTTCTTTATAAGAAAAAGTAAAAAAAAAATCTAAAAGATTTTTATTTTTTTTTTCCCTCTTCCGATCTTCTTCCTATGACCTTTTCTTGATTGATTGATTTCATTATTAGAATCCAAATTAAAATTATAAGATTCCTTTTAACCGTAAACTTTTTCCTTTTTTGATTTTTTTTTAAAAAAAAAAGTAAAAAGTATCGTTATTTTCGGTCATCGGACTTGTCTATTCGCCGATAATGCTTTTATATATAACATTTTAAAATCATCCATTGGTGACGACTATTAGCAAGTCCTTTTTGTTTTTTTTTTTTTTTTGTTTGTTTGTTTCTATAGCCGTTTGCCGTGCACCAACCTCCTTCAAAAATCTTTTTTAGCAACATCAGTAGTTGTAATGATAGTAGTAGTAAACACAACTGTTATTCCTTGTGTGTGTGTGTGTGTGTGTTTTTTTTCTTCCTTGTTTCTGTTGCACCCATTAACAAAACCTCCTTTTTAATAAGATATATATATCTCCATCACTGATTGACAAAAAAAAAAGGTATTATAGGTCTTCTCAAGAATCTGGTTAAACTATGATAACCTTTCTTCTGTTTTGACGTTGAATGTGTGGCCGATTGACTTGTTCTGTAACCAGTAAAGGTGTAAGAATAAGTTTGACCGAGAGAGGGATTGCAATAATGACAAATGAAAATGGATCCATTGTTATATATATATATATATATATATTGAAGAGACTGAGATGAAATAAAAAAAAAAAACTGGAGAAAAGGGGTAATCGTTAATAGATTAATAAAAAGTTATATCTTTTAAAGAGATGGCATATAATTATTATTGTGGTGTAGTAGTGGACCTAATTATTGATATTTGAAAATATCTTTTAGAAGAAAAAAATAAAAATAAAATAAAAAAATAAAAATAATAAAAAAACTAAAATATAAAATAAATTTTTAAATTTTTAAAAGAATTCCTCGACTATTTATTTAATTTTTTTTTTTTTAATTGTTACTTAAGTTGTTTCTTGGCTTATATATAAATTTGCCATTTTTTTTTTTTTTTTGAAATCGACTTTATCAAAGTACTTGTTGTTACTTGTTGTTTTTTTGTTGCTGCTGCTGCTGCTGCTGCGGCCGGCATTTCCCGTTCCTATGGTTAGACTGGGCTGTACAAAAAAAAAAACAATTCCATTTAGGCTCAACTCAAAAAAAAAAAAAATTTAAAAAATTTAAAGAATTTAAAGAAAAGATATCTTTGGATTTTTTTTTAAAATGGTTTGGAGTTACTAGAATTGTTTAAATAAATAAATAAATACTAAATTCTTTAAAAAGAGTCTTTTTGTTTATAAATTTGAAAAAATTAAAAAAAAAAATTAAAATCTTGTTTTTAAAAATTAAATTGATAATTATTATAATATTAAAAGATTTTATTTCAAATTCTAATAATTTCAATAAAAAAAAAAAAAAAAAAAACCTCATATATTTTCATGAGAACTAAATTAAAAAGCGATATTTTTTTTATTTTTTTTTTATAAATATAAATCAGTTAGTTATAATTAATCTATAATAATTAATTACCTTTCTTGATAAAAGTCAATCAAAGTGGCTGGTTAGAATAAAGAATAAAGAAAAATAAAAATGAAAAATATTTAATGAACGGCACTTTATTTTTATATTTATATATATATATATAATTAATATCAATTTATTAATCTGATATATTTTTGATATTTTTGATATTTTTGATATTTTTGATATTTTTGATATTTTTAATATATTTTTGATATTTTTGATATTTTTGATATTTTTGATAATTTAATATTAAAACTATTTGGATAATATAATAAATATAATATTTGTTTTTATCTTTAAGATATACAACCAAGTATTATTTTAAAAAGAAAGAAAATAAAAATTAAAAAAAAAAAATTAAAAATAAATAAAAAGACCCCTTTAAAATAATTATTATAATAATTATTAACTTTTTATAATTTCTTTATTTTAATTATATTCATGAAAATCATATTATTATTATTATTATTATTATTATTATTATTATTATTATTATTATTATTATTATTATCATCATCATCATCATCATCATCATAATTATCAATAAATTTCAATAAATTTCAAACATTTTTAAGGGGAATTCTCCGATAAAAATAAAAAAAAATTTTGATTAAAAAAAGGTGGCTGTGCTTTTTTATCACAGCAATTCTTGGAAGAAAAAAAAAAAAAAAAAAAAAAAAATTTCTTTTGATTTTTTTTTTTTTTTAATTTTTTTTTTAAGTGATAAAAAATTTCATATTCTAGGCATTTTAAAAAAATAAATTTATTTATTTAAAAAGGAAATTTTTTTTTATTTAAACAGATTTTTGTCTTTAAACAAAATTTTGTTCTTTTTTTTTTTAAAACAAAATGTCCTTTACAAATTGCTTTTGTGCCATTCGGTCTATAACTTAACACAGCCGTACGTGTATTACACTATCAGCCGTATATCATATAAATGTAACACAAATACAGCCTTACATATTACATAATATATTATACAATTTTTTTTTTTTTTTTTTTTTTTTATCTTTAAAAAAAAAATTTTTTTCATCATCATCAAACCCTTTTGCCCTTAAAAAAAAAAATTTCAATTTAGAAAAATCTTTTTTTTTTTTTTTTTTTTTTTGATCCATTTTTTAAAAAAAAATTTTTATTTTTTTTTTTAGATAAAAAATCCATATTAGAAACCAACCACCCCCCTTTCATTCTAAATAATCTCATCTTATACAATGTCCGACGATGTCATCTGGCAGGTCTTAAATGACCAGTTCTGCTCATTCAAACTTACAACTGAAAAAAAACAAAACTTTTGTCGTAACGAATACAACGTCTCCGGTTTATGCTCACGAGAAAGCTGTCCACTGGCAAATGCAAGATATGCAACAGTACGTAACGTCAAGGGTCGACTATATCTTTACATGAAAACTGCTGAACGTGCTCATTTGCCACGTAAATGGTGGGAACGTGTACGGTTGTCAACAAGATACTCTTCTGCACTTGCACAAGTTGACGAGCACCTAAGGTTTTGGCCTGAATTTTTGGTCCATAAATGCAAGCAAAGATTGACACGACTTACGCAAGTAGCTTTGGCAGAACGACGGTTAGCTTTAGCTAGAAGAAATGGTGAAGAAGAAACAAGACTTGTGCCTGTGGCACCTAAGGTTGTACGCAGAGAACGTGGAAGAGAACGGAAAGCTTTGGCAGCAGCAAAAATTGAAAAGGCAATTGAAAAGGAGTTGCTTGAAAGATTGAAAAGTGGAGCTTATGGCCAACAACCTTTAAATGTGGATGAAAAGATTTGGGCTAAAGTTCTAGGGAATATTAAGAAGGAAGAGCAAGTTGAAGATGAAGAAGAATATGAGGATGAAGAAGAAGAGGAAGAAGAAGAAGAAGAAGGTGCTGAGGTTGAGTTTGTTGAAGATGATGATGAAGATGATGAAGAAGAAATGGTTGATATGGAAGATCTTGAGAAATGGTTAGGCAATGAATCCGAATCTGAAGAAGTTTCTGATAGTGAATCTGAATCTGAATCCGAAGATGAATCTGATGATGATGATGATGATGATGAAGAAACAAAACCTCCTGCAAAGAAACGCAAAACTGTTCCAGAACCTAATAAGAAACCTTTGGCAAAGAAACAATCCAAACAACAACAATCAGCCAAAAAGAAACCTACCTCAGGATCTGCGCGTCGCTCAAAGAGTAAACATATTGAACTCGAGTATGAAGAAGAACGTGAATCTTCGCGGCCTCTTGTGTCTAATTAAAAGTAATAATTATAAAAATAACAATAATAATGCATTTATATATATATATATCGTCTTTTTTTTTTTTTTTTTTTTTTTTTTTTTTTTTTTTTTTTTTTTTTTTTTGGGAAGGGAGCCTATAAACAAATTTATATTAATCATTCTACTACTATCATTATTGTTAAATAAAAAAAAAATACATATATATATATATATCGTCATATTTAAAGCACATGATGACGCCCTCCTGCTCCCTCTACAATCTCCTCTACTGATGCTTTGGCTGCTCCACCCAACCCAGCAGTCAAAATGTGCGAGAGCCCAGCAACCGGTGCAGAAATAGTCCGTGTGACAGCCAAAATAACCTCCAAAATCATTGAAACCTGATGCAATAACCACAATAGTGCCAATACTTCCAATATAATCACAGTCGGATATAACATCGGTACCGTATCTGCCACATTATCAATCGGCCTTAAAATAACACTAAGTTGTGCAACCCGCCGAATCGCTGCAAATACCCCACGAAGTAAAGGACCACTAGCAGCAAGCGCTGGTGGTAACTGTCGATCCGTAACTACCTCACCACTGGCTTTTGTATCAACCCCAAACCCATACACTGACCCGTGCTTGGTCGACGCATGCTGCGTGCGACTCGACATGGCAGGCGTCGTGGCTGCTGTTACTACCCGCGGTACACCTCGAGGCGTGTTCCCAACTGTTCCTCCTATCTTATTGTTGTTTGTCTCTGGAGTTTTGCCTCCAAAAATCTGTTTAAGCTTAGAAAATGCAGGTGACCGGTGTGCTTTAAGAGCTGCAGCTTCTAACAACCCTTGAGACGGTGCCCCAGGTGTGCGTGGCTCAGGTCCATACGTTCCCCCAGGCCCACCAAATCCAGGTACCGGCGACCCGATCCGCGACCGGTCTACCATCTCCATATCTACATCACCTTGTCCTGTATACAACGTAGGTTCAATGTCTCGCAATGGCACATTGGCAATTGGAATCCTTACCTTAATCTGTGAACTTGCTGGGGTCCCTGGGAACGTAGATGTGGACCGTGCCGCTGCCGTGGCCGTTGCTGTGGCCGTGTGAGTTGATGGTTGCGATACACCTGTTGTGTGCGAGTGTCCAGACCGTGGTGATGATTCTAAAATCGAGCTGCGCACCAGCGATGAAGAAACTGATTCTGATCTTGAAGAGTATGACCCAGAAGACATGGACGATGAATATACCGATTGCGGACTCGCCATGGTGTGCCCATTAGCTGCCGTCTCAATTGCCCGTAAATCAGGGTTCGCCCGCATGTACCGCGCTGCAGACATCTCTGCAGCCTGTTTGGCCGTCAACACCTGGCTCGGCGGTAGCGTGGGTCTTAGTGTTGCCGTTATTCCACCCACAGTTTCCGTGGCCCATCCTTCAATAGCAGCACGCGTCGAGAGCCACGAATTGTAAAGCAACCGGCTTGTATCTTCTTCCGCTTGGACAGCCTCTCTTTTGGCCTCTGGATGACTACTACTCATGGGTTTCCCCTTCTTTGGCGATCTTTCTAGTGGTTCCTTGGGAGGCTTGGCCGGCGGAGCGTAAATAGGCGGTTCTGGCACGCGGTCTCCCTTGATCACAGGTACACCCACGGGGTCCGATAACATACCATTGCGGACACTCGAGTAAGGAACATCCACTACTAGCTCACCGCGCCGCGAGTACAGCGACATGGACTTTTCAGTAGGTGCCCGCGCGCGGCGCCGCGACGAAGATGACCCGGGCATCATTGGTGCGTACTCAAGAACTTCTGATTCTGCATTCGGGTGATGGCCCATATGGGAGTGTGACAAGGACGACGCGTCAGGGGCCACAACGCGTACACCTTTACGAGCATGCAAAGCTACCTTTTTAGGTTTGGCTGCAACCGGCATAGAAACCACTGCTTGAGGTGCTACTGTTGCTGCTGATGCTACTGCTGCTGCTGCTGGTAATGCTGTATATGACCCTACCACCGTGGTATTTTTTGCTATTGCTGCTGCTGATGCTGGGGTTGCTGGCTGATAGTGCTCCGGGCCTTTAATCTGCTGTACAGGCGTAGACACGACCGGCACAGAATGCTGCGACTTCTTCGAGTTTTTAATAAACTTATCTTCATCTGTATAGTCCATCAGCACAATAGGGATCTCCATATAGTTGCCGGTCCCATCAGGATACTGCGTTTTGAGAAATTGCGGCCGTACTGCAGAAAAATTGTATTGTGGGGGTTGTACATAGTGATTCGGGTTATTGGGATGTGGTCCGGCCATTGCCATTTGCTGAGGAGTCGGCTGAGGGACTCGCGAGTCCACCACACGGATATTACTAGGGGGTGGATGTGTCGACGTGGTGCCATTGACTAAAAGGTTGACCGGTGCTACAAGTACCTTGCCAAACGACGTGAGAGGTTTTTTGAACGGATACCCGTTATTGTGATTATGATTCGGAGCTGCTGCAGTCGCCGGGGCTGCTTCAGAAACACCTCCCTTGGTCGCAGTGGGCCCCGGAGTTGCAATCGCGTTTACTGCAGACTGGGTTGGTGGTAGGGGGGCTGCAGCTGCTTCGGCCTTGGGTTTTTTATGTTTGTTGGAGTTGATTTTATTGTATCGGTCTATGATAGCCTTGGCCGAAAAGTGTGAGGTCTCGTTGGCACTCATCTTACCGGAACTTCTCGAACTTGGAATGCTAGTATGTCCCGTCTCGGGTTCGTCTTGGTACTGTTTGCTTGTGTTCAGGTCACAGTCTGGCTGGTTTAAGTTGCCAGGTTTGGTGGTTGTGTTGGTGGGTGAAAACGCGATTGCTTGGGCCTCCAAATTCGTCACTACCTCGTCACGCGCGGCTGAACCGCTCAGGGGGGTCGTCGCAACAACCGCCTGATCAAAACTAGGCTGGACTACTTGCATGGAACCAATTGACTCGGAGATAGCTGACTCGGTTCCATTAGACTCAGTAGCAATCGACTCAGTCAAAAGAGACCCGGGTCTTACAGTGGAATTCTCATACTCAACTGCCCCGCCGTCAAACGACTCACCTTCAGGTAAAACGCTGTCCATACCGTCAACCTCCCGGTACATGCTAGCTGGGTAAAACGTTGATGACGCCGAAGAAACGTACCGCCGATGAACGCCCGTATGTGGAGAGTCCATGATGGACGATTCCGATTGGGGCCGCGTCCGAGACCTCGACCTGGACCTCGACCTGGACCTCGAATGTGAGCCAGATCTGGATCTTCTTGTTTTGGAACTAGACCGTGACCGGGACTTGTTCTTGGACTTTGGTCGTTCGCTGACCGCATATGCAGGATTGGGCAACGGAAGTGCCGTAAAGTCTTGGACCGAGGAATTGTCATCAGGCTGATCAAGCGCAACAAGACTCGCAAGAGTGGGCTGTTGGTATGTTTGTGTTGGAACCGTGACCTCATGTGCCGACGTGTGTGCTGTGTGCAAGCTGATAGAGCTCGAATTAGCCGAGGTTGAAGAGAACCAGCCTTTGGACGACGACGATGCTGATTGCACCGACCGCGGAGACTCGGAAACACCGGCCGACTGAACCGAACGAGGAGATTCCGACGCAGCCGCACTTGAAAAGCTCGCCAAATTGCTGCCGGAAGCTGCTGCTGCTGCTGCTGATGCTGCTGATGCTGTATGCTGATGGTAGTATTCCGAAGAGCTTAGCGAAGGCATGGACGACATGTTTGCAGGACCACTGCTCGGGTATCCACCAGCTGATGCGGCCGTTCCGTACCCTGAACTTAAACTAGACGCGCTGGCGTTATTACTATAAATTGCCGTTGAAGAGTCCAGTGAAGATGTTGACCCGGTTGGTTCTTGCGCGAAATATGGTGCCGAAACGTAAGTTTCCTGCTCCAGTCGTTCTTGCTCAAGTTGTTCTTGGACCTGTCGCTCCTGCTCCTGTCGCTCCTGCTCCATTCGTTCCTGAGCCAATCGCTGCTGCTCTGCACGCTCCCAGGCAGCTCTCTCGCGCTCCCATGCCTCTGCTTGGGCCCGTTGCAATTTTTCCATGGGGACACCCTGTGCAGTCACAGCCATGATATCGCCATTGGGCATTTCGCCCACTTTCCATCGCATTTTTTTCCTATCCTCCTCCTCCTGTTGTCTGATCTGATTCTGCTTCTGAATCACTCGAAGATTTTGATCGTATATCGAAAAGTACTTCTGAGGACCTTTGTTGTTCCCACCACTGCCTGCCAAAGCTGCCTCCTGAGGAAGCTTCAGCTCAACGTAATTACCATTGCCTCGCGCAGCCTCCGCCGCCCACTCTCGCTTCTGCTCAAACACCTGTGCCTCGTACTCCGCCTCACCGATTTTCTCATCAATCTGTCGTAGCAGCTTATCGTTGGCGCGCTGCTGCGCCAGCGGCCTCAGCCGGTTCCGGTTACGCGCTTGGTCCCGTAATTGTCGCGTATACCTTGCCGCGTCGCGTTCGTCTCCCAAGTCTGCCTTCACCAAAGAGTCGTGAACTACCGTCAAATCTGACGACGGCTGTAGCTCGCCATATGTCGTGTAAATTGTCCCAAGTACACCTGTTGGCCGGAAATCCCGAATATCGCTGGACCCACCAATACTGCTGACTCCACCCCGCGTATACGTAGTGTCCTGACCGGATGTATAAACCGAGCGTAGATCCGCACCATCTCCATAGTAAAGGCTATATGCGTCCTCTGAAGATAAGTTTGAAACCCCGGCCGCCATTGGAACAGCCTCCCGTTCGGGCTCGTTTTTTTTGAAAAGCCCCGAGAGTTTGGCCATTGTTGGTGTTTTTATTTATTTTTTTTTTTCCTTTCTTTGTTATTTGTTACTGGTGTTTGTGTACTTTACAGGAATTTAAAATCTCTGTTACACCGAGAAAATATAATAACAATAATAATAATAATAATAATAATAGACTTATACAGATCTTTTATTTATTTGTTTGGCACGTGATCCTGTTTGAGGCTGTCTCACTCTCCATTCTAAAACCACGCGTACCGACCGTCAAATACAACGGGCCCGGGTCCCAAGGTCGCGTAGCCATGTAGCGTTCGTACCATAGGCCATGATGTGTCGCGCAAAAGAACGCGTGCTCCACTTTCAGTCCACCCAACAGCTGCTGCCATCTCCTCAAGTGTCAAAAGTGGGTCTCCAGAAAGGTTCCGCGGAACGTCCTGTGCCCACAGCACCACAGACCCGAGGTTCCAAGCAAGTGCCTCGGAGAGAGCTGCTTTGATCAAAGTTTCAAAGTCTTTTAAAACAACTTCTTTTTGGTTATTTTCTTCTTCTTCTTCTAACTTTGTTTGGACGCGTAAAATAGCCAGCTTATCGCCAGCAAAATCTAAAGTCCAAAGCATAGATAACGCACCTGCCTTGGCACCAAACCGGCGCACGGGAATTTGCAAGTCTGGCCGCATTAGGGGAGCCAAATAATGCACTCTCGCATGGGTCATTACATGAACTTCATGCGACGGCACAATTGCCGCACGGACACATCCATCGCGCTGAGCAAGAGCTTGTACTTGCGCCTCAAAGTTGGCGCAGTCTCGTTCCGCAAATGCTTTCACGTCCTCTTCACCCAGCCACTCAACTTGAGGCGCTTCTACCATCTTGTCTACCGGTACTTGGAGCTGTTCTGAAGAGGTCAAAGCATATCCAAACATACTATAGTACGCGCCAATATCCGACCACAAAATGGAAAACGCCTGAGCAACTTGTTCATGGGCCACTGTAGAATCTGGGTCGATAATATCCTTAAAATGACTTCCAAACTCTCCTTCAAGACCTTTATCAAACTCATTCACAATGTACTCCAACATCCGCTTGGCATGACCGTGTCCGCGGTGCTCCTCAGGCGTAAAAACTGCACCAACAGTATGACTCAAAGTTGAGCGGACTTGTTGGCCTCCAACACTGTAGATAGCAGGCCGAGTTAGAATTTCACAAGTAGAAACTACTCTCCATCCAGATTCACAAAGTTCCTCAGCAACCCAGTAAGCCAGTCGACCTTTTGTACAGGGTTTCTGGCTTCCCAGAAGCTGCTCGCGTTTCAAGTATTGGTTCACAGTCAAACCTTTCCCCCATGCAGAATGGTTTGCCCTATGGCTTTCCCTGGCCGCATCACCCTCAATTTTACATACTCTAAAGTCCAAAGTCATTTGAATTGTTTACAAGAATAATAATAAAAAAGAATAAGAATAAGAAAATGCCATTACACGGGTTTAGTAAACCGTCCAGTTAAATAAGTTACCTAATTAGTACAAATAAAACAAAATTAAAATTAAAATAAAATAAAATAAAATAAACTACACCTTGGGCGCATCTTCCATCTTGGCTTTGCCAGATTTGATCCACTCTGGGTCGACGAGCTTATCGCGAGCCTCCCATAGTAGCTTATACGAGGTCTTGATGGTACCCTCCGAGACGCCTGCTCTATCAGCAATCTTGGAAGCAGTCTGAGGGTTGCCAAACAAGCCGGATGCGAAATAAATGGCTGCAGCCGCAATGGAAGTTGGTGAGCGGCCGGCCAGCGTGCCCTCTTCCTTTGTGCGGCGAGCAATGTGTTCTGCGGCGCGCGTGATTTGCGACGAAAGTCCCAAGTGCGAGCAAAAGCGACGCATAAGGTCTTCGGCAGTTGTTTGCAGAGGCTGGTACTCCTCCGAGGACATGTGGGACGGTTTGATGCCCAGTTCCAGTAGGAGTTTCTCCATGATTTTAAACGTGCGGCCAATCTCCTTCTTGGGCACTGAGGTTAGCGCGCACATTTCACGGAATGTACGAGCAACTCCCGAGTGTCTGCATGCAAGGAAAATGGCTGCCGCCATCAAGCTCTCTGTGGATTTACCCTTGAGCTTCTTGTCCTCGTACGATAGCTTGAATGCTTGCTTTGCAGCGTCCTGGACCATTTTAGGGAGCGAGTAAGCCTCGCACATTTGCGAGATGCGTGAAAAGGCATCCTGTAAGGCCGTATCTTTACGGTCGTGCGCTGAGCGGTTTTGTGTCCGGCTCAAGTCGCGACCTAAAGTTGATCCAGGAGCACCGGATGCAATTAATGTATCAAGCTGGTTATCATCAAGTAATGGGTTGCCGGCATCACCCACACGACTTGGGTCGTCGTTGCCCTGATCGTCATTGGAAAAGGTACGCCACTCTGACCGTGTGTCCACCACCCGGTCGCCCAACACGAGCCCGCAGTTGCCACATACCACGTCTCCCTCGCTGAACCGCTCCACAAGGTCCGGCGGAGAAATCTTGCACTCAGGGCACTGCAGAAGCAGGTTCAGGTCAGGATGAAAGTCCGGTGAAGGTCCGTTGGGTCTCGAAGCGACAGACATGGTTGAGGAGGGGGAGGGAAAAGAAGAAGAAGAGTTTAGATGGTGGTGACTGGGAATTTCTATGTGTGTGTGTGTTAATAAGCATAAAAAAAACAAAAAAAAAATAGAGTGCGGCAGAAGGTTGTAGAAAAATAATGTAATGATTAGTAATTTAAATGTCAGATTGAGATTTTTTATCAGCTTATGTAATTTTTTTAAAATTTTTTTTTTTTTTTTTTTTGTCTACACACAACAAGAAATTTTCAACTTTTTTCTAAAAAAAAAAAAAAAGAATTCCCATCATCATCATCACCAACAAACCACCCAAAACAGGATTTCCCCTTCATCATTCAAAATGGCCAGTAAAGTCAAAAGTAAGTCCTTTTATAACTATTAAAATCTTTTTTCCCTCTATCTAACTCTCTTCAAGAGTCCAAGAGTAAACGTGGAACGACCCGCCTGAGAGAAGGCATCAAGAAGAAGGTCGCTGCTCATAACCGTAAGCAACGCAAGCTCTCAAAGAAAGACCCCACCTGGAAGTCGCGACACCCTCGTGATCCCGGTATTCCTAGCTCTTTCCCATTCAAAGATAAGATCCTGGAAGATATTGAAGAGAGACGCCGTATAGACACAGAGCTCAAGGCACAGCGCCGTGAGGAACGCCGCCAGGCTCTCGTCAATGCTGGCGAAACTAACGCCGAGGCTATTGAGGCCCAGCTGGATCAGGAGGAAAAGCATGACAATTCAACTCGTCTGGCCGCGCTGCTTGAATCGGCACGTGCTGCTGCCGATGAATTCGATAGTGACGAAGATGATGATGATGATGAAGACGAAATGGATACCGAGGACGTGGAGGGAGTTATTGACATTGAAATTGAGGATAACGATTCCAAGGATAGTTCACGCAAGGCCTTCGATAAGATCTTCAAGGCTGTGGTGGACCGATCAGATGTTATTCTGTACGTTCTGGATTCCCGTGATCCTGAGGGTACTCGCTCACGCCAGGTCGAACAGGCCGTACTGGCTAAGCCCGACAAGAGACTGCTTTTTGTGCTCAACAAGATTGATTTGGTTCCATCCAATGTCCTCAAACAATGGCACTCAGCACTCAAGCAGAGCTTCCCTACCCTGCCACTGGCCGCAGACAAGGCCGCTTCTAATGCCGTCACATTTGTTCACAAGGGCCTGACGCAACAGTCTACTGCATCCGCGCTGCTTCAAGCTCTTAAGGCATATGCCGCCAAGTCCAACCTCAAGCGCTCCATCACCGTCGGTGTTGTTGGATACCCCAATGTTGGCAAGTCATCTGTCATCAATGCACTTCTTTCTCGTCATGGTGGTTCTAGACGTGCATGCCCTGTCGGTGCCCAAGCCGGCGTTACCACTACCATCCGCCAAGTCAAGATTGATAATAAACTCAGTGTATTGGACTCTCCTGGAATTGTGTTCCCTGCAGTGGAAACAGCCAAAAAGGGTACTGCTCCTGTGGATGAACAATCGCGACTGGTGCTGCTCAACGCGCTGCCTCCCAAGCAGATTGATGACCCCGTGCCTGCCGTGTCTCTGCTGCTGAAACGCATTTCCAAGAATGCCGAGCTTAGAGACCGTCTTATGGCTGTTTATAAGCTGACACCGCTTAATGATTCTTCATTCAACTCGCTTGTGACTGACTTCCTTGTACAGATTGCACGCAAGAAGGGCCGTCTGGGTAAGGGTGGTATCCCTGATCTCAAGGGCGCTGCACATGCCGTTATTGTGGACTGGCGCGACGGCCGCATTCCTGGTTGGACTCTGCCAGATGCCGATGCTCTGGAACCAAAGATCCCTGAAAACAAGTCTGATTTGGTTATTTCGGCCAGCGGACCCAAGGAAGAAAAGGTGATTGTGACAGAGTGGGCTCAAGAGTTTAGTCTGGATGGCCTGTGGGATGGGAACTTTGGAGGCGACGACAATGAAGATGTGGAAATGAACTAAAAATGAAAAAAAAAAAAAGAAAGAAAGAAACTAATTAGAATGTAAAAGATTAATTAAATGAAAAAAAATTGGATTTGAATGTTTTAAATTTAAATGACTTGAATTTGAATGACTTGAAGATATTTGTAGACCGAATCTGGTTATTAAAAAAAAATTTTTAAGCCTCTCTTAAATTTTTATTTTTATTTTTATTTTTTTATTTTTTTTTTTCAGGATCCACCACCATGGGCATTTTCGACCTCAACACCCATATCTCAAACCGCCTGCGACGCCCGCTGGATGACCGTAAGCTCGCAGAATCGCTGAAGCGGGCCGTAGCCAAGCTCGAAAGTACTCCTGGTGCGGATTCTTTGGCATTAGCCCGGGCATCTGCCAGTTTACGCGCGCTTCGCCGGCGAAGAAGACGCGTTTTGTCTGCGTCTTCATCAGGGACTCTTAAATCTTCATACGCAGAACCGCCGGTCCCATCACCGGAACACCGTAAGATTACGTGTCTGGCTGACCTAGACCCTCGAGACACCAAAATTCTGCGCCAATTCTCTGAAGCTCACGCAGGACACCGGGTGGTGTTGCGGCGACCAAACCTGCCAACAACAAAGATCCGCAAAAGACGGTTGTCGTCATCAACACAGTCACAGAACCAATCGGTTACAGGTATTGTTCCAAGACTTGAATGCATGCCTGCAGAAATCCTCGAACTCGTGTTTGTATACTCGCGGAACTTGGAACTGCCGCTGGTGTGTCGTGCCATCCATAACAAATTGGCTTCAGGACATCATCACCATCATCATCATCATCATAGACAACCTACTCCGTTTTCGGGTAAAGGCCTGCAGTTGCGCATGCTACGCTATGTGTCTGTGCCAGTGCACGAGTACGTTTTGGATGATACCGATAAAACGGTGTTTGAACATTTCCTGACACCCCATCATCATCATCATAAGAAAAGACCGTCGCCTAGAGCTCTTCGTGCGATAGATGAACAAGTTCTTTCACTAAGATTTGTCACGGCACAACTACTGGCTCGGGCTGGCATCCGGTTTGTTTTGCCGAGCTTGGACAGTGATAAAAGCATACGCGCAATCAGCATACCGCCGGATCTGGAAAATCTGGGCACGCGCGCAGTGGACTTGCCGCACCAAGTGCTCACACCAACACCAGGAGCAAAGCCTGCAGGCCTATTGAGTGACCGGCGGCTGCGGCTGGCTTTGTATCTTCTGCAATTTGCCAACTATACCATGTCACTACGTGACACGGAGCCCGGGAGTGGCAGCAAGCGAGAGGCAGTGTCTGGTCCCCTGTTGGTGTCGTGTATTCATACACGGGACGTTGGGGCTTTACACAGACTGCAAAACTTGACGTACACGCAAACAACCACAATAACAACGGGGGAAGAAGAGCAGGCCATAACAACAACTACAACCACTACCCAACAACTGCTCAACGTCAAGCCGGATGTGTTGCTGATGGCACTGCAGACTCACGACACGGGAATCATAAGGACAGTATTGGCCATGGCGCCGAGTGACACGAAAAATAGCGACCGAATATGGGCATATATTCTGCAGACCAAAAGCACGGCCATCAAGCAGCTGGTTTTTGAAGCTGGCGGACGGCCTTCTCTGCAGGCGCTTTCAAGAATGTAGTAGAGTATTATTATTATTATTATTATTATTATTATTATTATTATTATTATTATTATTATTATTATTATTATTATTATTATTATTATTATTATTATTATTATTATTATTATTATTATTATTATTATTATTATTAGAGTATTATTAGGGAACAGAATTTATAATTACACGGTACAGAAACAGGAGAGAAAATGGTATTAGTGGCCCTGGGGGTATTCGCTGTACTCGGCAAACCAGGGGTGTTGGAGGGCATGAGAAGCAGAGACTCTATTATCGGGAACAAGTTGTAGGAGGGCCAAGAGCAGGTCGAGGCCAACAGGATCGATTTGCGGGACAATGGCGCGCATATCCTGCGGGGGGTACTCTGGGAAGTCTGCTTTATAGTTTGGTAAGGCCTGAATGTTGGGCCATGTACGCGGGGTCGGAGTGCCCATGATCTTAAAAATACGCTGGAGCTGGTCATCGTTGGATGAGCCGGCAAAAAGCGGGCGTCCGGTAAACATTTCTGCGAGAATACAACCTGCAGACCACATGTCGATGGAGGTGGAGTATGTGCGGGACCCGAGTAAAACATCTGGGGCACGATACCAAAGAGTGACGACTTCGTTAGAGAATGTGTTAACAGGGATTCCAAACGCACGAGCCAGACCAAAGTCGCCTAGCTTGAGTTGACCGCGGGCGTTAATAAGAAGGTTTTGGGGTTTAAGGTCGCGATGCAGAACACGATTTTCGTGGCAAAAATGGATGCCCTGAAGCAGCTGGTACATAAAAGACTTGACAGCGCGAGGGTCGAGTGCTCCCTTGACACCATGGGTGTCCATATGTTTTTTGAGGTCGCGGTCCATGTACTCGAAAACAAGGTTAAGCTTGTTTTCCGTGTGAATCACATCGTATAGGCGCACAATGTTAGGGTGTTTGAGCTCTTTCATGAGCGAGATTTCGCGGATGGCGGTGGACGGTGTGCCTTCCTCGCTGTCGAGGCTGATTTCCTTGAGTGCCACCAGTTGGCCGGTTGCTCTATTGCGGCCCTTGTAGACGCTAGCGTAAGTTCCTTCGCCTAGTTTCTCGAGTCTAGAGTAGTGAGTGTTAAATAGAGACGCTGGAGGAGATAGTGATGGTGGTTATATTTTCTTATTTGGTTACATACTGTTGGAATCTAGATAGTCAATATTATAATTATTATTATTATTATTTAAACACAATGGAAGTACGGATTTAAACATACTGAGAAGAGGTCATGGCCATCGCAGGCCCCGCAGCGGTATTTGGTGTAGTCGTAGTCGCAGCCGCCATTTGGAAGGGAACTTTTTGCTAGTTAGTTTGGGTGGGTTGGTGGGTAAGGTGGGCTTTTTTTTTAGGATAGAAAAAAGTGGTGTTTGTTGTGAAACTTTTGGGGGGATTTTTGGAAGGGTTTTTTTTTTAATGTTTATAAAATGGGAATGAAGGTTTGTTAGTTTGGAAGTTTTAAAGAATGGCTGTCAGTGGAGATTTTAATTGAAAAAAAAAAAAAGATCAAAGATCTAAAGGTCACGTGCAAGGGGTAAAAATGGGGCTTTTTTAGTATTTTAAATGCATCTCTTACAGTAGGGAATTTTAGTGTTTTCATTAACAATTGCAGGTTCGATGGTCTAGTCGGTTATGGCATCTGCTTAACACGCAGAACGTCCCCAGTTCGATCCTGGGTCGAATCAAATATCTTTTTACAAGTGTTTTTAATTGATATGAAAACATTTAAAGTCCTTTTTTTATTTTTATTTGTTGAATTTCCATCTTAAAATTCTGATTAAATTTGGATGTTTTTTTTTTTTATTTTTTTATTTAGTGGTGTCACTTATAGAATTTTTTTAGTTTAGTCTCTACTAATGTTAACCTCCGTCTAAACCTTAAAAAAAAAAAAAAAAAAAAAAAATCATTCTTCCCCTAACCCTCAAAAATTATCTCTTCAGTTCTCACTTTGGTTTCAATGGATGTTGACAGGCCTCTAAAAGGGTCCTTCATTTCCAAAAAATGATTATTGAAATAATTTAAAAAAAAAAAATAAAATAAAACAAATCCATGCTATTTTTTTATGATACTTTTCATGTTTTTTGTAAAAAAAATTAATCTATATGTATATTGTAAAAATTTAAATCAAAAATCTTTATTCATCTAAACTAAATATATTTTGAATACCAAAGCTAAAACAATGCTTGTTTACAAAATTATCAATTCAAAAAAAAAAAAAATCAAATCAAATCAAATTAACAATTCCCTCCGAAACCTCTCTTTATTTCCTACTATCATCGTCAATTCTACTTTCCAGATTATTTTTTTTTTTTTTTTTTTTTTTTTTTTTTTTTTTGAGTTATCATTATCATTATCATTATCATCATATTTAGGTAAGTGAACATCTCCATCAACTTCTTTTCTAACTTTTAAACAGTTATCAAAATTATATCAACTTTATTGGAAAATGGTATGTATTCTCTACTAATTCAAAAACTAGCCAACTAACATCCAAAGTCTCGCAATAGCTTATTTTAAATGCTAATTAGCAAGCCCTTCTTCTAATCATCACAAAAAATTTCCAAATACAAAGCCGTTAACTAGAAACGCCACGCACAGACTGCCCCCCTCGTCTAATAAGTGTGTGCGGAGAGGAGACTCGCCAGGCATTATTCTTCTTTCATCATGACTACAGCTGCGAGTCTACGGGAGCCATACTCTCTCCGAAACAAAAATCCTGGAGAGATGAAAAAAAAAAAAAAACATTAATCGACAATTAGTTGTCATAACAAGGTTATACGCTACAGGTAGACTTGTCGGCCTGGTTTTGCTTGGGCGTATATTCCTTTGGCCTATCGGTTTTCTTAGGGGATTGGGTCTTGCCCCTTTGATTACCACCAAACAAACTATCATTATTATGATTATTCGTGGGAACTTGGTTGAAAAAAAAAACGTTACTTATTATTGAAAAACTTGATCTATGATTATTTATTCATTTGTGGAACCTTGGTTGAAAAACTTATTTTATTTTACGTTTCTTAAATCTAAATTTTTTATTATACTTTTAAACTCTTGCGATCTGCAACTTCGCTTCGACATAGCTTTGTTCAACAGCTTAAATTATTCGATTTTGACATTTCTAGCATCTTCAGCATTTTATTGATACTTTAAAACACACATTCTACATTATTCAGCATCATTTTAATACACAATACATTTTTTTATATTTTCCTATTCTCTGGTTTTAGTTTAGATCATATAGTTTATAACCCTTTGTTGTGGTTCCTCCGCATGCCATGGAAGCTAGCTGCCTTTTCTTCAGACCCATTAGAAGCTTAGGCGTCCGTTAGTGGAATTGGACTTTTTGCGGAAGAGGGTGCCTCTCCAGGTGCAAATGACAACTACACAATTGGGGGCGGAAAAATTTTGGGAATCTTGTCAGATAAGTTCCATTTTTCCATGGGAAGTAACCTGAGCAAGCGTCCACGTCGTGCTTCCTGGGATTTCTGGCGGCTACTAAAGCCTAATCAGAAATGCGAAATTTGCTCTAAAATATGTAACATCTATATAAATAAGAAACAAAATAGAAATTCAATTGAAACTCAATGATGGCTATAAAAATAACTCTAAAACAAATGGAATTTGAGGATTTGATCAAGAAGGTCCAGCTTTTATTATAGAAGCCTGAATAGTTTTGTATTATTACAATATCTTATAAAACAATTCACGTTATGTTTAAAAAAAAAAAAAATTGAGGAATTATGAGTAAATTGATTATTATATTGACATTATGAGAAATTTGATTGATGTTATATGTTTATTATTATTTTGACATTATAAGTAAATTGATTATTATATTGACATTATGAGAAATTTGATTGATGTTATATGTTTATTATTATTTTGACATTATAAGTAAATAGATTATTTTTAAATGCAAATTATACTGATACATTTTCTGTTTGAAAGTTTAACTTATCCAAAATATGAAACTTATATATGCTTATAAATGTCTATGGATGAGTCAACAAATGTTTGTTTTGATTGTTTATGAGATGAGAATCCCTAACAGTTTTATGGAGAATCTTAAGAGATTCTAAGAGAAATGGTGGTAAACACTTGTTTAGTATAAAAGTTCTAAATAGCTCTCATAATATTACTACTACCCCACAGTTTTGTAATAAAATTATAAAAAAAAATATATCATTACTCTACCACCTCCAAACTCATCAATAATTCCTAATCACACTATATATATTTTTAAAGGAATTTAAACATTCTGATGTCTTTTTCTTAAAGTTTTTTTTTCACATTATTTTACTTTTTCAATAGCAATATTAAATGATCCTTATTTCATTCCATTTTTCTGCTTATTTATTACATTATTCTTCTTTTAAAATAATTTGAATATGAATAGTGCTTGTCTATAGCTTTTTTTTTTATTGTCAACTTGGTCCGGCTATTGTTTCTTTTTTTTTGATACTCACAAGCCATGTATTGTTTATTTGTTTGTTTGTCACAGTGCCTTGTGAACTACTATCCACATGCTATTTTGGATTATATGATTTCTTTATGATCATAAACACTATCTTTTAACAATTAAAAAAAATAATAATAAACCAGAAATTAAAAAGGTCTTCTTTACAATTATTTTATTTTTCCCACACTTTTAAAAAACAAAAAAATAATTGATTTTATATGCGTCAGCCCGGAGTCGAACCGGGGGCTCGTCGATGGCAACGACGAATTTTACCGCTAAACCACTAACGCTTATTGTTAGAGAACCTTTTAAAGCCTATAAATAGCAAATATTAGAAATTAGTAAAATACATAGTAAATTACCAGAAATTTTTTTTAAGAGTATTAGAAATATATAACATAACAAATATTTTTATTCTTTTGTTTTTTTTTATATTCCTTTGTTTTAAGAAAAAACAGAGTTTTATTAAATTTGAACATTGGATCTTCAACAGCTTGAAAATAAGTCTTGATATCAGCTTACAAGGAACATGGGGTCAAAGACCAGGGCTTCCCGACTTTTTTCCACCTGTCTTTATCAACGAAATAAATGTATTTTATAATATATTCAAGCATATATAAAGCTTACAATTTGAAAGCCAATTAAAAAGTTCAAGGAAGTCTACATGTCCATCTCTAAAGATATTAACCTTTTTAATCCATGTCTTTCTTTTTCAAGTAAAGGGCTCAACCAAAATGTGATTAACGCTTTCCAGCTCTCCATATTTAAAGTTTTGGTTATTATTTTTTATTCCTAAACTTTTGAGACCAAGAATTAAAGTTGCCAAAAACTATAAAACAGCCAGGATGTTTGTTTTTATTCAAGGGTTATAGAATTATATAACATCAGCATCTGCACTATCCTTCTTGTCCATACTATATATCTTTTCATTTTGGTAATAAACTTTTAATTTTGCCTTCAACATTGCATCTTTAATCCATGATGTTTGTTTGTTTGTTTTTATTCAAGGGTTATAGAACTATATAACATCAGCATCTGCGCTATCCTTTTATTGTCTGACTATGTGACTTGCCGGTTTTCATTTGTACCTTTTTAGTACGGGTGGTTTCTGTTCTGTGCGTCTCCGGTAGCCCGGAAGATGGGCCCTGATGCCAGCTTACGAGTAACAGGGAGAACCAGTCTGTCGGTCCCAAAACCTTCCCAACCCATTTCCACTTATCTTCACGGACGCCCATGTATTTCTTAATCTCTTCCGCCAGAGATACGGCCCGCAATCACCTGCAGGCTATTTAGACTGTACGTAAGAGTCGGCATTCCTGTAACCAGGGTAGCCTGTGGTTTTTCAGTCTAGGTGTATACTCCCGTACACATCCTCAGGAAAAGGGGGTATTCTGGGAATCGAACCCAGTATCTTCCGCTTTCGAGCGAACGTGTTATCTTTTACACCATCCAGCCCTTTCCCCCCCAACAGCCAGGAGGAACCAAAGATATATTTCTTATTTTAAAATAGTTGGGCTAAGGACACATGAAATTTCCTTTTATTTATCAATCCGATATAGTGTAACGGCTAGCACGGTTCGCTTTCACCGAGCAGTTCGGGGTTCGATTCCCCGTATCGGAGTTAATTTTTTTTAGTTTGCAGCTAAACTAGTTAATTTTATTTTTGGATATTTGTTAAAAGATTAATGATGAAAGGAACAGTTTCAAGACGGTCATAACTGGTTCGGACATGGTGACTGGTTTCTGTACACCTCTGTACCACTGTGCTTTGTACTTTGTACCTTTATGCTAGTTATTGTCTTTCAAGAAATCCATTACACTTTTGTTATCCTCCATGATAACTGTTGTGGTTTAAAATTCGCCAGGTTTCTTTATCAGTAAATCTCAAAAGTTAATTGCCTGACAAGAGACCTGTGAACGCATTTTTCCATATGTGTTCACCAAAAATCTTTGAAATATATCATTATTTTTGTTTTTAAATAGAAATAAATCTTAAATTTTGTTTTTTTGTTTTTAATTCTAAAGTAAAATGGCATTTTATTTCATTGTTTGTTCTTTTTTGTTTGTTTGTTTGTTTGTTTTTATTCAAGGGTTATAGAACTATATAACATCAGCATCTGCGCTATCCTTTTATTGTCTGACTTATGTGACTTGCCGGTTTTCATTTGTACCTTTTTAGTACGGGTGGTTTCTGTTCTGTGCGTCTCCGGTAGCCCGGAAGATGGGCCCTGATGCCAGCTTACGAGGAACAGGGAGAACCAGTCTGTCGGTCCCAAAACCTTCCCAACCCATTTCCACTTATCTTCACGGACGCCCATGTATTTCTTAATCTCTTCCGTCAGAGATACGGCCCGCAATCACCTGCAAGCTATTTAGACTGTACGGAAGAGTCGGCATTCCTGTAACCAGGGTAGCCTATGGTTTTCAGTCTAGGTGTATACTCCCGTACACATCCTCAGGAAAAGGGGGTATTCTGGGAATCGAACCCAGTATCTTCCGCTGTCGAGCGAACGTGTTGTCCTTTACACCATCCAGCCCTTTCCCCTTGTTTGTTCTTTTTTTTTTAATTTGTTACTCTTAATTTTTAAAAATTCTAGTATTTCAATGTAATCCTGGTCACATAGATATGCGGCTCGATGGTTTAGTGGTATAATTCTCGCTTAGGGTTATTCTAAGCAATTTGCGAGAGGTCCCGGGTTCAATTCCCGGTTGAGCCCAACTCCCTTTTTTATCGGTCCATTAGTCCGGTTTTGCGGTATATTTATTTTTGCCTGGTCAAAGTTAGGCCTTGGGTTGTTCAGGTAAAAGGGTGGCTTGGTGTCTTCGATTATAAACGAAAAAATATTAGTAAAAACAAAGTCTATCATATATTTTTTTTATAAATTATAAACAAGAAAAAAAGCAACAAATAAACAGATTAATTATACAAAAAAAAAAAAAAAGAGACATTAATTAGATGGTCATGGTGGGGTTGTAAAATCGTAAATAGGTCTTGAAAGGCCTTATCAGTGGTTCTCGTTATTGGATTAAAAACAATCAACTGAATCATTCATTCATTCATCACTAGCACGTGGTCGGAACCCGGAAAAGGTCATACGCATATTGCCATGATCTCGATCATGGTCACGATAGCGATCACGGTCACGGTCGTCAGACCCGTCAAGCATGTATGAAGACATTGTGCTGCCGCTTCTGTTTGCACTCAGAATTCCCATGACACGTCCCGGTCGCTCGCCCAAACCAGTGGTAGAGGTCCGTTGTGAGGATTGATCCTGGTCGTCAAGTATTTTTCTGCGGGCATCATCACGGTTGTTGGTATCACTTTTTTCCGGATCGCTATCATTGCGATCGGTATCGTCTGGGTTAGGCGAAGCTTCAGATGCAGGTGTGGACAAACCCGAAGCCAAGATAGGCTCTTCATGAATCCGCAGGTTATTGTGGATCCGTGCATACGTTGTGGAATCATCCTCTTCATTGTCGAGAGAATCAGAAAACGAGCCGCTGCGACTAATTCTTCGCAGCGAAGATGGAACAGCCGGACTAAAATTGGTGGTTATGGGCGAGTATGAAGGTGTATTGTAAGACGTACTGCCGCCAGTCAGGCTACCTGTGAGCGACGGACGATGCCCAAGTATTGGCCCTGACGACAACGTAGAGTGTAGGTTTTCAGTGCTTCCGCCGGCACGCATGCGCAGAGATGTTGGTGGGATGGGTTGATGATGGTGATGCATGTGAAGATATGAAGAGGTGGGTACAAGTGGGCTGGGAATTGTATCCGGGACGATTTCTGAAATATTAGAAGATCGACGCAATAGGGGTACCACACCAGAAGACTCGCTGCGATTGTAGGATGGGCGAGTGCCAGTACGTGAAACTGGGGGTACTGTTGCTGTTGCTGATGCTGCTGGAGAGATGGAGTCTGATGGAGTTACATGCTGTTCAGAGACCGGGGCTAATGGGTCATCAGGATGCATTTCTTGTGTGCTAAGTGCCGAGTATCTTCTTGAAGGTGACAATGGAGCAACAACAGGAGCAACTGGGGTATTTGATGATGGTATAGGTGATGGTGATGATGATGATGATGTTATTGCTGACATGATTGGCACAGAGCTTGAAGCAGGACCTGAAGTAGGCGGGGTTGGCGAGCTTTTGGAGATGCTGACTTTTTCAGCAGAATGGTTTTTCTTATTGAACCGGAAAAATTTGCTTCTTTTTTCAATACTGTGAACTGATCCAGGTTTAGGCGGTGAACTCTCGTATTCTGCTTGTTCATACTTGCCGTCATCGCTACGATGAAAGTTGTTGGCAACACCTCCTACTCCTGGTGTATCTGCGCCTGTTGTAGTTGCTTGACCACCGCCAATCATGGGCCAAAGCTCCGAGGCTGAACATGGAAGGTCTGGGACAAGTTCGACGTAGTCGTAAGCAAACTCATCGTGTTGGGAAAGGTCGAGACCGCCAGCTTCATCAGCGGTACGAGAAACGCGCAGTTGGAGTCCAGGGATAAGTCCAATGAGAAAAAGTAAGACGGCTGTCATGACAAAGGCATAGGCACTGGAGGCCAAAGTGCCTGCTATTTGAAACCACAGTTGGACGTAATGATGGTCAAGCCAGCCACCCTTAATGACTGTGACTGTGTCGAGTGCTGCAATGGACTTGGACGCAAAGAGTGCTGTGAGAATGTTGCCGGTAACACCACCGATTCCATGGACTGCAAAGATATCAAGTGCGTCGTCAATGCCCAGCAGAAACTTGACCTTGGTTGCTCCGTTTGCAGCTGCTCCGCCAACAAGACCAAAGATGAGTGCAGACCAAGCCGGGACAAAGCCAGCGGCCGGAGTAATGGCTACTAGGCCGGAAATGACACCGGAACAAAAGCCCACCACAGACCACTTGCGCCCCATACGGAAATCTAATAACATCCAAGTGATACCTGCCATGGCACCGGAGATGTTTGTATTGATGACGGCTTGGAGAGTACGCAGAGTTGGGACGATAGAGGCACCAGCGTTGAAGCCCATCCAGCCGGCCCACATGAGGGCGGTGCCAAGAACAACCAGCAGAACCGAGTGAGGTCTTGCATCGAGAGCAAGAAGAGCCGAGTCAGTCGCCTTTTCACTGGCCAAGCTACTAGATGTGTTATAATCGTCTGATTCTGAGTGATGACTACGGACTTTACGCGATAAAAGTCTGCGGAACCGAATCCAACGTGTCGATGACCAGACGGCGTCCATACCTGCGCGTTTGCCGAGCATGAGAGAATACGCGAGGGCTCCGTAACCGGCCGTGATGTGGACAGGTGTACCACCAGCATAGTCGAGATATCCGAGCTTTGCGGCCCAGCCGTTGGGGTTCCAAGACCAGCAGGCAATGGGTGCATAGACGATTGTTGCCCAAACAAAGAGAAAGACCATAGCTGGAAGAACGCGTCCACGGTCTGCAATAGCGCCAATCAAGAGTGCGCCTGTGACGCAAGCATACATGGATCCGTAAACAGCTGCTGTTTTTCCGAGAATAGTGTTTGGTGCAGAAGCTCCGAGGGATGTTGCCGAGTCTGTGGCGGAAGCTGTTGTGTTTGCAATGTTGGAGAGTGTGAAGATATTGCGGAACCCTGCATTTGCGAGGTTACCAATGTAGGCTGTTGCGCCAGTCTGGGAATAAGTGAGCGAATAGCCCCAGACAAACCATTGGATTTGAATGATGGCCATGGCGATGAGAGAGATGGCAGCCTGAGACAGGGCGGATTTCCGGGGAGACAAGCCCGAGTAGAAGAGACCGGTCTGAAAAGAGTTAGAGTGAGACTTATTAGAGAGATGAGAGAGATGAGAGAGAACGGTTGGTACTTACGCCCATAATCTATATATTGAAAAGAAACGAAAAGAAAAAGAAAAAAAAAAACAGGTTAGTAAAAGATGATTTTGATATTGATCAAAGTGTATATATAAATATACTGACCATGAAGAAGATGGCAAACCCTGCCCAGGACAAAAAGACGATGGTGGCGACCTGGTAGACCTCGCCTGTAAGAGCTTCATAGTTGCTGTTATCGGAACCTACAGATACCGTTAGAGATGGCATTTGCTGGAGACGGGAGCTATAGAGAGAGAGAGAGGTTTTGAATGGGTTGAGATGATTTAAGATGGTTGATATTGAAAAGAAAAATGTATTAGAAAGGAATTAAAAAAAATGAATAAATAAAAAAAAATAAAAAACCAAAACAGTTTTAATTATGTATGGCTAGACATAAATGGTGAGAGATGCTTTAAAAATTTTAAAAATAAAAAAAAAATGGCAGTAACAGCAACTTTTTTTTTTTTTTTTTTTTTTTTTTTTTATTCTAAGCATTTTAAGCAAAGTGTAAATAATTTTTATATTATAAATAAATATAAACAACAAACAAATTTCTATCGGAGACTACCCGCAACAAGCCACGTCCAGAGGCGCAACAGGCCAAGTTCTCGGTCAGTCGGGAGCAAATACAAGATGAAACCATAATGATCATTATAATGATCATGAACCTTGAAAAAAAAAAATAAGAAGATGAAGAAGAAGCTTCTTTTGCACCGTTATATTTTATTTTTATTTTAAATTAACCGTTATAAAATGCCATTGTTAATTAATTATGTCCCGTTGAACTTAAAGACATTTCCACTTCTTGATTTCCATAATACAATACAAGTTCCATTTCATTTTCATTTTCTTCTCAATAAATATATTTTGCCCTTTGATTCATTCTTCCTCACATGCTTTCTTTCATCTTTTTACATTTCTCTTAACTTTTTAAAATGTAACCAACTTGTCTGTATCCTCTCACCCCCCCGGAACGCCTTCCTAAACAGGTGCAACAGATGCATCAACTCGCTCTTATCTAACCAATCGCTGGCTGCGCTTGTGCAAGTAGTGGTTTTTTTTTTTTTTTTTGCGCAAGTACACCATCATCTTGACTGCTCCATACACCGTCTTGGGCCATCTTAATCACATTCCCCTTAACCATATAAGGTGCCCACCATAATAATAATAAAAAATAATTACAAAATTACAAATATACAAACTAACAGACCTCTCAACTAAAATAGTTCTAGCATAAGAGTAATGGGCTTTGAAAAGACAAAAAAAAAAGGTACGGCTGGCCTGTTCCACTCACGTTCATTTGACAGGCCAATCAATGTTATTGTACCAAACAAAACTAAAAAACGGTCCCTCGGCCTATACAAAGAAACCAAAAGAAACCAAAAGAAATCAAATCAAATCAAATCAAATCAAAATAAAATAAAATAAAATAAAATAGAATAAAATGAAATAAAATAAAATGAAAAACTTCCTTGTAAAAGTCAGTCTATTCGTAGTCGTCATCATCGTCTATATGCGGCAACCAAAAAAAAAAAAAATAAAAAAAAATCAGTGCGCTTTTTTTTCCCTTTTCAGATAGCACATAAACGGCTTTCAAGTTAAGTTTGATCCATGATACATTTGAACTTTCAAAACTTTGTCTGTATATTTAAATATATAAAATTAGTAGTATTGTTTTAATATCAAATATTAAAAATTGTTAGAGTTATTTTTATTTAATTCTAAAATAAAAAAAATTCATATTGTAGTTTATATAAAAGTTATTAATAAAAACAATCTCTTCTCTTCATTAACACAACCCCCCCAAAAAGTTTCCAATAATCAAAATTTAATAAATACAAAAAATTTCATTCTCATACAAAAAATCATTTTTCTCTTCTTCTTCTTCTTATTCAAATCCACCCGTCAAACTGAGGATTAAAAAAAGCACGGACCATAGGTATTGTTATAAAGTGTTTTTTGAGTGTTGAGTCCCAACGCTTTATTTTATTAGCATTTTCAACATCCACAATACCTTCTAGCCGCTGATACCGATCATCTTCAAAATTTTCAAACGTGTGAAAAAAAAAATGTTGGGGACATTCACAATTAGCTTAAAAATGTCTTTAGGAGATACAAAGTGCTCCTCAGGATCAAGGTTTTCATGATTCGACAAACATTGATTTAATTTCTCGTCATCAATGTTAAGCGAGATTAGTACTTGCTTGATGCCGGTAGTGACTAATCCTTTACACAACAAGTGCAAACGTGGAGAATATAGTAAGAACCCTTCCAAATCGCTAATTGAGTTTTCAATAGTAACATATTCCAATGATTTACAATTTCTTTTAATGGTATCGTACAATAGTTCTGCATTTTTCATGTGATAAAAATATGAATCCATAAACTGGAAGAACTTTTCATACATTAGGCTCATTTTGACATCTGTATTACCAGGATCAGAGATTAAATTTAAAACTGTTTTACAAATAGACTTGACACAATAAACGGAAAATTCATTTTTATTTGGAACATATATCCGGCTCTCCATTTCAATAAACGCTTGTGTGCACATGTCTATCAGCTTTTCCGATATAACATTATTTTCTATAAGGTCAATTTGCTCGTCGTCACTTAACTTCCTTACACAAAACATAATTCCAGATAATAGGAAATATTCTTTGCCACAAAATAAATTCATGTTGACTTTTATTTTGGTCAAATTCTTCATTAATCCAGTAGAATCCAATGCAAAATTTAAACCCCCAAGATAGTAACAACATAACGAAAAGGAAACAGATGTGATTTGATTTTTATATTCTTGTAGAAATGTTTCAAATGCGTTGTGATCCTTTAACATTGAGTACGTACTGAAAATGTAACGAGGTTCAGTGACTATGTATGAGATTAAGGATGGGAGCCTGTACCGTTTAAAAAAGAGCAAGGGATATTCAAATTCACAATGGTAATAAAGACAAGTCACAGGTAAATCCACCTTCTCACTTAACCTAGTATCTGGTATTATTATAAAGCCTTTCCTAATTCCATAGACACTACAAAGGTGCAAGTCACAGATTAAAATACTAGATGGCAATTTGCGAAACTCCAAAACCTGAAGTGCAGGGTTTACCCTTGTTTGGCGATTTTTACAAACCCACACGTCACATTGAAGGTGTATTTCTTTTAAATTAGGGAAATTAACTGGCGTTTTTTCAGCATCAAAAAACATTTGCAATAAAGGGACATTGGTTAGTATAACTTCAACCCTTACCGATTGTAAATACCCAAAGTCGAGGACACGCTTGGTTAAAAAATTAACTTTTAAGGCGGCGAGTACTCGTCTTCATTATCCTTTATAAATTTGATACCTAGTCTATAGGTTAAACTTTTCATCTGAATTTCGTGGTCATCTTTGGGACACAATGGTTTCAAGATTAAGTAGATTTCTTCTTCATAGCCAACTTCGTTGCACAACCTTATAGAGATTGGAATTAACAAGGGATTTTTTGGAGGAGCCTCTAAAAGCAGCGAAAGTGAAGCTGCTGATGTTGGCTGTAACAGTCGTAGTCTGGGTAGTACTTGTCAACAAACCACTTTTTACAAAGCACATTCATCGAGCCCCAGATTCCTCCATAGTCAGGTCCATCAAGTTCAAGTATGCGCACCTCGTGCGCATAGAACCATGAATATTTGTTAGGCTGCGGTGCCACGACTTTAAGAGGGACCGTCATATACCGTTGGTATTTTCGGAATGGGGGTAGGACTGTGACCATGGAATAGCGCCACTTCAAGGGCTGATAGACTGCACGCAGACTTGCACATGTCATGCTCAGAGCATGCATATCTGGGTACGGTTCCATGAACTGTGCAATACTAATGTGAACATCAGTTGACAGTGTTACAAGAGACGGTCTCAAATTTAAGGTAGTCATGTCTTTTGAAAGAGAGAAAGGTTGGAGATGAATTTTAGTTGAAGGTTGTGAAAAAGATTGATGGAAAGATTAAAGATATCGAAAGCAAGTGAGGATGAGTTTAACATGCCTCGTACACTTATCTTATCTTTTCTTGTAAAATTTCTGGTTCAGTACCTTGCACACTTAGCCTATCTTTTCTTGTAAATTTGCTGGTTCAGTAAAGTTCTTATTTGGGGAACTCAAAAGCTTGACATTAAAAATTCACAGTGGTATAAAATCTTTTTACCTAAAAAAATATTGCCAATTAGTTTATCTCAAGAAAAGTTAATTGTAATTGAGACTCTAGTAATCTCAAAGATTTAAATTGAGTTTCCCTTTTATATACATCCCTCAAACTATCTTTGGAAAGAAGTTTTTTTTTTTTTTTTTTGCATCTGAAAATATTTGCAATTAAATACCAATATTTTCCTATAAAAATATATAAAAAAAAGTTTCCAATAATCAATATTTAAGAAATACAGCTAATTTCATCATGATAAAAAATTCTATTTCTTTTATTTAAACCCACCCGTCAAACTGAGTACGAAGAAGAGTGTCTACCATAAACAAATTCCGATTATCCATCATTGTCATGTTAATTTTTTTAAGCGTTGGGTCCCAGCGCTTTATTTTTTTTGCATTTTCAACATCCACAATACCTTCTAGTCGCTGATACCGGTTGTCTGAGAAATTTACAGGCATGCTGAAGAAAAGCATGTTGGGGACCTGCACAACTAGCTTAAAAATATCAGTGGGGGTTGTAAATTGCACCTCAGGATCAAGGTTTTCATGATACGAAAAACATTGATTCAAAAATTCATCAAAAGTGTGAAGCGAGATTAGTACTTGCTTGATGCCTGTAGCTGGAATCCCTCTACACATCAGGTGCAGTCGTGGAGAATATGGTAAGCACTGGAATATTCGCGTGTTTTGAATACTAACATATTCCAGTGAGTTCAAATTTCTTGCAATGGTATCATAAAATAGTTCTGTACTTTTAACCTGATCAAGAGCTTCGTTGAATGATTTCAATAAATCTTTAAATGGGAAAAACCCTTCATCTCTTTCAGTAATTTTGGCATCTAAATTGCTAGGATCATAGATTGCATTTAAAACTGTTGTACAAATAGACTTGGCACAATCAACGGGAAAATTATCTTTATTTTGACCATATATCCGGCTCCCCATTTCAATCAACACTTTTGTACACATGTCTATCAGCTCTTCAGATATCTCATTAATTTTCATAAGCCCAATTTGCTCGTCGTCACTTAACTTCCTTACACAAAACATAATTCCAGATAATAAGAAACATTCCTTTGTTGGAAACCAATCTAGTTTGACTTGTATTTTCGTCAAATTTTTCATCGAATCAATCAACTGCAATGCATTTAGGCAAACCTGAAAGTCTTCAGCGTTTAACCAAAACGAAACCGAGGTGATTTGATTTTGGTAATTTTTTGTCAATGTTTCAGACGAGAAATGACCCAAGTCTGTAGCAAATTGGTATGAGATCAAATACGGTAACCTGTATCGCGTGAAAAAGCGGGAGGGGTCATGACTCAACAAATAAGAAAATGAAGTTACAGGCAAATCCACATGTGGATGCACATCCCTATTTAGTCTAGTATCTGGAATCACTAGAAAGTCATTGTGATTTGAATAAGGAGGATAAAAATTAAGGCACAAGTGACAAGTTAAAACACTAGACGGCAATTTGCGAAACTCCAAAAATTGAAGCGCCGAGTTTACCCTCATTTCGTCATAAATAAACACCGTGTCACACTGAAGGTGTATTTCTTCTAAATTAGGGAAATTCACTGGAGTATTTTCAGCATCAAAAAGCATTTTCAATAAGGGGATCATGGGTGGTCTAACATCAACAACTACCGATTGTAAATACCCAAAGTCGATGATACGCCCAGTTACGAAATCAACTCGTAAAGCGGGCGAGTACACATTATTATCCATAATAGAGCCTGAAACTATTCTCTGGAGTAAACTTCCTACCAGCCGTTGCATTCCCTGGTCATCTTTGGAACACATTCGTTTTGAGTTTATGTAGATTTCTCCGTCGCCAACTGTGCTGTCCAATCCTACAAAAATTGGGTTAAACATGGGAGTTTTTGGAGGAACTTGCATGAGTAGTGCAGATGAAGCAGTTAACGATGACTGTAACCGTCGTAGTTCTGGATAATACTTGTCAACAAACCACTTTTTACCAAGCACTTCGACCGAGCCCTGGATGTCTTCGAGGTTAAGTCCGTCAAGTTCAAGCGTGTGTACCTCGTGTGCATGGAACCATGAATATTTGTTAGGCCGTGGTACTACGACTTTAAGGGGGACTGTCATGTACCGGCCATATTTCTGGGGAGGGAACTTGGTTGTGACCATGGAGTAGCGCCACTTTAGGGGCTGATAGACCGCACGCAGACCTGCGCAAGTCATGCTCAGCGCATGCATATCTGGGTACGGTTCCATGAACTGTGCAATACTAACGTGCACATCGGTTGACAGCGTCTCAAGTGATGGTGCAGGGTTTAAGGTTGTCATGTCTTTTGACAATTTAAAAAAAAAATGTGGTAGGGGGGTTAGTTAAATTGAGAGAAGAAGAAAGATGGCAAGATTAACGATAATAGCAAGAGAGGATGAGCTCAATAGGTTCATTACGTAGCAAGCCGTGCATAGTTACCCTATTTTGTTCTTTGTATCCGCGGGTTTATTAAATTTCCTATCTGGGGTATTCAGAAATTTGACATTTAAAATCCACAACTTGAATAAAGAGATGTTTAAAAAAAAATATAATTGGGGGGTTTCTATAAATATGGTTAATTATTCTATTTTTTGTTTTTTTTTTCTTCACCAATTTTTTTTTCTTAATTATTTAATTTGCATACTGCTTATTTGCTTTGATATTTAATAAAAATAAATAAATAAATCACACACCAGCTTTTACTGCTAATAGCTTTATAGCTTTTTCAATTTTATTTTTAATTGCTTTAAATCATCATGCACACCAAATTATTGTCCAATTGCCCTAGTCTCGAAGGTCAAAGTCCCAAGAAAAAAGATACTCGCTTGGGCCGAGTCAAGCTTACATGGGAAGAAAAGGGCAAGTCAAAACCTAGTGTGGATCCGCGATACGTTTGGGATGGCCTGCATCCGATGCCGCCAGATTATTATAGTACAGAGAATTGTTATCGAAGAAGATATGGCATTACCGATGAACAGCTTGATTCTCAGGATGATGAAAGGGGAAGAAGAAAATACCAAAATGAGGTTTGGGAGGAGGAAGAAGAAGAAGGAGAAGGAGAAGAAGAAGAAGAACAACAACAACAAGAACAAGAAGCAGGGCCCAGTGGACATAATTCAAGAGAACATTTGGAAGAAGATGTGGAAAGTGAAGGGATGTATGTTGAAGTATCATCAATACCTGAACAAAAACCGGAAGATGATTCCAAGATTAAGCGACCTAGTGGTCTTGGACAGTTTATTTCTAGTGTTCATGAATCTCTAAAGAGAACATTTGGGTTGGGTAACCGCAATTCTGACATGCCTGAAGTTTCTGAAAGACCTCTTGATAAAAGATTGTACAAGTCAACACTTAAAACACTTTACCATACACGTAGTGATAGTCCAGGGTTGGATTTTATTGACGACGATTCTGGGTCAGAGGTGATGACAATGGCAGATAGTACAGGGCACTCGAGAAGACAGCCATCGGAGTTTACTTCGTACAAGGGAATTATTCCAACCGAACCGTTACACAAGAGATGGCTTAAACGAAACTCAAATAAGGATGAATCCAAGTTGACGTCACCTGTGTCGACATCGCCAAGTAAAAAGTTCAAAATGAACCTGGTAGTAATGATGGCTTTTGTTCCACCACCATCAATACCACAAAAAAAACCATTACAGATGCCACGGGCTCGAATTGAAGCTAACAAGTGTAAGCGATGCCGCAAGGAAAGAAAGAAGTGTGTGTGCAAGTTAAACTTGGCAAGTTTTATGGATGCGTTGGGGTGCTCGAGTATGCCTGGGAGAACAACCAGGGATTTGGAACAAGTACCTGGGCTCAAAGACGATTATGAGGTGTTTTCATATGACCGGTACAAGTGGCCACACACAGACTTGAGCCGGTCTTTTGATACTGTTGCAATATTACCATCACGATGGCCCAATTACTATGCTTGGGATCCCAAAATTAATATTATTAGTCCTGAAATGTTTTTCATGCCCCGCAAGTTCCCCTGGTTTCGGTCGCATGAGGTGCGCCGTGTTCTTATCCATAAGACGGTTTTACCATACTTGGAAGGATTGATGCGTGACATAGCAGCCATGCGGTCTAAGGGTACACTGACTGCATCAATTGCGGCAGAGAAGATGGGACGAGAGTATCCCAACAAGTCGTATGGAATTGTGGTTGATGGCGAAGAGATTTTGCGTGTTAGTGAGAAGGAGACTCAGAACACAAGCGATGTTTACCGTAATACGGAGTTTGAAGAAGGTATTATGAAATCAAAATTGTTGACTGTGTATACGGATTATGATTTGTACTATTTTGACCGCAATGTGTTTTTCCAGTACTCTCCTCAAATGGAAGTTATTGTCCAAGGAGACATTTTGTCGGAGGAAGCTCGAGATGAGATCAATTTACAAGTGAATGAAGAAACTGCGTTTGGACACTTTACTCACCGGACACAAAGCCACCATGAGATTGGATACATTGATCAGGAAGAGCCTCGTACATTTAATATGTACCATGTTTTGTCAAAGATTGGGGGGTCATTGAGTTTTGCTCCAGAAACACTTTATGACATGTATTCGATTCTTAATTATGCAACAGTCAACTTGACGTCACTGACAGTCGAGGTGAATGTGCTAAAACAAGCCATGATGAGATTAAAACCTGATATGAATAATGTGGGATGGGGGGCTATAACAAATGACAAGTATGTCCCGCAAAGGTTTGGGCCTACCAAGGCTTTTGATAAGCTGCGCACACTTATCCTTTATCCAGGGAAAGATACTCTTGTTGTGGATTACCAGTTTATGGTCCAGGAAATTAATGAAGGAATGCCGGCATTACAAGAGCTTCAGACTACTCATTTGATTGACAATATTGAACCGACCGTTGGGACATTAGATGGATTAAAGCGTACTTTTGCCAAGTGTAAGGTGCTTGCTTGTTTCCCTAAGGAGGTTGAATTTTGCAAAGAATTACGAACAGATTTCCCATTAATGTACTTGCCTGCCGTTACAGATTTGGAAGTATTTGTACAAGATGATGAGACTGGTGCAGATTGTCAAGGATTGGCAGAGTTTGTTGCTGCATTTTTGGCACATTTAAACATGCCCAACTTGCACACATTGGTGCATCGCAACTTGCCATTTAGCTGGTGCAGCGAATCGATATTTGAATCGCTTTCTGTGCGCAGCAATACTCAAAACAAAGTAACTGGGATGCAACAACTTGAAGTGATGTTGAGAGAGCCAGAAGATTATATGCACTTGCTGAATTTGATATTACAGATGCCACACTTGCAACACTTGAATGTGATTTCGGAGGCCAATAAGGAGCTTTATAAGACTGGATCGTACATGCAAAAGATTTCAGATGCTTGTAATGTACTTTCTCTGTTTCAAGATGTTGGTGTATTGAATGATTCCATTTTATCTGACTTTCGTGAACGGGAGGTGATTGAAAGTAAGCCTCGGTTTTATCTTGACAATATGGATCTCAAGCAACTTGTTTTGAGAAATGAAACGCACATTAAACGGGCTCAAGTATTGGATAATTCAGTATTTGACTCGACAGAGTTTATAGTAAAGTACATGACGAAACGGTTCCATGGAGAAAAGGAAACTGGCGAAGTGATGGCGCGCGTGATTGGGAGTCCATTACAAACCTTGATGCGTTCAAAGGATGGTCATCAGTGGAAAAACTCTGAATGGGGGGATATTATGTATGAGCTGAGTGCAATTGAGGCACTGGTAATGCAACTGGAAAATATGGAATCTCTTGAATACTTTGCACTACGTACACAGTGTACGGCCGTGGCAAGTCCACGGTTATTTAGGTTGATGGTGACTCACCCGCGGTTACGACAAGTGCTTGTTGACGAGCCCACACGACGGTTATGGCCTGAGCAGAAGCTTGAAGAGTTGACGATTACACCATATGTATTATTTACTGAAGAGGGTCGGACAAAGAGAAGTAGCAAAGTTGATGGGGTAGAATGGTTGGGACCTTGGAGCATTGCAGATTTGCCACCATGGGTACGAGCAGTTGTAGGAGATCAAAACGATGCAATTGAATGGAGCAAGATTGAGTATTTGCGCAAGTACCGTATTGCTGGGCTCAATTACTTGGCAACACGAGCTTTTGGAATTGAATGTATACGTGCTTATACAAGACCACAAGAAGTTCAAGGACTGGTTGGACGTTCGACGTGTGGGTATTCCGCTAATATGTTTGTGATTGATGCTGAAAAGGTGCGTCGGATGAAGGCCCCACAACTTGATGAAGCAATTCCTGAGTGTCTTGTGGTGAAGAGTAAAGAGAAGAATAATGATGATGATGATGATGATGAGAAGAAGAAGAATAAACCCATAAAGGAAGTTGCATTGGAGAATGAAGAAGGTGGATCTGATTGGTGTGAGTTTACATTGGAACGGTACATGATGCAGCCCATGTTTTTACCACGCATTGACATTGCAGTTGATCACGAGTTTGATGGAAAGTTTAAAGGATGGATCAATAAGAAGACTATACAATGATTTGGTGATTTGCTTTTTTTTTTTTTTTTTTTTTTTAGTTTTTCAGTTCGGATTTTTATTTGATTTTAATAGTTGGTTTTTTGAATTTTTGTGAAAGAAGAAAAAGAAGATGGAAATAACAAAAAAAAAAAAAAAAAAAAAAAATTGGGCACTTGTAGCCTCAACTTAAAAATTTTTTTTCCCCCTTCTTCTTCTTCTTCTTCTTCTTCTAGAAATGGAAATTTAATGTAAATGATTTGTTTTAAGGAAAATCATGAAAAAGTTTTTTTAAAACAACTATATAAAAAAAAAAGAAAACTCATATATCATTAAAAATAAACCAAAAAAAAAGCCCTTGGTGCCAGCCAAAAGATGTAAACCAAAAAAAAAAAAGATATATATATGTATATATATATATAAAGATCATGACCAAAATCTCTGTTTCTTCATCGAAATTCATAGTACGGATATGTCCCCCAATCTGGAGCATGCGACAGGTCAAGTTGCTGGTACACCTCAGAGTTTTTATGATAATATACGCCCGTGATACTTCCATCAACTTGGTTAAAGCAAATATAATAAAAGCCTTCATAGGACGCTCCCTCCATGTTGCGTACCTTGTAGTCAGGAACCAGGAAAAACTCCTTCCATCTCATAAAAACATGTTCCTGATTTTCAAACCTATTATGGACATAATCTGCATCGATTTTCTTGTCAGCTTTAGCAGCAAGTGCGCGCCACGCATTGAACCGGTTCCAGTGTGTACGATCCACTTGATCGTTTTGGTTCCACTCGGGTCGTCGTGTGTAAAAAGATATTGTAGGTGATACCATTTCTCCCTCAAAGTATGTCTCCATCACACTCTGGTTCTCAGTCAACCCTCGGATTCGCAGGTATCCGCATAAAAAGTGCGTGCTCATATCTACCGATTTGAGAACAACAGATACTTCGTACGATGACCGCTTGCTATGCTGGGTGCCCACAAAATGAGCTCCGGGCCGTAAGTATGACGAGGTTTGGAGCGGGATGCGGCGGTCATACCATGGGTCGTGGAACACAGAGTCGAGTAGCGATGGCCGTAGTAGGGTATTATTGTTTGAAGAGGTAGACGGGGGTTGCTGTGGTTTCGAAAGGTCTTGTGATAAGTCCTGCTGGGGGTTGTTTGATTGTTTATTAGATACTGAGGCTTCTTTAGATGAGGATTCCACAGGGTTGTTATTATTATTGTTGTTGTTGTTGTTAGTAGTAATGAGTTTCTCATTAAATCCATTAGTACCCCCACTCGAGCTTTTAGAGCTTCCTTGTGATTGAGTAGTTCGAGTCTCCAAAAAAACCTGAGTATCCACAGATAGTTCTGTGGCCTGGGTATCTGTGGAAGAAGTAATGCTTATGGCCATAGGCAGTGCACATTGGACTCTGGTCGCGTGCGTTTCACCGCAATGGCAAATGGTAGTAGTAGTAATAGGTGTAAAAGTATCTGCGGGGGGTCCCGGAGAGCTCATTTTATTTGGAGACACTGCAGCTGAAAGTCCTGGACTCATAGATGGAGCAGAGTTGTTGAATGAAGATTGTTGAAGATGATTGTTGTTGTTACTGTTGTTGTTGTTGTTGTTATTGAACTGAGTGGCGGCGTTATCTGTGAGTGGTTGTGCGGGGGAAACTGGGATTCGCAAGATACCAGCGGATTCTGTGACTTCAACAGCCGCCGGACTGTTTCTAGCCGTGGTATTTATAGTTTCCAAACCATCTGGCCCAGCTCCGTCATTAACTCGGGGCATTTTTTTTTATTTGTTTATTTGATTGTATATATATATATATATAATTTATAACAAAACTTGTAAAGTAAAGTAAAGTAAAGTAAAGAAGAAGAAAAAGAAGATTGAAGTGGTGATTTTTTTTTTTTTTAAAGGAAACTTTTATAAAAAAAAAAAAAAAAAAAAAAAAAAAAACCAGCCAAACTGAGCTTTTTTTTTTATTTTTTTTTATTTTTTAAAAGGGAGAAAAACAAAAGCGGCGGATTTTCGTATAAAAAAAAAAAAATTTTTTTTATATTTTTTTTTTTTTTTTTTTGGTGGAAACAAAAAAAAATAAAAAAAATAAATAAAAGTCACGTGGATACGAAAACCCCCCAAAGTCATGGGTCGGACTACCCGTTACATTAACGTGCAATCGGACCTTCAACAAGACCCGACCATTAATTAATCTTAATTAACATAATATAACATAACATATACACCTTCTTTAATCCCAATAGGTAATCACCGAATCTTTTCCTGCAACTGCCACCTTAGAACTCTCCTGCGGGTGAGCTGCAATGCACGTTACTACAGACCCCTCACTGGTCCCGCCGGAACCACCACTCACTTGAAGTTTGGCCTTAAGTGCACATGTTTTCCAATCCCAGAAAAATGCATAACCATGAGCATCACCCGACATTAGGTATTTACCATCTGGTGAAAATGCAACCTGAATAGGATACCCAGCACAAGCATGGCCATGGAATTCCTTACGTCTATTTTGACGGAACTTGGACTTATCCAATGCACCAAATACAAGTACTCTATTATCCATACTCTGCGCAGCAACAAACTTCCCTGAAGGATGTAATGCAACTGTGGGCATTGCATGTTGCGTGGGATCAGCAATAAACTTGATGGGAACATTGATTTGCCAATCCCATACTCGCACACTCTTATCATCCGAGGTCGTCATGAACCGCCGATCCTCATCCACAAACGTGATGCTATTTACAGGCCCCAGGTGATGGTCATAAGTTTGAACTACAGCATCAGCTGGCGGCAGACGTGTGTCCCATTGTAGAATTGTATTGTCCGACATACCTGAAAGAAATTCAGCTTGTTTGTCTGCCTCCGGACTAAACTTGACACAGTTTGCCATTGCCCGAGCCGCACGAGCACCTGACGATTTACGGCCCAAGTCAGTGTACCGTTGAATCACTTTTCCTGTTTCTGTGTCCCACAGTTTAATTGTTTTATCGTAGGAAGCACTTAGAAACTGGGTCCCGCCTCCTAGCTGGCCACGCACACCATTGAATGCCACGTCCTTGACTGCTTTAGCATGGCCATGGTATACCCGTAATTGCTCACGATTGTTTCGGTGACAGTCCCACAATTTGATGGCTGTATCGTTGCCACACGAAAGTAGCAAGTGTCCAGAATATGGGAAAAATCTTAAAGCATTAACACCACCACTATGGCCAGCCCATGTATGAATCTTACGTTTAGGTACAAACGTTTCTTGTGACCCAGGCTCTTTCCGTAAATTCACTTCTAGGTCTTGCGGAACGTGCATATACGTCCGTCCAAGGTAATCATATTCCTGAGTACCAACAAACTCGGTCCATTCCTTAGGACCTGCGGGTATTGTAGGTTTCGGCACTGCTGCAACCATAGCAGGTGCTACCATTTCCATTTGTTCTTTTTCATCGTCTTCATCTTCACCTTCTTCTGATGTGTATTCAAAGGATGAAGATGATGAAGATGAGCTTGGCTCTTCTTTACCGTAACTTGCCCAGGGTCCTTTATATGCTCCTTCTCCATCAAGCACACTAGAATCTCCCCTCCCATGTCTTCCACTCTTCAGTTTTTTCGCCACCGTTTTTTCTTCTTCTCTTTGAGCCTTTCTCTTTTTTTCAACTTCTAAATCATCCATTTCGGCGGCCTCGCTAGGTCCAGTTGTTTCCCCAAACCGTCGAAACATCCGGTAATTATCTTCAAATGTCGCATTATCAAACACCTCCTTGTCCATCCGTCCAGTAATGATATTTTTGCGCACCCGATCTGGACCCAGAGGATCAAACGGGTTTGCAGGACCCGCAGGTTTGTTGTATGTCTTTTGTGTTTTGCGATACTCTTGTAAAGTCGCTAGAGCTGTTTGGCCTGTAGACGCGCCAACAACGCTTACCGTAGAAGTCTTTTCAAACGTCAGTATAAAACCATTTCACATAATTAGAAAACATACCTGAACCAAAGCTAAGGTTCCATCAGGCTCTGAATCACTTTCAGATTGATAATCTGGGACCAGCGACATTGTTTTGTAATGGTGGTGGTTGTGAAAAGAATTTTTATTGATATTTTTATTTTTTTTTTTGTTGATTTTTTTTGTTGATTTTTATTTTTATTTTTTTTTTTTATAAATTGAAATTTTTATTTTTTTAAATTTTTTTTTTTTTTTTCAAGACTATAAAAACACAAGCATTATAATACAATTAAAATCATCATGACTACTTTTATATATATATAAAATTTTTTCTTTTTTCTCTTCTAATTCAATCCTTCCCTTTATAGCTCATCGTGGTCGTAATCATCCTCATCCTCATCATCAGGGTGAGAGTCGCCAGCACCCTCATCGCCGTAGAGCTTGGAAGTGATGGGGTAGGCAATGGAGCTAAGCTTCTCCTTCTTCTCATCAAAGTCCTCCTTGGTGGCATCGTTGCCAACCTCCTCAAGCCACTCCAAAACCTCGGCAACAGCCTCGAGAATGGTGTCCTTGTCGTCCTCGTCAATCTTGCCACCAAGACCAGCCTCATCGCTGACCTGGTTCTTGAGAGAGTGGGCATAGTTTTCAAGACCGTTACGGGAGATAATCTTCTCCTTAAGAGCAGCATCTTGCTCGGCATACTTTTCAGCATCAGCAATCATGCGGTCAATTTCATCCTGGGAAAGACGAGACTTGTCATTGGTAATGACAATGGACTCGGACTTGCCAGTACCCTTGTCGTGGGCAGTAACCTTAAGCATACCATTGGCATCAAGCTCAAAAGTAACCTCAATCTTGGGGACACCACGGGGGGAAGGAGGAATGCCAGTAAGCTCAAACTTGCCGAGAAGGTTATTATCCTTGGAAAGAGGACGTTCACCTTCATAGATTTGAATCAAGACAGTAGGCTGGTTATCAACGGCAGTGGAGAAGATTTGGGACTTGCGAGTAGGAATGACAGTGTTTCTCTTGATAAGGGTAGTCATGACACCGCCAGTGGTCTCAATACCAAGAGTAAGAGGGTTAACGTCAAGAAGAACAATGTCTTCAGCACCATCGTCACCGGAAAGAACACCACCTTGAACAGCAGCACCGTAGGCAACAGCCTCATCAGGGTTAATACCCTTAGAAGCCTTCTTACCCTTAAAGTAAGTCTCAAGAAGTTCCTGGACCTTGGGGATACGGGTAGAACCACCAACAAGAACAATATCATCAATCTCAGACTTTTCAACCTTAGCATCCTTAAGAACCTGTTCAACAGGCTTGAGGGTCTTTCTAAAGAGATCAATGTTGAGTTCCTCAAACTTGGCACGGGTCAAAGTCTCGGAAAAGTCAATGCCATCGAAAAAGGATTCAATTTCAATTCTGGTAGACATTTGGGAAGAAAGAGTGCGCTTGGCCTTTTCAACTTCACGCTTAAGCTTACCAATAGTCTTTGCATTCTTGGAAATGTCAACATCGTGCTTCTTGTTAAAGAGCTTGGTAAAGTGGCGAATTACTCTGTAATCAAAGTCTTCACCACCCAAGTGGGTGTCACCAGCAGTGGCCAAAACCTGGAAGAAACCCTTATCAATGGAAAGAAGGGAAACATCAAAGGTACCACCACCAAGATCGTAAACAATAATCTGGCGTTCACCATCAGTCTTGTCAAGACCGTAGGCAATGGCAGCAGCAGTGGGCTCGTTAACAATACGAAGGACCTTAAGACCGGCAATTTCACCTGCATTTTCAGTAGCCTGACGCTGGGCGTCGTTGAAGTAAGCAGGAACGGTAATAACAGCGTACTTAACATCGTGGCCAAGGTAATCTTCAGCAATCTTCTTCATCTGACCAAGGATCATGGCCGAGATTTCTTCAGGGGTAAAAGTCTTGTTTTCATTAAGGAACTCAACCTTAACAGCGGGCTTGCCATTGCGGTCAATAACTTGGTAGGGAAGACGCTTGATATCCTTTTGAACAGATGAGTCCTTAAAGTAAAGACCAATAAGACGCTTAATATCGAAAATAGTGTTGTGGGGGTTGGCAGCAGCTTGGTTCTTAGCGGCATCACCTATCAGACGTTCTTCACCATTGAATGCGACATATGAGGGAGTAATTCTGTTACCTTGATCATTGGCGAGGATTTCAACTCTACCAGACTTCATAACACCTACACATGAGTAGGTAGTACCCAGATCGATACCAATGACTATTTAAACAAAAAAAAAGGAGAATTGTTAGTAAAGAATAGATGAGAATATATATATATATATATATATATATAAAATAGAATTGGAAAAAAAAAAAACACGTGGTGAACATACCTGGACCTTGAATCTTTTCATCAACCTCAGCAGAAGTACCTGAGATGAATGGGAAAACGAATATTAGGGCAATGTAGACCAAGATGGCCGACCAAGAGACCATCGAGCGAACAGATCTACTAAACATTTTGAGAGTAGATTTTTTTAGGAATTAGAATATATATAAGGGGTGTTAAGGGAAGATAATTGAAAATAAAATAAAATAAAAAAAAAAAAAAAAAAGAAGTGAAAAAATAAAATAAATGGGGAAGGCTGGCCCTTTTTATACTTTGAAGTGTATATGTGTATATGTGTATATATATATATATATATATATATATAAAACTATAAAGGGGAAAGAAAGTGGGTTTTAAAAAAAAAAAAAAAAAAGAAGATTTAATGGAACTCGATGGAATTAATTGGGTAGTTAATTTCAAATAATATATTTTGAAATATAAAATGACAAACAAATCGCCACCACAACAAAAAAAAAAAATTAAATTTTTTTTTTTTTTTTCTTGACAAGTGGCATTTTTTATTTATTTCTATGGTTTATTTAATAATGAATTGATTGATTTTATATAAATATATATATATAATATATATATAAAATATTAATATATATAAAAAAAAAATAATTGTTTAATTCATAATAATTTCATCTTCATCATTTCTTTTCTACAACTCAGATCAATTAATTACTAACATCAATCTAATCTCATATAAAAGCCAGCTGGTCTTTTTATTTTTATTTAATTGTCTATATCCCACTTTTTGTATGTGTGTATGTAAATATTCTAAAATTTTTCACTCTTAAAAAAAAAAAATAAAATAAAATAAAAAAAAACGTTGTTTCCCTCCCAAAAACTTATCCAGTCGGCTTCTAGAAAAGACCACGTCACTAATTAGTTAAATATTTATATATTTATATATATATATATATAACTAAGTTACATAATTAGTTATATAATTAATTACCGTTGTTGTTGGCCACTGTGGCAATTAATTAATATTGACCATGTCACGTGATTTCACCCTCGTTTTGATCTGACTATATATATTGCTATATATATGATTTAGGTATTTTACTTAAATAAGTAATATAAAATCACTTAGTTCAGCCGCAAATTGTAATTTTTTATTGTTGTCACTCCCATTTTGGGATTTTTTCATGATCCAAAGAATCCAAAACCGGTCTTAATAAATTTTTAAAAAAAAAAAAGTATTCAAATTTGTTTTTTTTTTTTTTTTTAATATTTTCATATAAACATGTAGATTTTAAATAAACTCAATTTTTATATTTATAAATTTATATATTTATTTTAATTTTTTATTTTTTATTTTATTTTATTTTTTTTTTCTTCAACCCCTCATAAATTACATTTATTTAATGTCAAACAAAGGCTTCAAATTCTTAATCAATAACCAATCATCACGAGGAACACTATCTCTAAAAGCAGGATCCTTCAACACATCAATGGACTTTCTGCTAATGTGAGAATACAAAGTATCCTTCTCATCAACATGACGACCCCAAATAGGCTGTGACGTACTGGTCGGATCAGACAAACGAACAGCAACACCATTATTGGCTTGACCCTTCTTAACAACATCAACAGTCTTGTGATTAACTTCCATAGACACAATGCGACCCAAATCTAAAATCAACTTGGCACCAGTCTCGGGATCCTTCTTAACAACAGTAATGGGTGTACCAATACGAATTGAACCTTCAGTCACCTCAAGACCAATAATCATGGGGTTACGCTTGTTAATGATTTGAATGGTGCGGCACACACATGGGTAAACTGCAAGATTGGCATTGTCCTCACGCTTCTTCTCCAGCAGCTGCTTCTGATATGCAACAAAGGAGTCAAACAGGTGATAGATAATATCAGCATTGAAAATCTTAATGCCCTGTTCCTTGGCATATTGTTCAGCATCCTTGTCAATCTTAACGTCAAAACACAGCATTAACGCCAGCTCAGGCTTCTTCTCCAACATGGTGCTTGCACGCATAACATCACGCTTGAAAACTGGACCAATACCAATAGACATGACAGGAATCTTCATATCCTTGAGGAAATCCAACAAGGCTTCCAAGGCACCAAGTGTCGAGGCCTGCACACAAACACCCAAACCAGTCTTATCAACTGAGTCCAGCAAATCAGTCAAATCATCCATAACTTCATCCATAAGCTCCTCCTCATCATCGTCAGGACCAACAAGCAGCAACCGCGAACCGGCAACAGCCTTATCAAGATCAGGTGCAGAAATCTTAACACCCAAGGCAGCCTTGACCTCCTTGTGATGGACATAGGCAGACTTGATACGAAGTTCACGCAGTGGCTGTGGCGTCAACAGAGCACGCACATTTGTAGCAATGGGCCCGTTCTGGCCACACAACACAATGCGATCACCCTCATGTAGCACACCATTAGAAAGAACAACATCAATGGTGGTACCCAAACCTTCAACAACCTTGACTTCCAAAATGGTGGCTTCCAAGGTAGAAAGATACATGAGCTGCTTGCTCATTCTGGTCTGGGTCAACTCCAAAAGCAAGTAGAGCAAGTCAGGAACACCCTCACCAGTAACAGCAGAGGTAGGAATGATGGAAACGTTGCGGGCAACGTTTTTGTTTTGAAAGTAAAGCTCTGAGTTGAGACCCTGTTCGGCAAGAGCAAGCTTGGCCTTTTCGTAGCGGTCCTGGAACTCACGCTGAACAGAACTGGCCTGCTTGGAAAACGAGTCTCTGAAAGAGTTGTTAGGGATGGACTCCCAGCCGTAAAGACGATCAATCTTGTTAAGAGCAACAACAAAGGGTGTTTTTCTGTCTCTCAAAAGCTTGATGGATTCAATAGTCTGTTGCTCCAAGCCGTGCATAATGTCAATAACAAGAATGGCAATGTTACACAGCGAAGAACCACGCGAACGCAAGTTAGAGAAAGACTCGTGACCTGGGGTATCAATGACCAAAAGACCAGGCACATTGTACTCGACCTTGACATACTTCTTCATCACCTCAGTCTTCTTCTCAATGGCGGAAATGGGGAAATAAGTGGCACCAATCTGCTGGGTAATACCACCAGCCTCACCTTCCTGGACATTGGTTTGACGAATCTTGTCAAGAAGCTTGGTGTTGTGGGAAACAGTAAAGTCGCCAAGCAAGAGACGAGAGTTACCATCAAGAGTGAAACCAAAGTAGTCACCGTTACCGAGTTCCTCAATGACAAAGCCCCAAGAGCTGCTTAGAACCTGGTCAAAGAGAGCAGAGGAAGTGGTAGAAGAAACCTTGTTGGATTCAACAGTCAAGAACTTGTTGAGAGAAGACATGGCAGGGCCGGAAATGGCAAGAGTAGAAGAAACTTCACCAGCACGAAGACCAATGGAACGAGCAAGGCGGCGGACTTGGACAAGGATTTCGGGCTTGTCGCTGGCGATTTCCCAAGCGTGAGTAAGGTGAGCGTCATGCTTGTGAAGAGTGTTGGCAGCATCGAAAACAATTTCACCAGTAACACCAGAAACAAGCTTATCAGAGTCAAGTACCTTGCCAGGGAAAAGCTCATTGGCAGCCTCAGTGATCTGGGTCTTGTTGACGTGAGCAAGAGTGTGCTCGACGGGGGCGCCGCCAGAAAGAGCACTGCCGTCAACAATACCAGCAAGGAAGGCTCTGCGGTGCTCAGCAGAAGCACTGACAATGGCAGCAGGGATTTGCTTAGACTCGAGCATGCCAAGAGACTCAGCCAGAGATGCAACAGACTTGTCGCAAGAGAGATCAGCAGAAGAAAGAAGAGAAACACCAAGGAGCTTGGCAGCATCGAGCTCCTGCTCAAGAGTTGGGGTAACATCAAAGGCCTTGGCAACAGCCTCTGTGAAGGCATTACCTGAACCTTGAGCATACTCGACGCTGTCAAAGGGCTTGTACATGGAGCAAAGAGCAGCCAATTCTGGAGAGGTAGATTGGAAGGTGATGAACTCGTAAACAGAGGTTTCCCAAATCAATGGCTTCCACTCAGTAATGGCAGCCTCGGCCTGCTCACGGGTAGCATAAGAGCCAGAAGTAGATTTGATGAGTTTCTTTGAATCAATGGCAATAGACTCAATGACAAAGTTACCAGAAGACTCAACAACAACAGGCTTCTGAGCAATGCTCAACACAAGAACGTGATCGCCGTTGCAGACAAAAGAGTCTGAGCCAGAAGTCGAGTCTGGAACGATGCGGAAAAGATCCCCATTGCCCTGGATAACAGAGCCAGGCTGGACGGTACGAGGAGTATTGTCGTCACCCATGAGAAGATCGCCTGCACGAACATCTTGAACTGGACGCAGGGAACCATCAAACATGAGCATGGGGGTGTCGCGGCCCCAACACTTGCCGGTATCGACGTGACCGAGAATGACACAGATGGGTGAACGGAGGTCCTTGGAGTTTGCGTGGGATTGGGCTTCCTTGATGCGCTCTTCGTACTTCTTTTCAATGAGCTCCTTGTTCTTTTGAGCATGGGAAAGAGCCTTTTCAAGAGACTGTTCATCTTCAGCAGCTTCAACTTCGGCGGTTTTGGTCTTGGGGGTGGAAGCAGCAGGAGAAGCAGCAGCGGCAGCAGCAGGTGTATCAGAAACCTTGGGCTCTGAAGCCTTTTCTTCTTCATCACTGGAATCGTCCCAGGACTCCTTGACTTCATCTTCCTCCTTCTTTTCAGCGTCAGAATCAGAATCAAGAGCATTTTCCCAAGAATCAAGAACATCCTCTTCGTCTTCTTTCTCATCAGGCTTGGTTTCGTCCTTCTTGATGGTAACAACAGCAGCAACCACAGGCTCGTCGATAGGAAGCTCTGATGGAGCAGGCTTGGACTCAGCAGCAGGCTCAGGTGTCTGAGGACGCTTCTTCTTGTCTTCGTAAATTGGTCGTGAAGATTGTTGTTGTTGTTGTTGTTGTTGTTGTTGTGGCTTGTCTTTGCCTTGGAGAGCTTCGACCTTGATGTTACCAGACTCGAGAAGTTGCTGGCGTCTAATTTCAGCATGACGGAGTTGCTCCTTTTGCTTCTTGGTGAGCAGCTTTCCGGCCTTGCGGAGCTCCTCACGCTTTTCACGTTCACGTTGCTTCTTGCGCTCACGCACCTCTGCCTTTTTCTTTTCTTCTTCAGCAACGCGGGCTTCTTCAGCAGCGATGCGGGCTTGTTCTTCTTCTTCAGCACGCTTTCTAGCTTCGGCTTCTTCACGTTGAGCAATAAGACGCTTTTGCAAAGCTGCAGAAGCACCACCAGCCTTCTTCTTTTTGGGAGCAGCGGTGGAAGCAGCAGGAGTGGAGGAAGATGCTTCGGAACTAGTAGCATTCTTAATAGCTTCTTGTCGCATACGCTCAGCTTCTTGTTTGGCCTTTTCACGGTTTTCTTCCATGGCGGCATTCATGGCCTTGAGACTGGCCTTTTTCTGTTCGGCTTGTTGCTTCTTCTTTTGTTTTTCACGTTCCTTCTTTTCGCGTTCCTTTTCCTTCTTGGACTTGATCTGGACAGCACTTTCTTCAGCAGCCTTGGCTTCAGCAGCAGCAGCTTCTTCTCTGGCAACCTTCTTCTTCTTGGACTTGGAAAGAGCGCCCATCAGACCGCCAAATTCCTCAGCCATGTCGTCAGCAGAAGCAGCGACCGGTTCTTGTGGGCCGGTAGACTCGACAGCGGGTTCAGCAGCAGGTTCAGCAGCGGATTCAGCAGCGGGTTCAGTGGCGGCAGCAGGTTCAGCTCCAAAATCAATTGAAGCTGGCTGGGCTTCTTCTTCTTCATCGTCCCAGTCATAACCAGCGTTCTTTTTTCCTTTCTTATCTCTGTAAAAAAAAAAAAAAAATAGTTAGGTATAGATCGAAATTGAAATGAACTCCATCAACAGGAGCAAGATAGTTAAGACATACTTTTTCGCCATCTTTACGGTGGTTTTAAAATCTCTTAAATGAAATAAGAGGGGTTGATACTATCCTGGTGGTGGTAGTAAATGTGTAAGGAAAGAAGAAAGAAAAAAAAGAAAAAAAATTGTTTAGGCGAGTCCAACCAGAAATTTTTTGGTGGTGAGAAGAAAAAAAAAAATTTAAAAATTAAAAAAAAAAAAGAAACCCTTGTCCTGAAAATACTATATACTAAATCTACAAAAGAAAAAAAAAATTAAATAAAAATATAAATATAAATATAAATATAAATATAAAAGGAACTTTTGGGTTCTACAAAAAGAAGAACTTTATGGATAAGATGAAACTTAAGTGGCAAATCTAAAATACAATTGATGTAGTCATCAAATGGAGGTTGCAAGTAGACTAAAAAACAAAGAAGACCATTTTTTTTTATTGGCGCATTCCATAGTAGGCAGGCGGCCACGAGAGCATGTTTTTTTTGTATATTTCTTATTATTAAAGATTTTAAGATAAATAATGGGTAAAAAAACAGATTTAGATTAATTTCTAAAGACTCAGTTGATCTTGTTTGAATCGATCTTTTTGTCAAGTCTTTTTTTTTTTTTAAGAAAAGCACTCCTACCACCTAATTTTGAAGTAAAATTGAAGTGAAAATTTTTCAGTCTGACATGTACGCACGTGCGGACTGAAATCTGCGGACTTTTTTTTTTTCTTTTTTGGAGGCTCTAAAATTTTCTTCTACCAAAAAGTTTTTTTTTTTTTTGTATTTCCCATAGTAGTGCCAACTGGACTTTCCATAATTGCCCACTAAAAAAACTCCACAGAAACAATGGCTACTATCGTGGACAAAGTATGTATTTGATTTTTTTTTAAATATATATATGAATAGAACAATAACTAACATAGTTTTTTTTTAGATTAAAGATGTAGGTACAAACTAAACAAACTAATTTATTTATTTATTTTTTTTTTCATCTAACAATAAATAGATCGAGGCCGAAATGGCCAAGACGCAAAAAAACAAGGCCACCAGTTTCCATCTGGGCCAACTCAAAGCCAAGCTTGCAAAGCTGAAGCGTGAGCTGCTGGCAGGACCCAGTGGATCTGGTGGCGGTGGTGGTGGACTCGGGTTCGACGTTGCACGCACAGGTGTTGCATCAGTTGGGTTTATTGGATTCCCATCAGTTGGCAAAAGTACATTGCTGAGCAAACTTACAGGTACACACTCAGAGGCTGCAGCATATGAGTTCACAACATTGACAACAGTGCCTGGTGTGATTCAGTACCGCGGTGCCAAAATCCAAATGCTCGATCTGCCGGGTATCATTGAAGGTGCCAAAGATGGTAAGGGTCGTGGTAAGCAGGTGATTGCAGTTGCTCGCACATGCAACTTGATTTTCATTGTGCTTGATGTTAATAAACCTCTTCATCATAAACAAATCATTGAGCGAGAACTGGAAGGATTTGGCATTCGAATCAATAGAGAGCCACCCAATATTGTTTTCCGTAAAAAGGAGAAGGGTGGAATTAGCATCACCAACACAGTTCCACTGACACATCTGGATAATGACGAGATTCGAGCAGTAATGTCTGAGTATCGAATTTCATCCGCAGACATTGCATTTCGATGCGATGCAACAGTTGACGATTTGATTGACGTTTTGGAGGCGCCAAACAGACGATACATTCCTGTTGTGTATGTTCTCAACAAGATTGATTCTATTTCGATTGAAGAGTTAGATCTTTTATCACGGATTCCCAATGCAGTGCCTATTTCTTCAGAAAATGGATGGAACCTGGATGGGCTGCTGGAACTTATGTGGGAGCGACTGAATCTTGTACGAGTGTACACCAAGCCCAAGGGTCAACAGCCGGATTATGAGCAGCCCATTGTGTTACGATCGACGGGGTGTACTGTGGAAGATTTTTGTAACCATATCCATAAGAGTATTTTGGAGCAATTTAAGAATGCGGTAGTATGGGGGACAAGTGTGAAGCATCAGCCGCAGTATGTTGGTCTTTCGCATGTGTTGAGTGATGAAGATGTTGTGACTATTTTGAAAAAGTGAATATATATTTATATTTTTTTTTTTTAAATTTTTTAATTTTTTTTTTTAAAATATTATTTATATATGTTTTACATGAAAATAAAAAATGAAAAATGAAAAATAAAAAAAAATAAAAATAATAATAATGTACAGTTTAAAAAAAATAGGATACAAGGAGAAATAAAAAAAAAAAACAAATTCATCAATCATCAGTTGTCGTCATAATCATTCATCATTGGCGTCACGGATATCACGTATTTTGGCACGCGTGAGGGTGTATTCTTCCTCGAGATCGTCTTCATCATCATCGCGCATGCGGATATTGCGTTTTGAGCTTAGAGGCGAAGTTCTAGGCTGGTTTGCTAGTAAACGTTTAGCAGAACAGATATCTTCAAAAGTTTTAAGATTGTATTTAGCAGCATCGTCAAGAGCAATGGAAAATCGTTTTGACTGGACGTGTTGGATTGCACGTACAAAGTTCATTCCATGCTTGTAAATCATATATGCAACAACGACTAGGGCAGAAGCTTCATTACCTGATTCGCAATAGACAAGAGTTGATGTACCAATGGCTTCAGCATCTCGGATATTTGCACAAATTGTTTCAAGTTGGGAAACAATATTCATTGGGTTTGAAATTCTATTACCAGGATCGTATGTAAGACAGGTGAACTCTCCAGATGGTTCATAGCGGTGACGTACAACGGCTGGGACCATACGCATGTCTGAAATAAAAATAAGAACAGAGATATTTCGTTGGCGTAGAAAATCTTCATTGCGAACAATGCAAAGGGGTCCAAGCCAAAGGTTTGAATCGACTTGTTGAGCTACACGGCGGTACTCGTAGCGCCAATCAGTTAGAATACTTGGTTGTTCAATGAAGCATGGGGTGATGAAAGTTTTGGGGAAAGCAATGGGGGCTACAAGGATATTTTCTGGTGGAGGTGGGAGTTCAGTTGGAGTTGTTGGTTGTTCCTGTTGAAGTTCCTGTTGTTCTTGATGTTCTTGATGTTGTTGTAGTATAGGAGGTGGATGTTGTTGATTTTGGCTGAAGGACATGTTGAAGTTAATTTGATAGAGTGTAATTAAGATGGGATGATGATGATGATGATGATTATAGATTAGTCGGTTGAATGACTAGATTGGAAATTTATAAATGAAAAAAAAAAAAATAAATAAAAAAATAAAAAAAAGATGGGCTTTTAAAAAAAAAAAAATAGAAATTTTTCTTTTTTTTTTTTAAATATATAATAAAGAGGGAATTTTTGAAAAGATTTAATGAATTGAAATGAAATATTTAAAAAAAAAAAAAAGATTTGGGATTGATTTTGTAAAGATGAAAAAGAATTCTTAAAAATAAAATAAAAAAAAATAAAAATTGATACTTTGGAAAGAAAAGAAAAATTTAAAAAATTTAAAAGAAATTTAAAATTTGAAAATTTGAAAATTTAATAAAAAAAAAAAATCAATTAAGAAAAAAAAAAAATTAATTGCTAAAATCAATTAATAAAAAAAAAATTTCCCGATAAACCGCAAATGCAAAAAAAAAAAAAAAATAAAATAAAATAAAAAGTTATATATTTTTTTTTTCTTTTTGTTCTGATCTAAAAAAAACTATAATAATAATAATAATAATAATAATAATAATAATCAAAATAGACGATTTGGGCAGGTTAATATTTTTGTTACATCTTTAATTTATATTACAACAAATATATATATTACAGTGGCACAAGATCTAACGGAGATTACATAATGACAATGATTATTTCAAGTGCGGAGTGCGCTTATTTTTTGATTACGTTAACAGATCTCTTAATAAGTTATATAAGTATTACTTATATAATTAAGTTACCTTATTTATTAGTAAAAGAAAAAAGAAAGGTACGCGTGAGTGGTTATTCTAAGTAGCTGACATAATCTTATCTAGTCTAGTCTAATTTAGTCTAGGATAAATCGGCAATATGCTCTAATTATTTGTTACACAATTTTATTAGTCATTATTTTAATAATTATATTATTACATTTTTTTTTAATTAATATAAATAAAAAAAAAATTAAGAAAAATTAATTTTAAAACACTTAGTGTATGATTAAGAAATATTATTATTCCTATTATTACTATTTATGAACTATTTTATGACCCATACCCTAACCCTTGAGCAATTTGTACCCTCCAATTAGACATAGGCAGTTACAGTTACAGTTACAGTTACAGTTACAGTTACAGTTATAATTATAATTATAATTATATTTACAATTACAATTACAATTACAATTACAATTAAATAGATGTTGCTGCCTTTGCCTTACAAATTTTACAGCCTCTACGGCTGCTCATTGTGGCTGCAACTTGTTGTTATTGTAATTGTTCTTACCGCTTACTGCTGCTTACTGCTGCAGCTGCTGCCGCTTAGTACTGTTGCCGTTGCTTACTTTTACTTGCTATGTACTTGTTGTAGCCACCCGTCTTTTGTTCTAAATTGAATGGCTTATATTAGCTTTATAAAGTTTTCTTTCAATTTTTTTAAAAAAAAAAAATCACCTTCAACTATTAATATAAAAAAAGTGTGTGATTTTTTTTCCCACCATAATTGTGGCTTTATTATTTAAGAATAAATATAAAATATAAAATAAAGGACTTGCATTTATATATTAAAAAAAAGATAAAAAAAATAGATTATAAATAAGCTTATCTGAAAGTTTAGTTTGTGTAGACATAATTATAAAACAAAGAGCGGGAAGTTTCCTAATTTGAAAGTTTTTTTTTTTTTATCTCAAAAGTTTTGATTAAAATGAATGATTTGAATATATATTGTAAAAAAGAAATTGTTCAAAAAAAAAAAACTCCATGTTATTTAATTTATATTAATATATAATATAATTAATTTAAAATAAACAGAAATGATTTTTTTAAATATATTCTTCTTTACTAAAATATATATATATTTTTTAATAAATTCTTACAAGACCAAATTAGTACAGTTATTAAATATGTGTCTGTGTGTGTAGTATCTATATATATTAAACTTTCTAGTTAGTCCTTAAGGCTCATCTTTTTCATCAATATATTGATGCAGTGCATTAAGGCAGCCATCAGAGTCCTCTAAAAGCAGCAATTTAAAGAGGTCCAAATGGATTTTTTTTTTTCTTCTATTTTATATTTTGTATTTGTATCCATTCTCTATTTTTTTTTTTTTATTTTCAAATTAAAAAAAAAAAAACCAAAAACGGAAATCCTCGACCCTTTTTTTTTTTTTTTTTTTTTTACAAGCGCGTCTTGAAGAGTTTAAAGATTTGGGAAAGACGTTTTTCTTTTTTATTTAATAAAAAAAAAATAGGGGATAAAGAAGATTGTTGTTGTTGTTGTTGATGTTGATGGAAAGTATTGAATCAAAAAAAAAAAAAAAAAGTCATTTTGTATATTTTTTTGTAAAGACCTAATTGTCATTAAAAAAAAAAATCAAACTTTTTTTCAATTACAATTTGAACAAAATCCAAGAAAACAGAGATTTAATTTACAATCCTTTTTCTTCTTCTTCGATATCTTCTTTGATATCTTCAATATCTTTATTTTTTCTTTTAATTTATTTTATTTTGATAATTATTTGAAAGCCAAGCTGTTGCGTAAAAGTACGTGGACCGAAGACGTAATTTTGTTTGTACAAATTAAAAAAAAAAAAAAAAAACCTCCCGACGTGTGTTTTAAACCTCCTTTTTTTTTTATTTATTTATTTATTTTTTATTTTTTATTATTTATTTTATTTATTTATTATTTATTTTATTTTATTTTATTTTATTTTTTAATTTATTTCAAAAATCTTTCATAAAATAAAATAAAATTCCTTTTCTTCTTTTCTTCTTCTTCTTCATTTTCATTTTCATCTTTATATTAATTCTTTTATAAGGTCTTACTTTAAAATCTTCTGTTTTAGGCAAGTTTTAATTTGCCTCTGACTTTAATAATAAAAAAAAAAATAAAATTTAAAAGTTTGAATTTTTTTTTTTTTTTAAAGTCCTAAATAAATAAATATAAAAAAAAAAAACCATCGCCAATCTTATCAAAAAAAAAAAAAAAAAAAAAAAAAAAAAAGAAAAATTCCCATTTTTGATCTTTTTTTTCCATATTTCTTTTATTTCTTTTATTTATTTTTTTTTATAAAATTCTATTCTCAAGTCTCTCGTTATTATTCTTCATCATCTCCATCTCATGGCCTTCCTATAACTATTATTTCCAAATCTCCCCCTCCACCATCTAATGGCTGTAAGTATCATCTTCTTCTTCATCTTCTTCACCATCATCACCAAACCTTCCTAACAATTCACCATTTCAACCTGTCAATCCTCACCCTCCTAGAACAGCTCTTATTTGCTATCTTCGGATCTTCTTAGATGCCCTGCCACCTCTCCATTAGAACACAATCTTTTTACAACTTCTCGTCACGAAAATTACAAAAGTTATCATTGTTATTACTGCTCAACAATAACTACAAACCCTCCCGCTGCTTCAACCCCCTCCACCCTCTTCATTCCTGCTCTGCAACAAGATGACTGTCCTTTGCAACATCCCCCACATAATCCTTACCACCAAGAATCTTCTGCGCCAACCCAAATGCCTTTATCAGCAACTTTTTATAAACCTCTGGACTACGACAGCGACGAAACTTACGACGGACCCTCAGATATTGACCAGGACCCATCCAACAAAGATATTCTCTCATCCTATAACTTGCGTTCTAGCAAACTTCCACTTCTATCTTCTGAATCCCTTTTGGGTAAGCGAACACCATCAGTACCTTCATCAGCAGCAGCAGCAGCATTATCTTCTTCTTCTTCTTCTTCTTCTTCTTCTTCTTCAATAAACTTAAATAACATCCAGGCTTCTTTTACGGCCCATTCTTTGTCTGGTTCAGGTGCAATTGAACCCACTGCCACTACCATTAAAAGCTCTCCTCCATCCAGCCACATCGGCCTTTCAGATACCCGCCTCAAGCAGCTCCACCCAATGGACCCTCAACAACTTCATCTCTTGTCCATCCACCAACACGCCCATCTTCATCAGGGCCTTGCACAGCCTCCACTTCAACCTGCTCGCTTCAAACGCGTCCATGCTGTAGATTCAGTATCTTCTACTTCTTCTACTTCATCATCTTCTTCTTCTACTACTGCTTCTTCAACATCATCATCTTCTGCTTCTGCTCCATCTTCTTCACCATCTTTCTACTCAAATACCCCATCTGCAATCTACCATCACAATCACAATCACCAATCTTCATCCCCTCGTAGAAACACAAATTTACCATCTACAAAGACCCGCTCGGTTTGCTCAATATACCCATCCATCTCTCTAATATGCATCTTCACTGGTTTCCTTTTCTTCTTATCAATTACATCCTTCTTCTACCGCGGCTCCGAGCCCAAAAACTGCCGCATGTCGTACATGCGGCCATCTTACACACACCTCGAATCCTTCAGCCACCAAAATTACACTCGCCACTTCTCCAAATACTCACTCTATCTCTACCGCGAAAAGGGTATCGATGACATTTTCCCTAACCCAAGAGGTATCCCGGTTCTCTTCATTCCAGGAAATTCGGGCAGCTACCGCCAGGTCCGTGCACTCGCCGCAAAGTCTGCATCAAAGTTTTATGACCACGGAAACTCTCCAGCGCACCCACAGTTTGATTACTACACTGCTGATTTTAACGAAGATCTTACAGCCTTCCACGGCCGCTCTTTACTTGACCAGGCAGAGTATTTAAATGATGCCATCAAGTACATTCTCTCGCTCTATCCGCAGCCCGCATCAGCCTCCGTCCCACCCAATCCCCAGTCAGTCATTCTTGTGGCCCACTCCATGGGCGGGGTCGTTGCACGCGCAATGTTTTTACTTGACAATTACCAAAAGGGCTCAGTCAATACTATCTTCACCCTTTCGGCTCCTCACACTCTCCCCCCAGCCCCCTTTGACAAAGATCTAGTTGCAGTCTATGACCAAGTCAATGCCTACTGGGAACAGTCTTACTCCCAGGACTTTATCGGCCGTAACCCTCTGGCTCTTGTCTCTCTTATTTCCATCACTGGAGGCTCTCTAGACCATATGATTACCTCCGAGTCTGCAAGTGTCGCATCCATTGTCCCACCATCAAACGGTTTTACCGTCTTTACAAATAGCATTCCTAATGTCTGGTCCAGCATTGATCATCAAGCAATTGTGTGGTGCGACCAGTTCCGCGACGTGTTTGCAAACGCAATGAGTGCCATGTCCGACGTGCGTGTTGCCAGCAAAACCCTGGCTCTGCCAACCCGCATGAACATCTTTCGCCAATATTTTTTGGGTGGCTTCGAAGTCGGAGCTTCTCCAGAGTATCTCCAAACTCGCTATCATCCGTCTCTTAACAAGGACTCTGTAGATGGTGAGCAGCAACAGCAGCTACTACAACAGCAACAACAGCAACAACAGCTACAGCAACAACAGCTACAGCAACACCTTCCCCAGCAACAACAGCAACAACAGCCGCAACAGCCGCAACAGGTTCCACAGTCAGTCAAAGAGCAAGCCTTAGAAGAAGCTCCACCATTGGATGACCCAGTTGATGCTGCCTTTACACCACCAGCAATTGGCGATTATGACACGTTACTCTGGATAGAAGACATTACCAAGTTTGCCATCCCGCCAAACCAAAAGCTCGTCATCAATAGCCTTGGCGATGCTGCTGTTGGTGGACGCGCTTATTTCATGCCCATTGTGTCGGACGTTTCCCTCACAAGCCCAAAGACAGGGGGTGGTGTTGGTGGTGTTGGTGGTGGTAATGGTGGTGTTGGTGGCACAGGTGCCGACTTAGAATTTACCTTTTTGACCGACAGCACACTGATTTCTCATCTACAGGGGGACAATAAAACCCCCTCAGCTGCTTCAGATCCGCTCACTGACAAACCTCCCGGAACACTCTCGTCGGGCCTCTACACTCTGGTGTGTAGATACCCCCATGCAGAGCCCAGGCACCCAGATAAAACTCTGACTGTGATTGACCTAACCAAGCGCAGTCACTCGGCATTCCAAATGGCTTTGTCCGAAGATCCTGACGACCCACGGCTGGTCGGTCTCCTATGCAAAAATATTGCCGGCGATGCATCCATTCTGCCTAACCCGAACCACGTGCCAATGGCCCATATTGACTATGAAATTCCACAGCCGGAAATGGGCCGCATGTCGTTCATCAAGTACGACGCCGCGCAGCTCGCAGATTACGACTTTGTCACAATTATAGATACAAACACGGAGCGTATCCCTGGCTTTGCGGTTGCCGAATTCGCGGCCCATAGTGAGTCGCGAGTCAATGCAAGAGCCAATTCATTATGGGAGCTTATAACCCGCGGAGTCTCGGTGGTTCTTCCATCCTCGCGGCCGTTCATGGTGGACGTTTCATTTGAACAAATGTGGAGCAGCTTGATTTCATACACCATGAAAGTGGAAGAGCACTCAAAACCTTCTCAACAACTGTTCCCACCATTTATTCGACAGTACTCGGGTGAATCTTACGAATCCAAGTTTTACCTGGGTACTGTGGCAGATTGGGTACCAATCAGCATGACGGGTGTTGCGCCGTTCTCACCCTTTGGTGTCCGTGAGTCCGACTCAGATTTTGAAACCAATCTGTTTTACTATGGCCAACAGAGTCACTACTATCATAACTTGCACCTCCAGCTTTGGACCGACGCGTCGTTTGGCGATTCGGCTTATTATACTACCCCAATCAAGAACCAAGAATCGTCTACGGTCCGCATCACGCTCCGCATTGATTGGTTCGGCAGCATGGGCAACCTCGTCATGCACTATCGCATCGCCCTCGTTGCCTTCTCCATTGCTATCATGGCCTTTGTCCTACTTATTCAGTTTTACATCTACAACAAGCACGGCCTTTTTATATCCGTTCCACAGGCCCTTCACATCTTGGTCCACCGGTACCTCCTGTACCTCTGTGCCGCCACTCTCATTCTGCCCTACGTGCCATCGGTCACGCTCTTTCGCGACATTTTGTATTTCCTCGAACCAGGAATGGACGTGTACTCGGGCGACGGCCCTGCATCCATCTTTACAAATATCCGTCGCAACCAATTTTTCCTTGGCCTTGAACCAGGCCATTTACTCTTTCTGGGACCAGTGTTTATATGCGCAGGCATCGGCCTTGTTGCCGTTACTTTCTATGTCCTATACACCGTTGTGGCCACCGCTTCGATTGTCCCAGACACTTGGTCTGCTATTAAAAATGGTCTTTGGACAGGTACAGCAGTGCTCATTAATAAAGCACGTAGTTGGGCAGAAACCCCTCGCAACCCGCCGTCTGCAATCACCACGACGGCTCCAACTTCTAACGACGACAATGTCAAGCCTGCGCTTACATGTTCTGGCGTTTCTTTACTGCACCGCAAACGTGGTGCAATCCGCAACAATATCCCGCCCGTTGAGACCACCACGGTAGTCGCTACTGCTGCCGTTTGCGACCACCCGCCATTGTCCAACCAGATTCAAAACGAAACGTGGACCAGTACAAGGTTTAAAACAGCGCGGCGGGCAGTCGTGACTACATTTTTGTTTGTTGCAGTCGCATACACAGTTCCATGTGAGTTTGCGTACCTGGTGGCATGCTTTGCACAACTGGCAACAGCAGTCAAGGCTCATTTTAGACGTCGAGCAGGCCATGCCCATGTTGTGCCGTCGTCTGGCGGTCCAGGGACCCCAATCACATGCTTTTTCAACTTTGCAATGGCCGTGCTGGTACTCATGGTCTGGATCATCCCCATAACCGCGCCCATTCTCGTGGTCTGGGGCCGCAAGTTATCAGCACACTGGAACGAAGCGTTTGCATCCCATCACAACTTGTTGGCTATTGGGCCTACACTGTTTTTTGTCGAAACAGTGGCCTCCGGGACCATGGTCCCCCGAGCAGAAGCTGCCGCGCTACAAGGTGTCACGTACTTGTCCTTAGCTTACCTAGCTTTCCATGCTATTGTCATGGGCGTTCCGCGCACTTATATGCTCTACCACTTGGTCAACATACTGTCGGGCTGGTTTCTGGTTGGATGCGTGATTACAGCGTTATGTCAGAGCCATCGCAAAACCACTGACACTGGGGGGGAAGGATCAAACACAAACAACACTGTCGAAGATTCTGGGAAGCCACAAGGTGATGATGTAGAGCCCGAGATGGAGGAGTGTCAGGGTGACGATAGCAAACATTATCACGCACACACAAGCAGTGTGAGTAGCGTGAGCAGTCTGGGCAGTAGTTCCGGGCAGCAGATGCCGTTGGCGCGCGCCGGGAGCGCAGCTGTGGCGGCGACAACGGTGGCGACGACTGCGGCGACGGCTGCTACGGCTATGGCAACAACAACAACAACTACAACGCTGCATGCAGAGATTTCCATTCCATGAAAGTCTAGCCAGTTGTAGAGTGACTTACCAACTAGAACCCCACAAAATCACAATGGGTTTCTTAGTTGGGTTGGCCTTTAAAAAAAAAAGTTTTTTTAAAAAATTAAAAATAAAAATAAAAATAAAAGAAAAGAAAAGAAAAGGGCTTTCTTATTTGAGATATATATATATATATGTAAACGGCCTTGTAAGAAGGATTTGAATACCATAGTTAATAATAGATTTGTTGATTTTTTTTTATTAATCTGTTTAATTATAAAAAGCTGAATACTAAAGACCTTCAGCAACACTTGCAACTGCTCCTGCTGCTATTCCAGACTCACCATCATCATCCATTTCCTCATCCTCAAGTTCTTCATCACCATCACCATCTTCTTCTTCGTCCTCCTCATCCTCATCATCATCTTCTTCATTATCTTCGTCCTCCTCGTCGTCCTCCTCTTCATGAGCACTTTCCGCAACTGCTACCTCTGTAGGTTTCACATTCTCAGTATCGGGCTCATGAATAGGTTCATCAACAGGCTCATCACTATCTCTACCTTCCGCGTCATCTTCTTTAGCATGCTCATCAGTGACATCAGCGGGCTTATCATCAACAACTGGCTTCTCAATACTGGCCTCTTCGTCTTCGTGATGCTCCTCCTGGGGCTCTTCATGGTGCTCTTCATGGTGCTCCTCTTGGAGTTCTTCATTAAGTTCTTCATGAGCTTCTTCATTAGGTTCTTCATTAGGTTCTTCATTAGGTTCTTCATGAGCTTCTTCATGAGCTTCTTCATGAGCTTCTTCATGAGATTCTTCATGAGATTCTTCATGAGATTCCTCATGGTGCTCTTCATTATTCTCTTCATGATGCTCTTCATTTTTCTCTTCATAATGCATCGACCCTTCCTCCTCATCTTCCTGTTCCTCATGATGCTCATGGTTCTCATCTTCTTCATTTTCCTCATCTACTACTTCATCCTCATGCTCATCCTCCCCGTCTCCATTTTTCACTTCCTCCTCTTCCTTCCCCTTCTTCTCCAACAAGTCTTGGTACGCCTTTCTAAACCGTTGCTGTTCCCGCTGCTCGCTAGGCGTCGGGTTGGTTGGCAAGTAATTGGCCATTTCTCTTGTATATCGCTCCTTGTCAGCCGTGTAAATCTTGTAGTACTTGTCTCGTGCTGACCGTGGCAAAGCATGCCATGCGTCCGACATGGCTTTAGTCATATCGTACGATAACCCGGGCCGTTCTCTCTCCATCCGCGCCCGCACTGACTCTTTTTCAAGTTCACAGAAAATAATATATGCATTCTGTGGCCTCCGTGGTAGATTCGGGTCTCGCGGAACGTGGGCGCGCTTCTTAGAACCAGACGGTGTCGCAACGGCTCCTGCCGCTGCTGCTGCTGCTGCCGCTGCTGCCAGTGGCCCAGGACTTCCCAGGTCATCGGTAAATGCGTCGTCTCCAGAATGGTGGTCGCCAAATGATGGGTCCCCAGGTGACACCTCGTGTGAGTTGTCTACTGGAGCAGGAGCAATGTGTTGGAGCCCAGGGGTGGAAACTGTTGGAGGTGGTGGTGGTGGGGTTTGGGAAGCCAAGGCAGCTGCCGCCGCTTCCTTTTTCGATCCGCGCCCGCGCGAACCCCCCTTTCCAGAACCTCCAGCCCTACTGCTGCGGCCATTGGATGCTGGCGTATGGGCCACTGCATCGTGTCCCGCAGCCCCGTTGGCTGGTGGGGTTGAAGATGCTGCTGTTGCCGCTGCTGCTGCTGCTGCCGCCGCCGCCGCCGCCGCTGCCATCTGGAGAGATTTCTGGGCTGCTGCTACCACTGTGGCCGCTGCTGCATCCAGCATTTCAGACGATAGCTTGCCAATGGCCGTAGATGGTGAGTTGGGAGGTGACGGGCTTGCGGCAATGGCTCCCGCGGGGTCTGGGCCTGCAGCCGGGGGTTCCTGTGTACGGTCCTCGAGCTTTTCCAAAAGAAGCGCACGTTCTAATCTCAGACGCTTGACATCACGACGGGTTCGGGCAATTGACAGAGCCATGAGTTCATTGTGTTGCTCAATTTCACGCGTTCGTTTTCGTAGTTCGATACATTTGAGTTTGTACTTTGTTTCTAGATAGAGCTGTTAGAATGATATAACAATTGAATAAGAATGAAAAAAAAAAAAACTTACCTTCAGACTCTGGAAGTGGATTCAAGGCCTGAGCACCTCTTCTACTTGGAGTTGCTGTTTTCATAACTTGATTGTTTGGTTATTTGTTTATTTGTTTATTAATTTGTTGGCCAAGTGTGACTGGTTGGCGTGTTTTTATTTATATTTTTTTTTTGAAAGTGATGGTGGTGGTGGTGGTGGTGGTGATGTTGGGAATGAAGGTTGGGTTGGGTTAGGGTTACTTGCGTGCGGCTCATAAAAATTTGTCAGCACCAGAAAAAAAAATTTTTTCTTATTAGTTTTTTAATCAGCGATTGTCAAATTTCAAATTTTGTTAAAAAAAAATTTTTTTTTTTTTATTTTTTTTTCTCCCAATCCGGGTAGCGCCTCCCCTTCTTTAGAAAAATTATAAAAGGGCAGCCACTCCCACATCTCTTCTTCTTCTTTTTTCTTTCCTTGGAAAAGTGGAAAATCCCATCCCAACAACCCACTCAACCCTTAATATCTATTTCTCTAAGTATTAACACCCTCAAAAAAAAAATGGCTGGAATCCTTGACTACAAGACCGCCCTCGAGGTCCTCAACTCTGAGTACAAGACCCGCGACGGTATTGACGTGATCACTTTGATGGACTCAGTTACCCGCGGTGGCCTCACTTATAATGACTTTTTGATTCTTCCTGGCAAGATTGACTTCCCGTCTAGCGATGTGTCTCTTGAAACCAAGTTGACCAAGAAGATCACTCTCCGTGCTCCCCTTGTGTCCTCTCCTATGGACACTGTCACCGAGTCTGAGATGGCCATCCACATGGCCCTCCTCGGTGGTATTGGTATTATCCAGCACAACTGTTCCCCCGATGACCAAGCTGAAATGGTCCGCAAGGTTAAGAAGTATGAAAATGGTTTTATTTCTGACCCTATTGTTGTGGCTCCCACCCAAACTGTTGGTGAGATTAAGAAGCTCAAGGAGTCTTTGGGCTTTGCTGGCTTCCCCGTTACTGGTAAGTTTAATTTTCTTTTTTTTTTTTCTACCCTTTTTTACATGATGATTTTTTTATTTCATAACTTTCGTTCTACCGCAATGACTTAACGGTCTTGAGGAGACTTTGATACTCTGATGTTTTTATTATTTTTTTTGTTACTTTCTGTTACCATATTTCTTTTCTTTATTTCTTTGTCTAACTTGTTGTTTAGAAAATGGCCAGGTCCCTGGAAAGCTTCTTGGTATTGTCACCTCTAGAGACATTCAGTTCCACGACAACAATGACACTCCTGTTTCTGAAATCATGACTACAGATCTGGTCACTGCCTCTGGCAATGTTGACCTTCTTGAGGCCAATGAGGTTCTCCGCAAGTCCAAGAAGGGCAAGCTTCCCATTGTTGATGCCGAAAGCAACCTTGTTGCTCTGCTTTCTCGAACCGACTTGCAAAAGAACCACAACTACCCTAATGCTTCCAAGTCCAAGGATAAACAGCTCCTTTGCGGTGCTGCCATTGGTACCCGTCCTGACGACCGTGACCGTCTGGCCAAGCTTGTTGCTGCTGGCCTTGACGTTGCTGTCATTGACTCTTCCCAGGGCAACTCTGTTTTCCAGATTGAGCTCATCAAGTGGGCCAAGGCTACTTTCCCTGAGCTTGAGGTTATTGGTGGCAATGTTGTTACCCGCGAGCAGGCTGCCGAGCTTATTGCTGCCGGTGTTGATGGTCTGCGTATTGGTATGGGCTCTGGCTCCATCTGCATTACCCAGGAGGTTATGGCTGTTGGCCGTCCCCAAGGCACTGCTGTCTACAATGTCACACAGTTTGCCAAGCGCTTTGGCGTCCCCTGTATTGCCGATGGTGGTATCCAGAACATTGGCCACATTACCAAGGCTCTTGCTCTTGGTGCCTCTGCTGTCATGATGGGCGGTCTCCTTGCCGGTACCACTGAGTCTCCTGGCAAGTACTTCTACAAGAATGGCCAACGCCTTAAGACTTACCGTGGTATGGGCTCTATCGAGGCCATGGAGAAGCAGGGCATCAATGACAATGCTGCCACCAGCAGATACTTTTCTGAGTCAGACTCTGTCTTTGTTGCTCAGGGTGTTAGCGGCTCTGTTCTTGACAAGGGCTCAATCACCAAGTTTGTGCCTTACTTGATTTCTGGTCTTGAGCACGGTCTCCAGGACATTGGTGTCAAGAGCATTACTCAGTTCCAGGAAAGCGTTTCCGACGGCACTGTTCGCTTTGAGTTCCGCTCCACCAGCGCCCAGGTCGAAGGTGGTGTTCACTCGCTGCACTCTTACGAGAAGAGACTGCACAATTAATGAAGTATATGAATGTAATTTTGATGAATTTTTGGTTTAGAATGTTGAAAAAAAAAAATAATAAAATAAAAATAATAAAAATAAAAATAAAATAAAATAAAATAAAATAAAATAAAAATAAAATAAAAATAAAATAAAATAAAAATAAAATAAAAATAAAAATTTCTTGTGGATGACTAAAAGCCACACTTACAAATCAATTTTTTTTTTCTTATTTGTATATTTTCTTAACTCTACCACTGTATCACCACCATCACCATCCATCCATCCATCTACTACAAAAATGACGCTTACTGTTTTATCCACTGGAAACACTCTCCGTTCAGATGCTCCCTTTGCGGTCTCGCCGTCGGTGACTGCTGGTCTTCGTACAACGCTGCTGGGCAGTAGCAGTAGTGTTGCGACTGTTCCAAGAGAGCTTGGAGAGATTGTTTTGTACACGGCTTCTAGCGCAGAACTGCTGGAGACCCTTGATGCCTCGTCTAGTGTCGAGCTTACAGGTGAGTTCAAGTCCTAGCCTGGGAAATTTTTTTCTCTTTTTTTTTTCCAAGTTTTACCAGGCTAACTGATGATGAACAGTAAAGATCTTTTTCCCTGGCAAAGTGACTCTTGAAAATGCTCAGGAGGCTGCCCAACACGCGCTTTGGTTACTTGTCAATGCTCATTCGTCACCAAAAGCTTCTGCACCTGCACCGCTTGTCAAATCAATCATTTTCTCATTTGGTGGACTTGAATTTTCAGATGATGATGATGATGAAGAAACAGATTTTGAACTGAGTCCAGAGCAAGTAGCTACTGTTTGGACCAAGGCTACGACTTATGCTAAAACTTTGGGTTTAGGTGGAGCCGAGTTTGGAGTGGCTGAATTTTCAACAAGTGCTTTGCAAGAACTTGTTTCACGAGTAGGTTCAGAAACTCCTCGAGTTGCAATCGACCATATCAATGCATCAGACTGTTGCGCACTCCCCAAGTCATTGGTGCAACTAAGTAAAACTAATAATATTAAACTTCTGGCTCATCATGATAAGCCTGCTGATCATCTGGTTGACCCTAAGGAGCTGGCTGAAATTACAAGCGAGCTCAAGCTTAAGTCTGTGGACCGATGGGCATGGGTTCTTAAACTTACGGCATTGGAAAAGGACCGCCAGCTTCTTGTTGGGAATGAGTATTTGGTTGCAGTATAGTTATTAATTACTTATTATAGAATTAAAAAAAAAAAAAAAAAAAAAAAAAAAAAAAAAATTAAGGTCGGGAGGCATAATAATCAACAACGACATTGACAATAGCCACCAGGATTTCTACAGCAATCAAAACAATGACAATAAACTCAAGATACTCGCCATGAGCATAACCCATTTGTTCCTTAAGCATTTGAAGCAGGTCGGAAATGACTTCGAGGCGTTGGTTGAGAAGAGTAACACGCTGGGTGATTTCCAGGTACCCGCGAGCAGCCTGGTAGATGGGTTCCAAGTGCGGCTCGCTCCACATAAGCTCCGGCGAGTCCAGTACACTTCCATGGAGATTGACATTGATGCGCAAAATAAAAAGTTCACCAATGCTTTTCATAATATCCTTGCGACTCATGCTGATTTTTCCAGTGACGGCAACTTCTTGTGGGAAATCTTGAGTATCTTCAATCGTATTGTCCACGAGCTCTTCAAACAAAGAGATCTTGACGCTCTGTGCCAGCGCATGCGAAATGGATAATTTGATCATATAATTTGTTCCATCACGCAAAGTGATAAAATCATTATAAATGCGCGGTTGATAGCTTTTGGTGATGTAGTAGTTGAATTCTTCAACTTGAACGTCCTCATCTGCAAGCTTTTCGTTTTCAAACCGAGCCAACTCTTTAAGAAATCGACGTTCCTCGGCCTCAGAAAACCCCCAGAAAACAGCTACACCATACTCAAATAAAAACACGTCTGAATGCCCAGTCAGCTCAACATCAATCTCTCCACCTTCATCGTCTAATCTCATCAGTCCATTCAGTCGTTCGGTATAGCTACTACTTGTCGGAGACGTAGAGCTTGAAGTTGTACTTGATGCAACTACAGTTCCGGAACTACTATTTGCAGATAAATTATATGCTCCTCCTCCTCCTCCTGTTTTGTCGTCTCTCTTGTAAGTATATGGAGTATACAGGCATTCATCAAACAGCTTGGGTGCAGCCTTGTACTGTCTGCGGCTGTTGAGGTATCGTGTAATTTCCTTCATGCGGTACGAGCTGGCGGTGCAGTATGCAGTGACACGTGGGAGGACCGAGCGGTGGGCCTTGCCTAGTCGTTCGGCGTCTTTTCGAGCTGGTGTGTCTTTAATTCGGGTGACTTGCGAGTACACTTCACGGCCGCTTTCTTCGTCTTCTTCTTCAGGGACATTTTCTGGAAGCAGTTTCAGTTTCTGTGTGGTATATGATGTGCGTTGTGGTCCGATACGGTGGTGGCCATATGCCTGTTGTTGTTGTTGTTGTTGTTGTTGTTGGCGGGTTTGTTTAATGGCCAATGGCGATGGTACATGAGAAGATCTTAGGGAACCAGCCCGTTGAGCGGCCAGTGAGGCTGTTGAACTGAGTAAATTTGCGGTAGAGCTATTTGGGGTTGTTTGGTTGCTAACTGGATCTATTCCAGCAATGATTTTAGGTGGTGGAGAAGAGTATTGAGAGCTAACATTTGTGGGGTGGTTGTAGGAGGCACCTGAAAGTAGTGAATCCATTGTGGTATGTTTGGAGGTATTACTTGGGACAATTGGTGAAGACGAAGTAAATGGAGAAGAAGAAGAAGAAGATGGAGATGGAGAAGATGGAGAAGCAAGAAGAGGAGTTGTTTCAACGTCTGCTAAAGAATTATCAGCAGTACTTTTAGAGATTTCCATTTTTGTTTATTTTATTCTTAGGGTATGAAATTAAAATTTGTTTTAAAATTAAAAAAAAAAAAAAAAAAAAAAAAAAAAAAAAACTAATGATGTGAGAAGATCTAATTAAACGTTAAATTTATTTTTCTTTTTATTTTTTGAGATAAGCGGATATATTCGGTATTTAAAATCTTCAATTATTTTTTTTTTTTTTATTTTAATCATAAAATGTTTAAAAATAAAAATAAAAAAGCAGTTAAAAAAAAGTTTTGTTTAGAGACTTAAAATGGAAGGAAGGAACTTTTAAAGAAATTCATGCTGGAAGAAATAAAAAAAAATTATAAAAAAAAATTAAAAATAAAATAAAAATAAAAAATGTTGGGAATTTTAAAATATAATATTAGTCATGATTAGTTATAAATATATAATCATGACTCATACATGCGGCTGTGTGCGGCTTCCCATCGCGTTTAAAATTTTTTTTTTTTTTTTTTTTTTTTAAACCTCCAAAAAAAAAAAAAAAAAAAATTAAAAAAAAAATTAAAAAATTTCTTCTTCTTTTTCCCTTTTCCTCTTCTTACACTTTTTTTTTTTTTTTTCCTGCTCCTCCCCTTCCTTTTTTCCTGCTACTACACCACAATCATCAAAGACTGCATCTTTAGGTCTTGTGTGAATCTAAACACCTCTTCTCTTACATTAAATATACAAAATGAAGTTTGTTATTGTTTCTGGTGGTGAGTAGCCAAACCCTTTTTTTTTATTTGTTATTTCTTCATCTTCATCTATTTTTCTTTCCCCCCCTCTTATCATACACCCTTATCTAAAACCCTCATCTTTCTCAGGTGTAATCTCGGGCATTGGAAAGGGCGTTATTGCCTCTTCTACCGGTCTTCTTCTTAAAACCCTTGGCCTTAATGTCACCTCCATCAAAATCGACCCTTACATGAACATTGATGCCGGTACCATGAGTCCCCTCGAACATGGTGAAGTCTTTGTTCTTGACGATGGTGGCGAGGCTGATCTCGATCTCGGAAATTACGAGCGATACCTTAACGTCACCCTGACTCGCCGCCACAATATTACTACAGGCAAGGTCTACCAGCACGTTATCGAGCGTGAACGTAAGGGTGATTACCTCGGAAAGACTGTCCAAGTCGTCCCTCATTTGACAAACGCCATCCAGGACTGGATTGAGGCTGTGGCTAACATTCCTGTCGACGCTCATGGTGAGGTCCCCGACGTGTGCATTGTCGAGCTCGGTGGTACCGTTGGTGACATTGAGTCGGCTCCCTTTGTTGAGGCTCTTCGTCAATTCCAGTTCCGCGTGGGTGTTGAAAACTTTGCACTCATCCATGTTTCGCTTGTGCCTGTCATTAACGGCGAAAAGAAAACTAAGCCTACTCAGGCTGCCATTAAGGATCTCCGTGGCTTGGGGTTGACTCCTGATATTATTGCATGCCGTTGTGAACAACCTTTGGATCAGTCCGCCATTGAAAAGATTTCCATGTTTTGCCATGTCGGTCACGACCAAGTTTTGGGTGTCCACAATGTCAACTCTACTTACCACGTCCCTCTCTTGTTGAAGCAGCAAAAGCTCATCAAGTTTTTCCAAAAACGTCTCCGTCTTGACTCTATCATTCTTTCAAAGGAGCGTGTGGACCGTGGCAAAGACTTGTGGAGCCGTTGGCTCAAGCTTACCAACTCGCACGACCGCAGCTTTGAAAAGGTCACCATTGCCATTGTTGGCAAGTATACCGATCTTCAAGACTCTTACATTTCCGTCGTCAAAGCCCTCGAGCATGCTGCTCTTGCTGTGCAAAAGCGTCTTGAGATTGTTTGGGTCGATTCCTCTGATTTGGAGCGCCAAAAGGCCATCAGTACGAGTGGCACTGCCACCCCTCCCTCAGGACAAAAGCTCAAGTACCACACAGCTTGGGGTAAAGTCTGTGCTGCTGATGGTATTTTGGTTCCCGGTGGTTTTGGCTCCCGTGGTACTGAAGGTATGATTGCTGCAGCCAAGTGGGCTCGTGAAAACAAGACACCTTACTTGGGCATTTGCCTTGGTTTCCAAATCGCCGTCATTGAGTACGCGCGGTCTGTTCTTGGTATGAATACCAACTCGCAGGAACTTGACGAGCAGATTGAGGACCCTGTGATTGTGTTTATGCCTGAGATTGACAAGACTCACATGGGTGGCACAATGCGTCTGGGTACCCGGCCATCAGTGTTCCAAGATGGAACTGAGTGGAGTAAGCTGCGCCAGCTTTACGGGCTTGCTCAGCGGGTGCATGAGCGTCACCGTCACCGATATGAGGTGAACCCTGAGCACATTGAGGACTTTGAAAAGCATGGCATGCACTTTATTGCACGCGACGATACCGGCGAACGTATGGAGACTTTTGAGCTGAGTTCTGAGGACCATCCATTTTACGTGGGCACACAGTATCACCCAGAATACCTGACCAAGGTCTTGACTCCATCCAAACCGTTTTTGGGTCTTGTTGCTGCTAGTAGTGGATGTCTTGATAAGGTTCTTGATGATGTTCGTCATGGTAGCTATGGACCTGCTGAGTTTTAGAGAAGGAAGTAATTAAAGATTAATTTATAGAAGAATAAAAATAAAATATAAAAAAAAAATTGTATTTGATTAATGAGGTGGATTTCGTTTAAAGATGTGGGGCTTTTTTTTTATTTTTTTTAATTTTTCTGAAGCAAATTAAACAAGAAACGAATTAATGTAAAAGTGAGACAAGAAAAAAAGGACATGAATTTTGATGTTACGATGGAATAATAAAGTTAATTGTTTAAAAAGTTTACATTAAAAAAAAAAAAAAAATGATGAGTTTTTTTAGTGTTAAATATATATATATATAATATATAATATATAATAATAATATAGTATGGAGGGGTTTGTAAGATTACTGATTCAAGGTTGCGGATTAATGCGTTAGGAGAGATAAATGATTAGAGTATGAAAGTATGAAAGTATGAAGGAGGGGGTTGAATATTGAGTAAAAGAATTGATGAATTCTTTTTTTCTTTATAAAGAAACGAAAAAAAAAAAATAAAAATTTAATTGAAATAAATGAAAAGGATATTAAATTTTTTTATTATTTATTATTTCTTATGAGAGAGTTTATGAGAAAAAAAAAAAATAGTTTGAATATCCTAAAATGGAAATTTAAAGAATATTCATTCATTGAGTCAAAGAATAAAAAAAAGGAAAAAAAAAGAAGGTCATATTGAGAAACAAGAATAATATTTTATGATTTTCATTAAACGATTAATATTTAAGAAGAAAGAGAAGAAGAAAGAAAAAAAAAAAAAAAAAAAAAAAGAGATTTTGATGTTTTAGTTTATGTATTTTGTTTTTAAGAAATTAAATATGAAAGAATGAGAGGCATTTTTTTTAAGCTTAAGAAAGTTTTATTTAAAAAAAAAAAAAAAAAAAAAACGTTTAAATGACAAAAAAAAAAAAGAAGGTGATGAGACCTTTATTTTTTGATATAATCAGTTGATAATCATGAATATCATCAGAACTAGGTATATATACAAGGTTTATCACAGGACTTTTTTTTTTTTCTTTTATTTCTTTTTACAAAGGAAAGATGGAAATATAAAAACAAAAAAAAAAAAAATAAAGATACATTATATTTAAGATTTATTATTATGGGAAAAGAGAAAAAAAAAAAAATAGGGTTCTTTAAGCTGGGGGTTTTCCCGACAATTTCAGATTCGGGAAATTTTCAATGTCCCGGTAAGCCATTTTATTTTATTTTTTTGTTTTAAAAGTTGAGATGGAGACAACATGTTACTATTTTTTTTTTAAAAAAAATAAAAAAAAAAAAGTAGGAATGAAGAGTGGATAATTTGATTTGATTTTTTTTTTTTTTTTTTCCATCATTACCCGAGATGGGGAAGAAAAGAAAGAAAAGAAACGATTTATTGATTGAATATGAAAAAAAAAAAAAAAATGAATTGAGGATTAAGGGTTTAGAAAAAAAATAATAATATTAATATAATTTTGTAATAATTTAATTATATGAATACTTGTAAATTATAATTAATGGTCTTGAAGTTTTAAAATTTTTTTATGACAATTATGAATGAATTAATAAATAAATAAAAAAGTCAAGATCCAAATAATATAAACAATCAAAAAAAAGAAGAAGAAGAAGAAATAATATGAAAAGTTTTTGGAGTTTCTTAAAATGGATCATCTATTTAGGTAATAATATTTTAAATGTCTTTTTTTTTTTTTTTTTTTTTTTTTGTAGATATATATATATATATATATATATAAACTATTAAAGAGATTCTTTGTTTATATTTATTTTTCACGGAACTAGAATACCGAAAAAAAAAAAAAAAAAAAAAAAAAAAAAAGAGACGAACATATTAATTGAAATGATTTTAGAATACGTAGTGATGGTGGTGGTGTTAATTGATTGATGATGTATTTGTTAAACCTAACGGTTCTTTTTTTCTGACTGATGTTTTACTAAACCAGTTATAATTATAATAAATGATCTATATCTATATCTATCTATATAGGTTGTTTTTATTTTTTTTTTTTATTTTTTTTCAAAGACATGTGAATATGTACTATAGTACGTACAAAAAAATAAATAAATAATGGAATGAAGACGAGGGCTTTTTTTTTTTTAAGTTATATAAATTTATATGGGTTAATGAACGGTGATGATGATGAACGATGAACGATGAACGATGATAGACAGATTGATTTGATTTGATTAATTTGATAGATTGAATGATGGGATGCAAAAATAAAATAAAATAAAATAAAATAAAATGAAAAAAGTCATACGATTATTAAGGAACTTTTATTTCTGAACGAAGTTTCCGTCCCCATAACCTATATATATTGAAAAATAAAAATGATTCAGGGAAGAAGAAGAAAAAGAAGAAGAAGAAGAAGAAATGAAATATTGAATTTATATATATGTATATGTGTGTGTGATTATGTAATTTAACTGTGTAGTTTTATTTTAATCAAGAATAAATGATGATAAATAATATTAATTCCAGTTGCCGATTCATAGGTCATAATTTGATATAAATGATGATTGATGATGATAAATAATTATAACTATCATTGCCGATTCATAGGTTATAAATTGATACAATTTTTTTTTTTCTCTCTCTCTCTCTCTTCTTTTCTTTTGACATACAAAAAAACTGTTTTTTTTTATTTTTTTTTATTTTATATACAATATATACATATGTATTACCAAAAGGAAACTTATCATATAAGCCATTCCTACGGGTTCAATTGAAGTAACCGAAGATCCCGTTCGCTTAACTTTTGGAATTGAAATTCTCTCAATTTGAAAAAAAAAAAAAAAAAAAAAAAAAATTAAATTAAAATAAATTAAAACTACTAAAATCTTTGTTAAAGTTTCTAGTATTTCTCGTAATAAATCTATTAAAAATAAAATAATAATTAAGCTTGATATTTAATGAATAATAATTGCAAAAATAAATATTCAATATTTACACTCAAAATTTGTTTATGAAGAAGTTGATAAGCCAACTACCAAGATATCTTATTCTTCTTTTTCATTTTCTTTTTTATTTTCTTAACAGAATACCTTTTACAAATATTCTGGGCTTGTAATTTTTATTTTTATTTTTTGGTAATAATATAAATTATATTCAAAAAAAAAAAAAAAAAAATTCCCACCCCTTGACGTTCCCCTTTTCCTTCTTTTCTTTTAAAATTACAAAATAGATTATAATACATTATATATTTTGGTCCTCGTAATAAACCAAAAAAAATAAAATAAAATAAAAATAATCATTAATCTAGCCGCCATGCCTAGTAATTGACAGTTTTGTAAGAATTTAAACAAAAAAAAAAAAAAAAAAAAAGGTGGCTTTTTTTCCCCTTTTTTCATTACCCTTCTTTTCTGTTGATATATATATTTTTTTTTAAAAAAAAAAAAAAAAAGAATCAATCCTCCTCTGGGTCCTAAAGGTAGCACTAAGTCAAGATAGTAACTGTACATAACTGGTAAAGTTTTATAAGCGTTCTCTTTTTCTCTCTCTCTCTCTCTCTCTCTCTCTGTAATAAGTAACCACTAAAACATAGTGCGCACTCACCCAATACAAAAAAAAAAAAGAAATCCCTCTTAAATAAAAAAATAAAAAAAAAAAAAAAACAAAGCATTTTTTTTAGACCATTAATGGTCTTTGAACTATGTATAGACAGATACCTTGAGCCCCACCAACTGCAGCCCATCTTTCTTCCGGGATAAAAAATGGAGGAAGAGGAGGAGGAGGAGGAGGAGGAGTAGGAAAAGGAGTAGGAAAAGGAGAGAGCCCTCTCCTTTATAACCCCGGGGTTATATGCCCATGATAGAAAGGACCTGCGTGTGCTATACATATATATATCTTAATGGCATTTGATACGTTTAGTCTAAAAGAGAAAGGGGTTTTAAAAAAAAAAAACTGTAAATAAGAGTAAGAATTTAGTTTTGAAGTAATATTTTAAGTAAAAAAAAAAAAAAAAAAAGAGTTCAATGATGAAAATTGAGGATTTGTTATAAATTTAAGAAAGAAAGAAAAAAAAAAAACGAGGAATGAGAAAGAAAGAACATACAAACAAAGAAATGTCTTTTTGGGTTTCAAAAGGCTCTTTTTTTTGTTTGTTTATTTTTTTAGTGTGTAATGTCTTTTTTTTTTTTTTTTTTTTTTGAGAAAGGTGATTATCTCTAAAGTAGAGTTGAATGGTGCGGTTATATTTTAGTATATAACATGAAAGTGATTTTATTTTATTTTATTTTAAAAAAGAACAAAAAATATATATATATATATATATCATAAAAAGATTAGAGAAGTAATTTGAATGCAGTATGTGAATTCATTACAACAGAATAAGGTGAAGAAAAGTATTATTATGATAGGGATGGAATTTGATAAAGAAGAAAAAAAAAAAAAAAAAAATAAAAGACAATTTTAATTTATTTTAATTTTATTTTAATTTTTATTTATTACATTGTTTAAATTATATTTTTGAATAATAAGGGGAAAATTAAAATAAAAAAAAAAAACAAAAAAAAAGTTAAGAATGAGTATTCAAATTCAAATTAAACATTCAAATTCAAATTCAAACTCAATAAAAATGAAAAAAAGAAAGAAATTGCGGGGGAATAAGATATTTTTTTTTTTTTGTAAAGAAAATCTGGGGAAATGATTTATAGTTTTTTTTTTTTTTTTTTTTTTTTTATTTCAATTAAGAAATAAACTCAATTCACATAGTCTTTATTTTATTATTATTATTATTTTTTTTTTTTTCAAACAAGATTGACAAAAAAAAACCTTTGAAGAATATTTTTTTTTTAGTTTAACTTCATTTTTATTTAACACTAGTTTTAACTAAAAATGAAATTAATATATATATATATATATATAAAAGGTCTAGCCAGTCTTTGTTATTTTATTTTATTTTTGCCATTAAATAAATAAATAAATAAATAAATAAATAAATTTCGGCTTTTGGAAATAAAAAAGGGGAAAAAGAAGAGCATTTTTATTTTTATTTTATTTTATTTCAAC